GGAAGAGATCGTGGACGGGGTGGGATGGGTCGAGGAGGAGGCGGAATGGATCATGGTCGGGGTGGAATGGACCGAGGACATGGCGGTATGGATCGAGGACGTGGCGGAATGGATCGAGGACGTGGCGGAATGGATCGTGGACGAGGAGGTCGGGGAAGGGGGTTCGGAGAGTCGAAAGGAATGGGCAGAGGTGGAGTAAATGGATTTGAGGAGCAATCTCGAAAGCGTGCTCGAGAACCCTCTCCTTCCCGCTGGCATCAGGAGTACGATAAACCTTTACCTGCATCTATACTAGAGAAGTGTACTGATTCTAGATGTGATGTTTGTTCTCTACCCCTCAACGGTCCCTCAGTTTCTAGATCTCACTACGATGGGAAAGCTCACGATAAGAAGGTAAAGAAGCTACTTGAGGAGATGTTTCCTGAACCTGGATCCGCTCCCAAGAAGCGTAAAGTAGAAGATGCTGTTGTCAAACAAGAACCGTCGATTGGAGATGGAGTTACAGTTGTAAATATGAAGCTAAATCATTGTGAAGTTTGCAATGTTTCGTGTTCAACTAAGCAGGTTTACGACACCCATTTGAATGGTAAAGGCCACGCATCTAGGCTTAGAGCAAGTAAAATGGATTTGACCGGGTCCAACAAATCCAGGTGTGACATTTGTAACGTCAACGTAGCTATGGATCAGTTTCAAGCGCATCTCAACGGAAAAAATCATAAGAAAAAGGAGAAAAGAATGGCCGAAACTGCGGATCAAAAGTTGACATGTGACGTATGCAGCGTAACTATGACAGATTTGGAAAATTTTAACAAACATATGCAGGGGAAGAGGCATATGGAGAATGTTGGCGAGGCTGCTGGTCATGTTTCAGTATTGAAGAAGCATCGTTGTGAAATTTGTCAGATGGATTTCTCGGATGATACTGCATACACTGTGCACTGTGTTGGAGACGCACACAACCTGATTGTTGAGAAGCTGGGTCAGCCTGAGACTTCGGTCAAAATCATTGACTACAGCAAGATGTAATCTTGTCTGAGGTAGTTTACGGTCTCTATGTTTTTGTAAAAATTATTAAACTCAATACCCAGTAGTTTAGAAATTGTTTAAATAACTGTGAATTGTGAAATTTAGATCAAAACAATTTCTTTTTGAAATTAAACACACTTTTTCTATGAATCGAAAAGTTTCGTGGCTGAATAACAATTGTAAGAACATACATGGTAATTTATCTTAAATAATAGAAAAAGTTAAAGAATGTCGTGAAGCCTATATTAAATTTAAGATTAATTGAAAATAGTTAAAACGAAATTAACAAACATGAGAATTTTCAACTTGTAAAATGAAATGTTAACTAGAGGATCATTGTAAACTAGAGAACCATATTTTGTTCACAGGTTGTTAACTCAAAGATCATATTGCTTCTCCTCGTTAACTGGAGGATCATATAGTTTCTACCTTATATGGAGGATAATATAATTTCTCCTTGTTTACTGGAGGATCATATAGTTTCTCTTTGTTAACTGGAGGATAATATAGTTTCTCCTAGTTAACCGGTAGATCATATAGTTTCTCCTTATTATTTGGAGGATCATAAAGTTTCCCCTTCTTATCTGGGGGATCATATAGTTTCTCCTTCTTATCTGGGGGATCATACAGTTTCTCCTTGTTAACTGGAGGATCATATAGTTTTTCCTTGTAAAATGGAGAATCATATAGTTTCTCCTTGTCAAGTGGAGGATCATATAGATCCTACTTGTTAAAAACGATTTTATGGATTGATAAATTTTAAAATTTGCACTTAAAGTTAATATTGAACTATCAGAAATATCCGAAAATGTTCTAATTTAACTTAATTGTATTATGTCTGCTGGGTTGATGTGTTCTTAGTTTGTTCAACCTTTATCTTTCTCTCTTCCTTATTCTCTATGTTTATCTGTTTCAGAAAATTAACTCGTCCCAGAGACTGAGTAAAAAGAGAATAGCACGCACAAAATTTCTTCTAAAGAAGAAATTTTTGGCGTCAGAAATGCGGGTTGTAATTCTAAATTAGAATGTAAACCATTCTTTAAACTGTATTCAACCCAAAACCCGGAACAATCCAGAGAAATCAAGACTGAACTCAACCCATTCCAAGGTTGGAGTTTAATCTTGATTCCGAACAGCTGGAAAATATATTGAATCCTAATACAGGTTAGTCCTTCATGGATTTAAAAACAGTTGCATCTCATTAATAGGATTCTAGAGAGTGGGATGTAATTAGGGTTTCCAATATCTTCCGAATCAATCATGAAGGCCTTACGTTATGTAAAACCATAAAAAAGTTTTAAAAATAAGGACGGAACCTGTCTTACCTGAATTAGGAAAAACCTAGCCCCTGAGGGTGACATTGACATACTGAAAAAAGTTTATGCGACTATTCAACATAAAAATATTCGAACGTAGTCTTTTTTTTCAGCAATTCACACTTAGATCTGTACACTGTGCAGCATGTAGGGGGTAGAATTATGTAAATGGTTTAATATTCGTTACAGCATCAAGAAAGCTTCTGTATGGCCTTCACGGACCCAAATTGGTTCGGACGAAATTGTAAACCATGGACGTAATATTATCTTGTGTACTGCAGTGTCTGAGAAGTACACAAACCAGGGTATATGTACTGTATATGTACTAATCTCATTGCAGTAAATACGATATACATTATACAACTCACTTCGTGTCGTATCCTAAGCTGAAATCCTTGCAGAAAATGGGATTAAATGCAAAAATATCCTGACACGAGAACAAAATATGTTTATTATGATCTGAAGACACTTTTCAGAATTTATTTGTAATTTTCCTACAAAAAGAAGTTCTGCTAGTTCTTAAAAAATGTGCCTTGGACCTTACGCCCCTCTTTTGAAAAACAACCTCCCTTGATTCTACAGGGTGATTAAAAAATACCAGGATTAGCGTTAATCTACGCAATACTAGAGAAAAAATTATTTGCGTTTCATTCATGTTTTAGATTGAAATTATTGAAACGAAGGGAACCAAATGCAAAAATATTTTTGTAATAAAGTCTTAAGCTACCAAAAATTCCAGAAGAAATTCTGCGGAGAAGCATTTTTCGGAATGTCTTCATTTAAAACTAAATTAGTTTATTTTGGAAATTCTTAGAATTTAGTTTAGTCTATTCTTTTTCATAAAAATCAATTGATAATTAATATGAGAGCTCTGAGCTAACTTTTACAAAATAGTCATTACACATCTTACCAAATCTTACAAAGGTGGCAAAATGAAACTTTCTATTAAACAATTTTGTTTTCAAAAATGTTGTTCATAATATAGAATATGAGGAGTTGAAACATTAGATACATTTTTGTTGATATATTTCGTAGGATTTGTTGCAGATTTGCTTGCACTACGAGTATTGTCTTGTTTCAAAAATCTGTACTTCGCATGTATTTCAAAGTTCTTAAAAAATGTGAAAAACTATATTATTCGGAAAAAATTAGTATGAACCCCCCCCCCCCCCCCCCCACCCCAACTCTGCACTGACTGGTAGATTTTCTTGGTTTTTGTCAATCCTAGTTTCGGCAAACTGTGTTTTAAGTCAGGATATTTTTGCAACAGTTTCCATTTTCCTATTTTATAAAAGCACCATGAACAAATAATACTCTTCATTTGGCTTTGGGAATAGACAGATATGGCGTCACCGTCGCTTTTAGATCTATATTTTTTCTCAAAGTTTGTTGAAGGACGGGCTAGTCCGTGGTAGCTTTTATAAAGTTTTATTGATGTTAACAAGTTTTGTAAAATAAAAACAGATGAAGGTTGAATTCCAAGACAGATCCCGATTCTACTAAATGAAATATTATTTGTTTTTTCGATAATGATGAATGAATTATTTGTGAAAAGTTGGACAATATCTAGGTGCTAAGTACTCGTCTAGTAGAACCGGGCGCTCATTTTGGAAATCATAATATTTTTAGAAAAATCGATCCTAAAAATAAAATAATAATGTTGAAATTTAAATTGACAAATTGCTATTAAAGGTTGGAGAGTATTTGAAAGATGGATTTGGAGGAGAAATTTTTAGAGTCCGTCCAACTCGGAGATATTCAATCCGTCCTACAACTAATCAGCTCAGGTTGGATATACTTAAGAGATTATTTATTTATAAAGTGATTAACAATCTTCTGCATTTATTTATCTCATGTTTCTCCAGGGGTTTGTTTAAATGTTGTTCTTGAGATTAATGATGAGAAGCATACTCCCCTTCTAGCCGCAGTACTGCTAGCTGATGCTAAGGTTTCCTTGTGTATCTCTCAGATCTTACTTCTACACGGAGCAGATCCAAACCTGAAGACTAGAGGTAAACTTCCTCTTCACGAGGCGGCTAGGTTGGGCCGACATGAACTTGTTTCTCTTCTCTTGGAGTCCGGAGCTAAACCTAGACGGAGAGATGTTAATGATAAAACTGCTCTGGAGGTAGGACAGGAGGAGGGTAGAAAGGATATTATTGATCTTCTGCTAGGAAACCAGGCTCATGTTTCTGTCAAGTTTAACAGATATATATTTGAAAATGAGACGGAGGAGAAAGAAAATTCCGAAGAAAGTAAATCTACAGATTTTCTCCGAGAGATAGAAAAGATATTCTCCGCGGATATAACAGGAGCTGGCATCAATTCCGATCAAAATAATATGTCCGGGATAGTAGAGGATATTGCTGAGGTGGCGGAACAACTTGAAGAAATAGGATTCAAAACTCCAAACATTTACTCAGCGAAAACAAGAACTTGTGAAAGACGGTTAGAACATCTGACCAAGGACGGATACCAGGACAAAGTTTCAAAGTTCCTGGAAAGTATGGATCCAAGCAATGATATCGCAGAGGATTCTGTTCCTGAATCAGTATCTGACACCCCGGTTAGAAAAGAGAAATCCTACCTCCGCCAAACCTTGGCTAGTTCAAGAAAACGTAGAATTTTGTTGGAGGCTGAAACTAACACTAAACCTGCCACACCTCTGAAAAAAACTTCCAAGACCATTGAGGCTACCAACACGTTACCTCTCCCTAATCTACCCTTGTCAAGGTGGTTTCATTTTCATATTCAAAAGCTATCTTCTGTACAGTCTATGTGTTTAAAAGAAATTTTACTGCCTATTTTTTGGTAATCTAAAAAAATTTGCCCACCCTCGAATTTTTAAGGACCGAAAAATATTTGTTTAAATTGATACTCAAATTATTTTAATCTTATTTTTTTTTTATTTCCATTAATCTAATCTTGTAAAATTGTAGGTTCTCTACACTAGAATCCTCTAGTTCAGCGTGTACAGGTATAAACTCTCTAGCTATAAGTCTAGCTAACACTAGTTCTCTATCTGTATGCGAGGAGTATATTATCAAGGATTCTAGCACTGGACTTGAACTGGTGGAAAAGCGTCTACCCTCGCTACTAGGATTAGCTATGCAGGTGACAAATTATAAAATATAAATCCAAAATTACAATTTCTTTCAACTCAACTACTCTAAGGATGAAGCGTTGTTAAATCTTCTTGAAGAGGGAGCAGAGGAACCCGTTGATAGATCCAACAACTTCTCTTTAGGTAAACTTTATTAAATGCTTATTTTTTGGAGGGTAAAACATTTTTATGGGGGGATTTATTTTCGACAATTTATTTCTATGTCACTATTCCTAGGCTCCATGTCTGATTACTCCTCAAGCCGGATCAAGCATGAGCTGGAAAGATTTGGAGAACTTCCGACCGGACCAATAACGTCGAATACTAAGCGTGCATATCTACTACGGTTAAAGAAACTCCGGCTTGGTTTGGTTGTGCCTGGAGCATATTTAACGGAGAAGTATCCGAACCCTCTAGCTGAGTCCCTGAAGAACGTCTCCTGTATTACAAAAAACTGGGAGAAGTTGTGGAAACTTGAAAATGAAATGTCGGATAGGTTTGTTTGTGTTGATCCTGAGCTGGCTGAAGGAATTAATTTCCTAACTCGGGAGTCTGTTTGTAAATCCTCGTTTAACTATCTTCTCCTAGATCCTAGAAAAAGTCAAAACCTTCCCTTCAAGGTTTTCAGCTGGGGGGATCAGGATCTCTGGAAAACCTTTATTGATTCTATATTTTATATCGGTAAAGGATCACGTTCCAGACCTTTCCAGCACTTGTATGATGCCTGCAAACGAAACGTTTCCCGGAAGAAAAGTTCCAAGGTTGAACGTATCCTAGAGATTTGGGATGCAGGTTTCGGCGTAGTTTCTCTCCAGGTCTTTAATAACTGTATAGCTGTAGAGGGGTTTACCAGAGAAGCTGCCATGATAGATGCTATAGGATTAGATAACCTGAGTAATGTTAAACCAGGAGATTATTATGGTCCTGCGGTAACCTGGGAGAAGAATAGTCAACAGCAACTAGGAACCTTCCTTCTCTACAGAGCTTTCAAAATATTTCTACAAGAAGGAGAACGACAAATTCGTTCAGTAGATCTGAAAACAAAATAAGTTGTACAAAATATGTTTTTATAATATCTATATATCTTATACACTATGTAAGTATTATGTTATGTGCCACAATGCCAACTAAGATCTAATCAATTCATGAATTATTTGTCAAAAATCACAAATATGATTTATATTTATTAGGTAAACACTTTATTATAATATTTTATATAGTAGCTATGTTTTTATTTGACTTCCTTTTATTTTAAGGGTTATCTATTAAGTTCCATAATCTCATCAACTCATAATACTCATTTTGTTGACAGAAAACATAGCATACATTTTGTATGTCAATTGTTGATTTAAATCTATGTTTAATTACAATTCTTTAAAAAGTCTTCTATTAAAATTTAGTTTTCTGTCTGATTTGGTCCAAAAGCAAACTGTTGACAGGAACCATGAATGTAAGAACACCACTTATTAAAATCCGTACAGTCGTCTCTGAAGTCTTATCCTTAAATCCTGTATGACCTCTTTTTCACATAAGTTAATGAAAAAGTAAATGACACATCTATTAATTTCCTTATATTCAAAAAATATTTTTTATAGTTTTTTTTTCAGAAGAAAAATGTCAGCTCTATTTAATTTTCAGAGTCTTCTTACAGTTATTATTCTGCTGATCTGTACATGTGCATATGTCAGATCTTTTTGGCCGAGTATTCTGGACAGGTAAGCGTGGTATATTTGTATAAATGGGGGGAGGGCAGTTTTGGACACAGTGCTTTCATTTCTTTTTTATATACCCGAGATTTTGATTTATTGGGAGATCTAAAAAGAGACCGAACCAATATTGGTATATCTTGTATTTCTATCAGAATTTTATGAAAGCGAACCCGGGGTTTCATTTCAGTATGCTGATTGTTCATTTAAAAAAATGACTTGACAAAAATAACGGATGGCACTAAAAATAGAAGGATATTTAAAAAGTCTCCAAGCAAGTCGGGGGAAATTATTTTCAATAAAATATTTACCCTGAGACTAGTATGAGATGATAATTTAACCCTATTTTAGACAGAAAACTGGTCCTCTGGGAACCTTCTGGAAACTAGCTCGGATTGGAGAAAGGTTGAGTCCGTGGGTTGCTCTCTCCTGTGTGTTCATGGCTGTGCATACACTTTTTATATCAGAGCTTTGAGTTCTCCTGTACGCGGACCTTGAATTTCTCAGAATTGTGATATATGTAAATTATAGATTTAAAGAATTATTATTTTGAAAACGAAATTTTTTTTACGGTTTTTGCAAAGCAAGAAAGCAAAAAGGCTTGTTATACATATTTTTAATGGTTTTAATAAACTTTTTTTGTTCGTTGATTGCATTTGTACAACTTTTTATTAAATTGCGTGGTCTAAAAGGGTTGTAAATATAAGTTTATTTGACCCTAAAAAGACGAAGAGAGCCAAAAATCAGTGGACTTGCAATTGTAAACACTAACACTCCGGGCGTTTACGGTGACAAGGATTTTGTCACCATGGATTCACAACGATAACCTTCAAACCTTCAGTAAAAGAAATAATCTCAGTAATTTTTTGCTCGTTGGTTCCGATATAAATCCGCAAGAAGAAATTTCCATTAATAATGATATTAGGTTTGAAAGGTACCACTGAGCTTTAAAAGGTTACTGAAATAACGGTTGACCGCCACAATTTTTGTTTTATTTTAACTCTATTGAAACAGGTTAACCGACATACAATACTTAAAAAACCTTTCAGATATAATGAGTGGATATCCAAGCCTTCAAAATATGCCCCCGGCCACATCAGGACCCACCTTATGCGAGGTTGACGGAAATTTCAGGAATAAGATTTAATTCAACGAGTATGAAGACTTTTCTCGGCTCTAAGTTCTTAATTATAAAAGTGGAAAAAATATGTTGACCGCTTAAAGGGATTGTAATCATAATTTCAAGTGACCTTACATGCAAGGATGGCAATGCCCGGTACCCTTGAAACCTTAATCTGATCAACAATGTGGAAGATGTTAGATGTTGTTGTTTTTCTAGTGCTAAAAATGTTATATTCCAATAATTCTATGTTTTTCTGCATTAGAAATTGGACAATTCACTTTTGTAGAGAAACCAAAATTGAAAATAATTAGTTTTCAAAATATAAATATTTATATAATATTTCATACTTGATTAGACAGAGCTTTTAAGAGTACCGTTGTGAATTGGGCATCACCATCATTGTATAGAGGGTCACTTAAGAATACGCTTACAGTCCCTTTAAGATTTTACAAATATTGCCTCAATGGATCGAACTCATGGAACTATTCTAATTCTGAAACCACAGCTCATTTAAATGTTAATAGTATAGATTTGATTACTAATAAACAAATTAAAAAATGCATTATCCTGCCCATAAAACCATTTTTTTCAACAAAGGTTAAATGGTGTACTCAGCAGTGTAAATTTGAAATTTTCTTTCAATTATTATAAGCTCATCTTAGCTATATAGATTTATAGCTTACTTATCGATTATTAATGTATTTAAAAATAAAAAATGTTAGAATGTATTGAAGTTTAAAAATGGTTTGATTATTATTTAGTTTTTTTTTATGGGATTATTATTGTTATTAATTGTTATCCTGAAGTGAGTATTTGCACCCTATCCTGGAGAAACTGGTAGAATCCTATCCCCTACTCCAGGTGGATACGGAGTCAATCCGTCCCTCATACAGCAAGTAAGATGAAATCATCAGAATTGTTTAGTTTTAATAATTTTTTCTCAAACATTTTCTCCTCGGAAAGAATGAGTCACCATAATATTTTGTCTACATAAATAATTGGTATTTGTAAACCAAATTGAATTCTCTATACCTACACTTACAGTCGTCATCGTATGTATCAATACAATGAAGACGACTTTTTAATTAAATTTTGATTTCTATCAAGCTGTAGAACAGCAGAAAGACTTAAACAAAGAGAAGTTGTCAATTAACAGCTTCTCTTTGATTAACTTGAAAAATGCTTGTTAGTGATTAAAGAATTTTCAATAAAAAGTCGTCTTCATTGTATTGATATCATTGCCGACCAAAACAGAAGAGTGTGCCTCATCACCTCCAAGGTGCAGATACACGGCGCGCTCGTCACAAACGCCTGACATCACTTTTGAATCCTCTTGAGTCCTGATTTTAATTGATAGAATAAAAAACAGACTTTTAGATGAATATAGAATATTTTAGAGAAACCATTAAATCTGCTTTCCTACCGAAGCAGGAGACCGGAGGAGTAGCTCTAGTATCTCTATGGAGAGAAGAGGGTATATGTGGACTCCTGGACTCTCTGACAAAGAGCTCTAACTCCCAGATCTCCTGGTTTGCTGGAGTACTACTGGCCGTCTGGAGATTACCGTCCAGTCTTCAAACCTTTCTATATCCTCACCTTAGACTCTCAGCTGATGTAAGTAACAATTATATTTGTGGTAAAATATTCATAAAATAAGAATATGTAAATTGTGAAAGATGTGATATATGAAATGATAAGTGGAAAATATATATTTCCGTTAATTTGAATAAGTTTGTGCTAGGATTATTCAGTGTTACCCACAAAGGATAAGACTTCAGAGACGACTACGGATTTTTTTCTGTCTGTTTCCTTTTATTCACGATATTTTGCAACTGTAAACAGCTTTCTCTCTTTGCCAAATTATTAAATAAGCCATTAAAAAACTATATTCAAAGCAGAAGACTAAAGTTTAATTAATCCTTGGGATCATCATATTGTACGAGTTTTAAGTTGTCTTTCCAGTCTTATCCTTTGTGAATAACCCTGTATATTTGACACTAGGAGATGTTGTCAACCTTCTGTTTAACCCGGGATTGGTTTGAGTCTCCTGTCAGATGTATAGCTTGGCATCCACATACTAGGAAACAAACCCTGAATTCAGATTCACATTCAACATTTTATTTCCGTCACGCATGTTTTTTGTATATACTACTTTTTAGGTTAAAAAATCAGTAGCAATTTTTTCTTTAATTTCAAGGAAAAAAGTTTTTTTGTGTTCGTCACCTAATATTATTTAAAGTTCACATTTTAGTCTACTCTTCATACTAAAGAGGAAAGAACCGACGGGAATGAAAGTGACCTTTAGATTTTTTCAACTTTTTCTAATTTTGTTAATTTTTTTCGGGATTTTAAAAAAGTAAAAAAAATTGAACATATGAAATATTTATGTTGCTAATTAATTTTAATGGGAGCTGGCTCATGGGCATGCAATCCGAAGTTTGGTGTTCTTTTACGAACTGTTCTTTTTACAGGATTGATTCCTGGTTACCTTTACGTTAAGTAAAAGGTTTTATATATATATAAATTAAAGGGTTTGTTAGGAAACTAGCAGTTGTATCTCGTGATGATTGTGTGAGGATAGGAGGAAACGGAGCCAACACTAAACCTATTCTTCGACACACAGGAATCCGTTTTTTCCTGAATACATTTCTTTGTAATATCATATTTTTATATATTTAATGTACGTGGGCGCCTTTCTATGATTTAAATAAGAAAAACGGATATTGATTCAGGACAGCGTGGGATATCTTGTTTATCCTGGAAACCTTGTGGTTCAGCTGAACTAGCAGTTGGTTGTAGAGTTGGTATCATGCTTTGGACACTAGATCCTGCCAGTGTAGTTTCCCGTCCTAGTACCAGTTGTGTCCGTCCTCTAACTAGACCAGGACATGCTCCGGTCACATCTCTGTCTTGGCATCCTAGCGGTAAATTACTAGCGTCTGGATCTCCGGCTGATCCAGCCATGCTTATATGGAGTGTAGCGAGTGAGCAGTGTGCTGCTGTGAGACGGGTGAGTGGAGGTGGTGTAAGCCTGCTCAGCTGGTCACACAACGGACTTAAACTGTTTGCCGCAACTCCGGGGAAAACATTCCGAGTGTGGAACACTAAATCTTGGGAACCTGATCGTTGGACTGTTCCCGGAGCAGAGGTATGGACACAATTTAAAAAAATAACTTTAATGAGCAACTATTGAAAAAATTGAAAAAGTTTTATGCTTTTAAGAATGAACTCGGTTTTTCTTAATAAATTTTNAAATATTTTATTAATCTTCAAAATATTTAAGGCACGAGTGAGTTGTGTCGCCTGGTCTCCGGACTGCAACCATCTTGTGTTTGCTACGGACGATGAACCTATTCTCTACTCTGTATCCTTTATCTCGGAGTTAGACTCCGCAGTTCCAGTTCTAGATCTCTCCGAGGTTCTTGTAGACTCCGAGGATGAAGTAATAGGAGGAGGTTTAGTTCAGAATATAGTTTGGGAACCTGCCGGAAACCGTCTTGCTCTTATATTCCGCTCAACATCCCTAGTAGCTATTTTCTCTTCCCGGAGTGGAAGAACGCTATCTTTAACTCCTTGTAGTTGGATCCGAGGGGAGGGAACAGAGTTCCCGACTTGTGTAGAGTTTGAGTCTGATTTCAAGGATGGAGGAGGAGTAATTTCTATTGGTTGGTCATCAGGACGCATACAGCATTGTCCTCTTCTATACTCTCCTGAAGGTGTTCAAGCAACCAAGGTGGAAATATTAAAAGCTCCGGAACTATTCACAGTTTAGATTGTTCTAGCCACAGTGAACAGACATTAGATATGTTTAAGTTTACCACTGCCCAGGGTTACACAGAAAATTGGAATATTCAGTAAAAAATTAATGAAATTGTTCCAAAAACAAGAATATTTATTTACATTTATTGTGATCTCATGATATATTTTATTTTGTTAACTAATGGTTAATAAATTAGACGAGATAATTATCACATGTTAATGGCACAGGTTCAACTTTATGTTTCATGGTTAATATCTTCCAGGAGAGTCTTCTCTTTCCCTTCTGTATCTGAAATATTAATATTATTTATTAAAATATCTATTTTCTATGTTTTATGTGATGTTGATAGGAAGGATAATTAAATTGCAAGAAGCTCTAATTTAGAGAAAAAATGGTTCATACAGATTGCTTCATATACAATTAAACGAGTAACTGAAAGGTCGAAAGAACCCTAATGGACGATTGCAAGAAATACTTTGTTCTTTCAGATGGCTACTGATAAAGTATCAGTGCTCTTAGTTGTTACATTTTCAACATTTCAACATTCCTAAAATATTATCAATGCAAAGATTAAATCAAAGCACATTTTAAAATTAAAATTGTGAATGCAATCGAGATAATAAAACTCAATTTGCATAAGTGTGAATTGTGTAAATCCGCGAATGGTTTACATAAAATCCACCAAGTGATTAATTCTTGCAGAGAAATTTTCTAGTTTTCAAACAAAGATAATGACAATTCACAGTGACTGTTGATTTTGATGACTGAGTCAAATTTGAGTCAGAACGATTATTATTCTGATACTTGGGATTTAAGAACAGGTACCTGGAGGGTTGAGATTTCTCCGCTCTTTCTACACGTTCAAGATCAGTGTCAAGATCATTTTCTCGATCCGTTCTCTGACCATAGTCTGACTCCAGGTACAGTCGCGGATAATCCCTGAAATACAAATTTATATCAGATAAATTATGTCTTGGGTTCACTGCAATCTCTGTTTTGTATCTCCGGAGGAGGACCGTCGGGTCAGATTGAACTTCTCAAGCTGTGGAAAAATTGTGTGCATGAAGTGTCTTCCTAAGCTCAAGAACCGTGAATGTAAAGCCTGCAAGAACAAGTGCAGAAGCCTGGAGCTAAATTCAAACACGCCAAAGGAAAACCTTCAAGAATTTATAAAAAAAATCAAGAATAAATAAGAAAAAACGTTTTTCGAAATCTTAAAACAATTTAAAAATTCAGTCCATTTATTTTTGCCATTACTGAGGTCCACACATTCAAACCCAATCCCCGGCCTTTGAATGAATAATATATTTTTAAAAATTCTGAGTTTTTACAGGAAGTTACAGAGCTGTTCTCTGATCCAATGAAAAATCTAAAGGTTATTTTCAAGTCAATGAGTTTCCAGGAAAAAAATAAATTAGGTAATAAACCAATCAATATAAAATCAATATACATGAGCATAACTAGTTAAAAAGATGTGCATGACCGATTCATAACGGTATCTTTTAACTCTACTGATCAATTATGCGGAAGATATCGTCGATTGTCTAGCTTAACTTTCACCCTAACAATCCTCTCCATGGTATCTACAAAATAAATCCGTTAGTTACTTAAATAGAGGACATTATTATCAAATCTTGATCAGACAAAGCTTTTAATGGTACCGTTGTGAATCTGAACTGCCACTCTACAAGTGCTAAAACAAAATTTTGCATAATGATTCGAATTAAATCATACTTTTAGAGAATACTATATATTTAAAACATGTCAGACTTCCCAGATTTTTGTAAAGCCTCTAGAAAGTTTTTAAAAAAACTTTGAACGTTTAAATTTTTTTTTTCATTATTGAAAAATTAAGCACAGCAAATGTATTTAAAAAGCGTTTTAATAAATATGAAAGCTATAGATACATGAACCGTCTGTCCAATGTTTTGATAAATATGCAAGCTAGGATACATGAACCGTCTCCAATGTTTTGATAAATATACAAGCTAGGATACATGAACCGTCTGTTTAATAAATATGCAAGCTAGGATACATGAACCGTCTGTCCAATGTTTTGATAAATATACAAGCTAGGATACATGAACCGTCTGTTTAATAAATATACAAGCTAGGATACATGAATCGTCTGTTTGATAAATATGCAAGCTAGGATACATGAACCGTCTGTCCAATGTTTAAATAAATATGCAAGCTAGGATACATGAACCGTCTGTTTAATAAATATACAAGCTAGGATACATGAACCGTCTGTTTAATAAATATACAAGCTAGGATACATGAACCGTCTGTTTAATAAATATGCAAGCTAGGATACATGAACCGTCTGTTTTGATAAATATACAAGCTAGGATACATGAACCGTCTGTTTGATAAATATGCAAGCTAGGATACATGAACCGTCTGTTTAATAAATATACAAGCTAGGATACATGAACCGTCTGTCCAATGTTTTGATAAATACACAAGCTAGGATACATGAACCGTCTGTCCAATGTTTTAATAAATATGCAAGTTAGGATACATGAACCGTCTGTCCAATGTTTTAATAAATATGCAAGCTAGGATACATGAACCGTCTGTTTAATAAATATGCAAGCTAGGATACATGAACCGCCTGTCCAATGAGTTAAAGAGATATAAATCTGAACTGAAGAAACTGGAAGCCTTGAATGAGAAGAAGACAGCTGAGTTGAGTGCTGCTCAAGATAAAGAGATAAAGCTGGATAGAGCGGAGCTAGCTCTGAAGGAGCGTTTAAACTTAATGACTAAATCAGGGAGCAGTAAGGTAATGAATGATAACTGAATGCGAGTTGGTTAGAAGTAATTATCCGTTCCGCGACTCCATGACTGGAAAATATAACCGGAGTCAATCATTTTTTTATCATCTATATCTTAGACTAAATAGATTACGGATAGAAAACCTTTTTCCAAATAATAAGTGTATCAACTTGACTTTGTTTACAGAATTTATAAAACGTAAGTTGGCAGCAATGTTAGTTGAAGAAACCAGGCCGAATCTCAATATATATGTGGTTCATACACATTTTACTGTGAAGCTGTGATCGATATGTATGTGTGTATGCTTGTATGTTACACTTATGATCGTCCTTGATAGGGCCCGACAGTTCGTTCTTAAAATTTCACATAAGTTTTAGTCCGATCTTGCAACAGAGGAAGTCGATAAATTTTACCAGCTTATGTGAGGGACACTTAGATTAATATGCTTGTATGTTTAATATATGTCTAATTGTGATGCGGAAAGGAAAACCAGTTTCTGAATTTAAAAAAGAACATTTTGTCAGGGTTCAGTTTGTGGGAGCTCTAATGATGATGATAAATCTCGGTATCAGAGAATGGATATTCGTCCTCCATCAGAATCTGGATTCTCAAACATTCTTAACTGTTCAACAGGAAACCCAAGCCTTTTTATACCAACCAAACACTGGTTTGGGAAACAGAAGTAAAGTAGAAACTATATTTCAAGAAATAGTTTTCCCTAGATCGTTTAAGGATGGGTTGAGAATTCAGGGAGTAATGGAAGCAAACCTTCTCATGTTAGACAACTGTTTAATCCTTCTAGTCCTTCGAATACAAACGGGGCAAGCAGGTCAGAATATAAGTTCTATAAATCTTGATAAAATAGACACTTAGCCCAGTTTAATAAAATTATAAGCTGTGTATTCCTTATCTACAGATGCACAGAAACCAATCGCCAAAATTTTCTAATCCCTATAACTTTGCAACCTTATAAAGTGTTATTTTAAAATGAATATTTGATTTAACAGAATTTATAGATTAGAATATTAAAGGTTATAGACTACGACATCAGGCTGAAAAGGTATAAAGATTATAAAATCAGTTTCTTTAACCTTCATAAAAAGTCGTTGTAAATACGGTCGCCATTTTGAGCCGACTATTTGTGAAATAAACACATTGTTGAAAATCATAATTGAGACTAAAGAAAATAAACGTGTTATTTAAACAAAACCTAATCTATCCTAATCATGATTTTATACTTAGTCAATATAAAATAAAGCATCAAATTGTCCATTTTGACATAAGTACAATAAAGGCTTTATAATTTATCCTGATATTTGTAGGTTTCTTGTTTTAAAGACTCCCCATGGCTGGCACAATAACAAGATAGGACGGTATGAACCTGACCAAGATGGAGACGATACAATCAATAGTTTCATGCAGTCCTTGACACAACCTGGAGATATTACAAAGAACTAACCTATGCTAACCTTTGTATAAACACTAAACAGTGACAACACGTAAGTATTCTTATAAACATGTTTTGAATAAAAGTGTATGCTGGGTGTCCCAAAAAAACTGTGCAGTAGGGGGTATTAGTTACTGAGGAAACAATTTTCGTTAAATTTTTACCATTTTGTCATTATAAAGCTCAATACTTCAGTTATTTCATGATGTATTTTTTTCCTTTTAGCCCATACACTTTTTTTTTGTTACAACCAATTTTTGAGCGCAAGTCTAAAATCAATTCCCCGGAATTTTCAAATTTTTGATTTTTCACGTCTCATTTTCATTCGTTCACGGTTTCTTTTTTATCTAAAGTTTCGGATCTGAGATCATTACTATTGGAGCCAAAGCAATCTAAAAATAAGAATTAAAGCATTAAAAAAGCTATAGATACCTTCGTACGAACCTTGCCCAAACCACAAAATTTTTGAAATCAGCTGGTACAATCCACAGCTCGCTTTTCAACAAAAAAATGTTCTAACCCACCTGGGCACAAAAATTAATTTTGTTTGTGAATCTGATATTACGAAAAAAAATATTCTTAAAAAATCATCAATTTAGTTGAGAATATTTTTACTTTCTAAATGACTAGCTGACGGGCCCGGCGTTGGCCGTGGAAAATATTTTTTTTAAAGTTTGATGAAAATTTGTTTATATTTTTTTAGCATATAACACGACCAACCATGAGTGTCCAATAAAATTTCAGCCCAATCGGTCCAGCCGTTTGGCCGGCTATACGCAACATATATATGTATGTTGTAAGTTATTTGATTTGTAATGGGTCATTTATAGGAGGTCAACTTATATAAATAGCACACAAACATCGTCATGGGTATCCACATGGCGAATCCATTCTTACTATTTTTATGTCACTAACATAAATGTCGACGGCACTATGGACCTTTTTGACCTACAAGTGGTCATTTTAGATACCCATGACGATGTTTGTGTGGCATTTATATAATTTGACCTCCCAAAATGACCCCTTAAAGATCAAATCTTTTTATGCGTAAACAGTCCTTTAAAAGGCCCCCTAAAAAATTTCAATATTTTTGGCCAAATTTCTTAAACCTATCATAAAAATGGACCACTAACAAATTCAGGCATAAAATCATTTAAAAAGTAAAAATATTCTTAATTAAATTTATGATTTTTTAAAAAGTTTTTTTCAGATTCCCAAAACCGTTTTATTTTTGTGCCCAGGTGGGTTAGATAAAAAAATTTTGTTGAAAAAGCAAGCTGTGGATATATTGTATCAGCTGATTTCAAAAAGAAAAAAAGAAGAAAAATTATTCTTCTGGTCTGGGCAAGGTTCGTACGAAGGTACCCATAGCTTTCTTTTCGTTTTTTGGTGTTGCTTATTTTATTTTAAAAATGCTCTAGCTCCAAAAGTAATGACCGCAGATCCGAAACTTCAGTTAAAAAAACCTTAAAATTTGAAGTTTTTTTTTGAAAATCGTTTAATTTTTTCATACTTTATGAACGAATGAAAATGAGACGTGAAAATCAAAAATTTGAAAAATCTGGGAAATCGCTTTAAAGAATTGGATGTAACAAAAAAAATTTAGTGTACGGCCATCAAGAAAAAAATTACATCATGAAATTAACTGAAATATAGAGCTTTCTAATAACACCTTGATTGTCAAAATTGAAGAAAAATTGGTTCCTCAGTAACTAATACCCTACTGCACAGTTTGTTTTGGGACACCCTGTATAAGTGTTGAATAAATAAATGAATGGATGAATATAGTATTTAATAAATAAATGAAAGGGTGAAAAGATAAATGTTAGGATAATTATTGTTAAATAAATAAATGAATAGATGAATGGATGTTCAATAAATAGGTGAAAGGATGAGTACAGTGTTGAATGGATGAATATTAATGAATAAATTTATGAAGAGATAAATAGATGTTCAATAGATAAATTAATGTCTGCAAGATTGAATGTTAATACTATGTATACTGTAGGGACTGAGTTCTAATAAACTACTGTGGAGTATTGGAAAGAGGAGAATAGTAAGAAAGAAAGTTATTAATGTTGATCGATGATATTAATCTTTTTAATACAAAATTCTGCAGTTTCATTTTTCCTATTTTTATAAAATGAATTAAGAATTATCCTTAATGTGTTTCATATAATATTGTTTATCAGTTTCATTTTATTTTATTTTTAATAGTTTTAGATAAATTGTTTTGAACAGATTTTTAAATTATGTAGATATTGCTTCTTAGTATGCTATGTTTTGAAAGTAATATTGCTATGTAATCAAATAATAATGTCTCGTATTATGTTGTTCGACTGGTAGAAATATCAATAAATAATTTATATTAAGGAAATTATTTATGTAAAGGAAATTTTGACAAACAAAAAGTTAGTTCTAACTTTTTTTATTAAAATGTATGAAAATGCATTTTTAAAAAATTCCTGTATCTGTCACTGATCATGTATTGATTGGTTTCTGATCATACAGAAATAATTAGATTAGTTCTTGTTAGCAGAATAATTTGGAAACCTAACAATTTTATTTTAAAGATATCATGAGTCTTTGCCACAAACTCTTATTTTCTAATCCCTATATCTTTGCAAGTTTGAAATATCAAAGGTATACTTCATCAGGTTGCAATGATATAGGGATTAGAAAATTTGATTTTTTGGCAAAGACTCAAGTTCTTTGAGTATTAAAACCGAAAATATTGTATTAATAACCAACCTGCTGGAAGTATCACTGACATCATCATCCTCCGGAAACTTGTCTTGGTCAACCCACTTCTCCGTAGACTTGTTTGCTCCGAGATCAGGGATAGTAAAGTTCTTCTGCCAGTGATGGGTCCAATACAGCTCACCCTGTATGTATTTAATGTAAATTGTATGTTTATAAAAACATCCTCAAACTTGGAAATTGGAATCCTTTGAAAAAAATTATTGAACTAATTTTAAAACGAATTGAATTAATTCTCCAGTTTTTAACGGTATAAAGGAATTGAATCTTTGCCACAAACTCTGATTTTCTAATCACTATATCTTTAGAACCAAATGTTACAGACCTTAGATATTTCAAACTATGAATTCTGTTAGATCAAATAATCAGAGTTTGAAATATCAAAGGTTTACAACATCCGGTTCTAAAGATATTGAGGTTTAAATATTTAATTTTGTTCCAAAGACTCAATTCCTTTCTTCAAAAAAAATATTGATTTCAGATAGATATGACCGTACAACTTTGCAACATTATAACCCTCCCATTTTTTATCTTTCTTTGTTCAAATAATTTTTTTGATTTAGTTTTTAATGTTGAACAACTTCAATTATATACCTGAATTATCCAATCATCTATTTTGCCACATCAAAGAAAAGATTTCCAAGCAAAAGTTTTATATTTTAAATTGGTAATATACATTTTTAATTATTGTATTGGCGAAATCTTATCAATAAACTATTGGCTTTTACAATAATATAATAAGCCCGAGACTGAATTTAAAGAATTTAAACCGCGTCACTGAAATTGAGCGCCGGCTTAAATCATGAAACATTTATAATAATTTCAAGTGAAACCAACCATGTTTGAGCCGCGTCTCAAATTTGAGGCGCAGCTCAAATTTTTTAATTCGGCCTCAGGCCAAAAAATTTGATTTGCTAGCAGATACAATAAAAAGCAAGCCACACACAAATATTATTATAAATATAAGGTTTAATGAAACCTACCGTAGCAGGTTGCCTGAACCTCCTGAAGTTTGTATCCTGGCAGATACACATACAGTAGATCAAGGTTATGAACAGGGTGATAAATCCAAACACAAGAATCACGATCCCAATATTCCTAAACAACAGAACTTTAAAAAAAAATTAATAATAGATTAACTTAAAAAACTAATACTAAAAGTATATAGTAACTAGGACTAAGTCCTAGAATGGTCCGGATTGGATTAAACAACACATCACAATCGACACTTATAATCGGCATCTCCTTGGCTTATCATGGCTCACAGCTGTCTCATCAAAAATCCAGTTATAAATCTCCCTTTTCTCCGGAAAACCTTTAAAAATCGTTTTTCATAATCTCTATAAATTCTTTCCTAAAATTATTATCCTTGGGTGTACGTGTCTCATACTTCATATGGACAAATAATCTGCGAAAAATCAAAATTTGAATATTAAAAAAGTAGTTAAATTTCTGTCAAAATTAAACGTGAAATGAGCCAGTTTTTATCATTACCCAGAAACGAAAGGAACTGAGTTTTGCCACAAATTATGAATTTACAATCGCCATATCTTTTCAACCTGATTGTGTAAACCTTTAATATTTCAAACTATCATTATTTGATCTAAAATGATTCATAGTTTGAAATATCCAAGGTTTCCGACATTCAAATGCAAAGATATAAGGATAAGAAAATCAGAGTCTGTGACAAAAACTCAACTCCTTTACGATTTTTTTAAAAAGCTTCATGACTGGTTGAAGCATATCAACCTATACAATTTGGATTAGTTATAATTGTTTTAAAAAATTCAAAAAATTGCCTTGGTTAAAATTCCCTCCCTCCCCTATATTTACCAGATGACCGGAGGCTCTGTAAGCTGCAGGACTATGATGAAACCAATACAGATGAGAATAAGAGCAAGGTTTGTTAGGATCATAAGACAGCAAACTCCCTAGAAATTACTTTTTAAAACTCATCCATAGTTATTCATATTAGATATCAAATGAAATGTGACGATTAAAAAAATGTACATGAATAATTCATGTTTCCTTAATTTACATTGTTTTGTTCAATCATAAAATCAAAAAAGTTTTTCAGACGCAAAGTGTTTCTATAATACTGGGTGGTTCAACGGGATTGAAAAATGTCTATAGTTGAGTATAGCTTTATATTTCCATAGCTGAACTTTGGCCTTTACGGACCAGCTTATGTGTCTGCACATCGAGTTAATCCAGAAATAGTAGCCGACCTGATCTAGACTTTAAGATACTCCCATTGTATCCGGATTATATCAAAATTAAAAATTTTTCGGGTTTGAAAAATCTATACAATAGCTTTTAGAGTAATAAACAATAATGCAGCATTTAGCCTTAACTTTAACTGATACCCAAATGGGCATGGAGTGAATTAAAGAACTATAAAAGAATTGAGTTTTTGCCACAAACTAAAATTTTCTTATTTCATTATCTTTGCAACCTGTTGGTGTAAATCTTTGAAATTTTAAACCTAACAGAATTCATAGTTTAAAATTTCAAAGGTACTTGACATTGGGTTGCATATATATAGGAATTACCATACAGAGTTTGCGGTAAGAAGTTGATTCCTTAGGTTAACATTTTTAAGAGCCAATCATCATTTGTTTTAAAATATGGAGCCTAACATCAAAACAATAATAATCCATCATACTCTATCCAGTACTAATCATACCTTAGTGTCTGGGCAGAAGGGGTTCGGAGCTGACATAGTTTCTACAGCTAATCCTGCCTTCATTGTATTCTTGGATTTATGAGTACTTGCTCCACTCAATCCAGTCCTTCCAGTTCCACTGCTTTTCAAACTTTTTCCACTATACAAAAGTATATATGATTCTACTAAAGTTACTCTCCATTTACAGAGATTATACACTTAATCTAAAGTTACTCTCCATTTAATTATACACTTAATCTGAAGTTACTCTCCATTTACAGAGATTATACACTTAATCTAAAGTTACTCTCCATTTACATTATTCGATGAAACAAAATTCATAGTTTAAAATAGTAAAGATTTACATCATCATGGGTTAAAAGGATTTAGGGATTAGAATATTAACTTTGAGGCAAGTGCTTAGTATGGATTATACCTGAGAGCTGTATTTGGTCTGTATCCTACTCCTATGGTTGAGGCGGGTCTAGAGGCTGAACCTTGATATCCTTGGTTCTCTACTCCTGTTGGTTCTCCGTTCCTGTTGTAAACAACTACTCCGGGAGGACGAGCACCCCAGGACCGGGATCTGGTAACCTTGCTAACCTAAATCAAAAAATGCAATTCAAAAAATAATATTGCTTTTTCATCAGTTTTATATATACATATTTATGTTTTTAAAACATGGGAGCAATATTGAAAAAAAACATTCATCGTTTTACCTTCAATTCGGGGATGTATTGCAATGCAAATGCAATATATTTCATATTAAATTTCACTGATTATTATTTGTAACTTTTGATGATGCAAATATGGGAAAATACATAATGAGTAGATCTAGATAGCAACATCTTGTTAATCATGTATGTTCTAACAGTTTTTAGTAATGCAAATGTAATATTGTTAAATATATTAATGAATCCGCCATTTCTCTCATTCAATGATCTAATTTATTATTAAAATCAATATTTTTCATCTAAGAAGTAAGAATAGGAAATAAGAAAAAAGAATTGAGTCTTTGCCACAAACTCAAATTTTCGGATCCCTATCTTTCCCAGGTGACATTGGGGTGCAAAAAAAGAGGGATAAAAAAATCAGTTTGTGGCAAAGACTAAATTTATTTAGCCATGGTAGCGTTCTTTATAGGAAGCGTTTTTTTTGATATGTTAATTTTAGCATTGGAGATTCTTTAAATATACCTGTCCCTGTTGTGCTGCAGTCCTACTATGCCTAGATGGAGACCTGTACGCCTCAGATCTTGGTAAAGTTGAACTGCGCGAGGGTCCAGGGCGTCGAGACGCACGTTCTCCACCCTGTCGGATAACAGGAGATTCTGCATAATGCGCTGAGTATCCTTGGTTAAGAGTGCGCTGGGATTCAGCGCGCCGAGCAGGTCGGGAAGGTCTGCCATCATCTCCATCCAGGTAGCTACGGGCCATCTTCCTGCAGAAACATTTTATAAATAAATCCTTTACTTGTATCTTCATGTTTAGTTTTACTACATATGTTATTCGTGCAAAGTCTATATAAAATATATCATTGATTTCCTATTTTTATGGTAAAGTCCCATAAACGTAAACACATGTAATGATGTAAGTATACAAATATTTTTCTTTCAGGTAGTTTAGTAATCAAGTAGACAATGCTAAAAAGTATAATTATTTAATTAATTCAAACAATAAAATTTTTCTTTTATGTACATTTAGTACAGCAAAGAGTTTGAGTTGACCATTTCTAGGTTCAATATTCTTTGTTCGGAAAATTTCGTTAACTTCCGCCTATCTTTAGAACATGAAATAAGTTTATATGAGATCACTGCATGTATATCACTCTGTACACTGTATCTAGGTATAAACATTACCTTGATTGTTTATATCTCTGCTATCATGGTTTTTAAAGAGAAGACTGTGTATAGACCAGAACCAGGTGTGTTTACAGTGTATGCAGACCTAAGCAACAGTTTGGGCACAAACCAGATTCCCAATGTCATGAGTCACGTGATACAACTATCCTGCCTTAGATTAGAACCTTTACTATTATACCTCATTCGGATGTTTTATAGCTTATCTAAACTTTTGAAGAATCGGAGAGACTTAGAACATTATAATACACCGACACCAGACACGATATGAGTCCAGTGTATATGTGTTTTATGTTCCTTTGTAATATTTATATTTCATAGGGAACAGATTGAAAAATAAACATATATAAGTATAATTTGTAAATTCTTAACAGATAATTATAAATGCCTTAGTGTAAAATACGATTATTTTTATGTTGTGTAAATTGTAAATTGTAAATGCCTGAGTATCATCAATATTTATTTTTGAGTCGGCAAAAATAATTTGTAAATTGTAAATTGTAAATGCATTTTGCATATGTATCACCCATGATTTTTTAAGCCGAAAAAAATAATTTGTAAATTGTAAATTGTAAATGCATTTTGCATATGTATCACCCATGATTTTTTAAGCAGTCGGCAAAAATAATTTGTAAATTGTAAATTGTAAATGCATTTTGCATATGTATCACCCATGATTTTTTAAGCCGAAAAAAATAATTTGTAAATTGTAAATTGTAAATGCATTTTGCATATGTATCACCCATGATTTTTTAAGCGGAAAAAATAATTTGTAAATTGTAAATTGTAAATGCATATTGCATATGTTTGACCCATGATTTTTTTTAAGTTGAGAAAAATAATTTGTAAATTATAAATTGTAAATGCTTAAGTATGAACTTGATTTTTTTAAATTGACAAAAATAATTTGTGAATTGTAAATGCATAAGTATCATCCATGTTTTTTTTAAGTCGGCAAAAATAATTTGTAAATTGTAAATTGTATATGCTTAAGTAAATACTCCTAGAAACAATCTTCTACATAAAAAACATTTCGCTCATATACATATATAAATTTTTTGAGGGAATCCTTGGTAGACATCTGCTGAATTTTGAAATTCCATGGGCTAGGGCGGGCACTTCAGCTAAAATTAGATTTAAACACAAAGCGCGGGAAAACGGCGAGGGTAACTATGACTATGATGTGGGCAACGCTGGGTTTCCAGATAGTTTATAATCAGAGATAAGAGAGTTACAGAGATCGATTATCAGCTAAAATATGGGATATTTTCCACAGAATGTTCTTTTGTGACAAGTACTGTACACGACCAATTAGCAAACATCTGTACTCAAGGATATTTAAGGACCCTTTGGATGATTTGGATACGAAACACAAAATCTTCAAAAAAGACTGAATTCATAAATGTTATGTTTCATGTTTAAAATTGGAGTATTTCTTTAAAAGTTGTAAAACTTAACTCCTGAATGGGTATTATGTGCAACAAGTGACCGTGAGATGGCACTCTAAAAACCTATCGTAAAAACGTAGCATGTCGTGCCGGGTCAACTTAGGCCTACGTAGCCCACCCTGTGTAAGGAGATAAGCAGTCTGTGTAGTCTGTGTTTATAATACATATATCACCCATCTGTACCATATTTTACCACTTGCAATAAAAAACTATATAGTTCTTTTATTTTTTCAACCTTAAACACAATATTTCTTCTCCTTTCATCCCATATTTCTCTCATTTTTAAATCTTTAAACAGTTCATGAAATAAAGTAAAAATAAAATGAATAATATTACATTTCAATCTTTTAAAAAAATCTTAAAAGAGTTAATCTTTTTAAAATATTTTTTTCCACCGGCAACGCCGCGCCCATCACCTAGGATAATCTATATCTCGTATCTTGTTTTAAAAAATTTAAACGAGAAATCGTTTTTATATTTTTTTTACAAACACATTACTTTTTTTCTATCTACAAACTCTATTTTTATCCTCTTATTTTTCTCTTTCTCTTATAATCTTTAAAACTTTTTCTTATGATTCTTAAGATTTATTTATAAAATGTGATGAATGGTAAAATGTTGTGACCAGATAAAGTTATTTGACAGAATACATTAAAATCCAATATTTCAATGTGGGATCTCTGGTAAAATGTTACGACCAGATAAAAAGGATTTGAAGAGTTATATAAGAACTTTATAAAAGATTAAAACCTCTGTTTCGAAAGGCACATGAGAATATTTTATGAAATACAGTGGTGTCCAAAGCTTTCTAATATAAATATTACATTTGATGGCGGTTTTGGTTTTCTCGCGTACTGATCCAAATATCTTATGTTGGGGTTTCATCAGGTTTCAAGTTCTCCGTGTGTCAGTATAATTTCTCCTGCGAATGTAAAGAACTAGTTCTCATTGTGGATATTACAGAGTTGATGTAGATTAGATTTAGTAGATAATAACTTTTCATGTGTGTCCTGTGAAAACTGCATACTGCAATTCTTCCTTGATTCCGTAAAATGAATGCACGTAGATCAGGTATTCCTAAATTAGTTTGAAGTCAGGTCAGGAACGATGTTATTCTTTTATAGAATAATTATTGAAATAAAAGAAGTATTCGCCTTCTAGAATTGATCTAGATACAATTCCTCAAGAGCAACAGTAAAACAGTGAAACCCTTAATAACGAATACATCGAAAGAATTCATGAAATGATTTTAGATCTACTTTCGTAGTCAGCCCTAGAAATAATTTTCATCATCGGCCTGTAGACGGGTGAATACTATACATATACATCCTAGCTCTAATTTGAATTAAGAAACTAGTAAGTTAGGATAAAAAGACTCAGGCAGAATGTCGTATTCTTCACTTTCTGGTTATGGAATGTTGCAGATATTTAGTTTTTTAATTAAATGATTTTATGGAACTCTTTAAAACTGTTCCCGCATATTCATGGCTATTTATTTATTTTCGGAAATACTTAGATTTACGTAATATAGTATAAAACTCATTGAAAAATTGTCAAGACGACATTTGATAAATTCTTACGATTTATTCGTTATTAAGGGCTTCACTGTACGTAGTACAGAAACGAAACGTACAGTCGTCTTCAGAGTCTTTCTGCCTGCATAGGAATTATTGTTAATCTAACGTTTAACAAGATTAACGTTAGATTTAAACAATACCTGGGAGGTTTTACAGACTATAATCTGTGTGCAGTTGTAGATCACCGTGAGATCTTTGTTAAAGCTGAGGTGTAGATGGGTGAATATAAGATGTAGGATCAAACTGTAGATAGGAAGCACTGGTAAAGATATCTCGTATCAGTCCGGCCTGTTCCGCATCTAAAGATCAATCAGTTGATCAGTTGATCAATCAGTTTTCAACATCAATTATCTTCTTCAATTAAATACATTTCAATAAGGTCTGTTTTTTAACCTACTTGTGTTTGTGAGACAACCCTATAGCCTCTTTGGAGCCTCAAGAATTCCGGGTTATACTGGTCACTCTTGATGATCAACTAGATCAAACAACTGTAATACAATTAATTAATCTAATGCTTTATATAGTCTCCGAACATAGTTTTGATAATTATTTTGTGCCTTGAATGTCATTTGAATTAACGGATCACTTCTTGAGATAGGATTAGGGAGCAAGTCTTTACTGATCTTGATCTCCCATGATCATATGGAACATGACGATCATTATTTGCCGTGAAAGCTTGGGATTAAATATTACATGTTTACAGTTTTAATATTTAAAATGTGCCAATATTAGTTTCCTTTAAGATGCTCGATAAAAATCTGGTTTACAATATATCTTAGATCTTAAAATACAGAATAAAATAACATTTTGATGTTCTTTCAACTTGAAAATTGACAGGATTAAAGGCAATCCTGCATATGTAGTTCTTGAGTGGATCATAGCCTTCTTCTTTCAGGCTGCAGTTTATCCTAAATAATAGTTTGGATTTTTTCACACATTTCAATCTGCTAACACTTAATAAATATATATTTCTTTCCTTAAACCCATGAAGTTCTCTTTTATCCTTAAATCTTTAAAGTCTAGTAAATATTAATAGAAAAATAAGTCGAAGTTTTAAGAACATTGCTGCATATCACAAAAAATTTGATATAATATCATATATATATATATATATATATATATATATATTATATATTATACTAGCTGAAAGGCCCAGCTTTGCCCGTAGGAAAAAAAAATAATTTTAAAAAAAAGATAAAAAAATAGAATATTTTTAACCTATGTCACCCCTGCAGGCTACCCATGAGTGCCGACAACAAATTTCAGCTTATTCGGTCCAGCCGTTTGGCCAGCCGGCAGCCGGTCTTGTTTTATTATACAGATATATGTATAATAATGATCTTATGAAAATATTTACATACATAAAGCATAATTTAAAAAAAACATGACTAATTATTTTGTGACTGTCAAAATTTACTTGTATGATATGGCCAAGGGTCAATGTCCTGATTAATTACAAAATATGTTTTAAAATTATATAACATCATGTAGGGGAAATTGATACAGGGTGTCCTAATAAACATGAGATATTAAGTGCAGCAACGTTATATCGTCTGTTTAGAAATTTGTCCAGGATCCTGCAATCGCAGCAAAATTGTTAAAATTTAATTAATATCTCCAACAATTCTAAATATATTAAAGAAAAACCACAATTAGAATTGGTCTGCACAAGTCGCACAAGACGTATCTTTTTTTACACACTTTGTCAACTCGGATATCAAATGGGATTTTTAAGTCCTTTATTAATTCCCATGTTTAATTGGACAATTCGTCTGTACAGGGGTATAAGCATGGCTATAATAGCTTTCAGGCAGATACGTACACAGGGGGTGGCTTATGGCAATGGGGGCTCAATCTCTAGAGGCTCAACTAGGACTTTTATACATAGGTAAATAATAATTTCAATCATCTACATTGAAAAAGGACAGATAATGTTACCTTTTCTCTTGAAGTTATTGAATTAATGATTGATCTAACCAACATTCAATCTAAATTCATTATCGATTTTATAGAATTTCTGTCAAAAAAAAAAAAATCTTGTTAGTTATCAAATATGATAATCAGTTAGAAATTTGCCAGGTTCAGAATTTTCTCTAGATTTGGAACTGAGTTTTTGCCACAAACTCAAATATTCTAATCCCTAAATCTTTGCACCGAGTGGTGTAAACATTTGATATTTCAAACTTGGAATATTTTACCAAAAGAATTAAAAGTTTGACTTCAGAACTTTTTTTACACTAAATGTTTACAATAGCCTTTAGCCATATGAGAATTGAGAAAGATAAAAATATATTTTTTTAAACTCTATAGTATAATAAAATTTCTACAAAAACTCTATTGGTTTTCTTATTCCTGTGATACTGATTTATGCCATTCTTTCTTTCTTTTCTTTCTGCAGGGGGCGCCCCCCCTCTCAGGTGCTAGGGGAGGGCGCACGCCCGGCCGCCCCCCCCTAGTTGCACCTCTATCAATCTCTCCCCCTAGGGTTGAGTAAAATCTATGATTTCCATGGGGGTGCTCAGTCCACCGGCCCTTGAAAGAAAATAAATTTAAGCCCCCCGAAGAACAAACTCGACCCGTTTGCGCCCATTTTTCATGCCTAACAGAACAATTTGCTAACAATTCGATAAATAGCGGCGCTCTTTATATAGTCTCATAAGCGTATCCAAAGGTGTATATTCAGGGGATATTGGGTCTCAGTCCCCTCTTGGACCAATGAAATCTGTGGTAGGTGAAAACTTAAGTTTAAGCCCCCCTCCCCATCTGAACAAATTCCTGAATTATACGCCCCTGACTCTATAATCCCACATTTGTGCCCGCTCTCTCAATAGATAATGGTCGTGTAGTTCACGTTACACCAGGGAAGAGGACGATAGTTTGGCGGCTAGATATGTCATCTCGTATGAATTATCTCATCTTAATTAACTATCAGAGAAGAAATTGATTTCCCGGTAACAATTTAGAAAGGAATATGATTAGCTTGAGTTTACAAAGTAAGAGAGAAAGTGAGACCCGAGTTCAAAATTAAGATCATCCATCCCTCCCTCCCCTTCCAGTCCTTCCAGACATATATAATAAACTAGAAATAGTGCAAATTCCCGCCACATATTTTAAACAGTTCTAAACTAGTTTCGTGCCGCAACCTCCCTGACTGATTCAGGTGCACTTCGTACTCTAGTATGGGCAGTTTTACCAGTTTACAGCAGTTAGGGGATTCATATTATATAGTATCTGTATAGATCATGTTTACGCAGGGAGGGTTGGGCATGCTAAGTTAAAGTTGGCAAAATTTTTTAGTTCCTGCTCGCGTCGACTTAACTCGTGATCTAAATTAGAAACTCCTTAAATATCTGAAGTGTCAGCTGACTTTCCCTTGCTTTCTATAACTTGGCATGCATAGTCGAAAAAAATATCCCACGTGAACAGGTTAATCTGGTCCTATAGGCAGTACTGCCTGAGACAGGAGAAAGCCTTAATTGTCTTAAACTCTTTTGTTGTCTTTCAGAGAACGTAAATGAAGTAATGGCAGCTAGTTTAGTGACAGATTATAAATCTGCCGAAGATATATTGCAGACTGGATTTAGCGGAGGCGAACCTGAAATCGATCAGATGTTCCAGCCTGGTCAGGATGAGGATTTTGCAGCGCTCGGAGTAGATTTTGATCTTTGCTCCGATCTCCAGTTGGACGGGGTTGATTTTCCTCTGGATATCTGGAGCACAGAGCAGAGCTCTCATGATGATTCTTTAAAACTAGAAGAGTCTTTTGGCATCGATGAAGATTTTAATCAGATGTTAAATGAGTGGGATAATCAGCTGGACTCATTACAGAACACAGAAGTAGAAGATATACTCCAAACGTCAGTTTCTAGTGTCAATAATACAGTTGAAGATCAACCTGAACCAGTTCAACAACAACAGCAAACTGTTACGTTGAAAAAACCGAATACGACGAATACATACCGCGGAGTAATAACATCAAACCAGTCCCGACAGATTCAAATAAGTTCTGCACTCCGATCACCTATTGTGACGCGTGGAGTTTGTTACACAAGAACAGGAGGGTTGGGAGTAACCCGCTCCGTCCAGAGCTCAGGGTTTGTTAACTCTTGTCCTAGAGTATCTATCTCTAATCAGCTGACAGGATCCAGTAGACAGATTGGAGAAGATTCTCCACTGCTATGCACTCCTATCAGTCCAATAAGAAGTCCTGGGTCCTCAAATGCTCCGGATTTCTTTATAGCTTCAACCCGTTCTACGGCGGATGTAGTGAAATCCAGCTATAGTCGTCTGATTAATCAGTGTAGAACCTCTATAATCAGCACCAATCCTGACAGTGCACAGTCTAGGTATAGTGAGAATAAGAACAACTCTCATGTTAAGATAATAGCCTCGGTTTCGCCCAAAAGTGATGGAACCTCAACGGCAAAGATACTCTCGTCCAATAGTATTCGAGAGTCATTGCCCAAAGAGCTCATTGATAAGATCCGAGCGGCAAGTCAAGGACGGAAAACGATTGCAATAATTGAGCCGATTAATCGAAAGAACGACAGTTCTCTGAACATAGATTCTTCGGTTTTTCGCGGAAAACAAACTTCAAAGTTCGGAACAGCAGCAGCGACTCTTGGTAAATGGAGAAACGTTGGAATATTACCATCCTACTCTAATAACGTTTCCGACCATGATTACTGCTGTCCCAGTAAGACGAGTAAATTTAGTAGGAAGTACCTGAACGCACATAACAAGGTGATGCGGCAGATGGAGGAGAGTATGAACCGTAGCAAGGGAGTCGCCAGGGTGGAGAGTCCTATAGAGGAGGTTGAAACCAAGAAGGATTCAGGTCTAGAGTCTTGTGAGATGAGTGATGCTAGTGAAGACGGGACAATGTATGACAAGCTGCCACGTTATCTAACTAGTGTTTCTGTGCAAACCATGGAGAGTAGATCAGTCCAGGACGATCACGGGTACAACCGTCTCCCAGCTTATCTTCTCCGCCCCCAGCAGTCTTTGCTTAAAACAAATATAAGTAAAAGTGTTGGGGAAGATCAGAAAATAGTAGTTTCGTCCATGGATAGTTTTGACCTTAAACCTGATATTAGTGACACTAAACCTGAATACAATCTTGTAGACAATGCTTCTCAATATATGAAGCTAGAAGCTCCGGGTGATGATGGAGCTAATTGTAAACCTGAGATTTATATTAGTGATGAAAGGACCCGGATTGTGGTTCCAGCATCTGAGAAAGTTGAAAATTCTGTAGATAAAACTCACCTTAAACGTCGGAGAGATAGTTTTGAAAGTAGTTCCGACGAAACAGACAATTCCTACAGGAGTTTTTATAAAAGAAGGAGATCCAACTATCCTCGGGAACTCCGCCATAGCTCTAGAGACAGGAGGAGAAGATATAGAGGAAGGTCTAGAAGTTGTAGCTCATCTCCAGACAGAAGGTAAAATTCCTTTTTATTTTTAAACTTTGTTAGACATTATTTTTTTAATTTAAACTTATTTTTTGTTTAGCAGTAGCAGATCTGGCAGGAGAATGAGGGATTCTAACAGGGATCATGAGAGATCAGGAAGACATTATGATCCTCGTGATCAAGACAGGCCTCGGAGACATTCTAATCCTCGAGAGCGAACCCACGAGCGTCGACAGAACCCGGAGCATAAGAGTGAGGTTGAAGAGCGTCGTGTAATCTATGTCGGGGGTATAGTTGAGGGAACCCTTAAATCTGATCTCAGGACGAGGTTTGAAACTTTCGGTCCCATCGTCGATATTAGTGTTCACTTTCGAGAGCGCGGAGATAATTACGGTTTCCTAACCTTTCAAAACTCTGCGGATGCGTACACAGCAATAGAACGCGGAAACGAGAATCCGTCCCATCCTAAATATGATCTTTGCTTCGGGGGACGTAGAACCTTTTGTAAAGAGGATTATTATGATATGGATGATGTGGAGGGAGAGGATGGAAATGGTGGAGCTCCTGGGTTCGATGAGTTGCTCCGGAGAGCGAGGAAAGAATTCAGAAAATGATTATATTCCAAATTTTAGATTTCTTACTATGCACAGTTTTCAAATATTCATTCAGAAAATTAAATTTCATTTGAGACCTGAGATATTTATTAATTTAAATATTTCTGGTTGAACTGATAACAAGTAAAAGTATTGATACATATTGTAACTGAAGTAAAAGCGTTTAAAAGATTGTTATGACATCTAACCACTTGGTGTTGTGTATTTATCACTTTGGCGAGATATCGGAGGGAAAAATCCATCTAAAGTTTTTACTAAAATTCAGGGGTTTAAATAGATTTTAAATTCCAAAATGAGGTTGGATAAGAAAGGTTAAAAATTATATTATATTGGTTTTTAATTAAATAAACGTGATATGATATTTTTAACTATTTATCAGAATTATGACAGAAGTTCATACTTTTTTGATAAACTTTAACTCTTAGAATAGTTTAAACCATAGATGGTTCTATTTATAAATCTTTTGCCGCTGATTAGTACCCCCCTCATTTAGTTAAATATCAAAACAATCCCTTTAAGGAACTGTATTTTGACATTATTACTGAGAAAATTGCTTGTCCTGGTATCACAAATAAATAAAAAATATGAAATATTTATCAAACATAAATTTAATGTAAACTAAACCTCGATCTCTTGCATGTAACCTGCGCTGCTGATATTATCTCCTGGATTTTGCAATCTTATCAGTTCCTATCAAAGTATATGTCTTATGCTGTTAACAGTTTCCAATGTGAATTGATGTATAGTTATGGTTAAAATTAAATTATTAGTCACCAGATTGTAGTCATTTTTTCTTATCAATATCAATTCCACATCAGTGCAAGCATCTGTATTTGTTGTCGTATTTCAGAAAACATATTACATAGTTCGCATTGTTTCAGAGAAAATGGAAACCTACGATGTTATTGTAAATCAACCAGTTGTCATAGACAATGGTTCCGGTGTAATAAAAGCTGGGTTTGCCGGAGATCAAATCCCAAAATGTCATTTCCCGAATTATATCGGGAGACCAAAGCATACTCGGGTGATGGCCGGAGCTCTAGAGGGAGATCTGTTTGTAGGGCCGAAAGCTCAAGAGCACAGAGGACTACTCAGCATTAAGTATCCAATGGAACATGGTATTGTCACAGATTGGAACGATATGGAGCGTATCTGGCAGTATATTTACAGCAAGGATCAGCTTCAGACCTTCTCTGAGGAGCATCCCGTTCTACTAACAGAAGCTCCGCTCAATCCCCGGAGAAATCGGGAGAAAGCCGCGGAGATTTTCTTCGAGACGTTTAACGTCCCCGCCCTGTTCGTCTCTCTACAGGCTGTCCTCAGTTTATACGCTACAGGACGAACAACAGGAGTAGTCCTAGATGCAGGAGACGGTGTAACCCATGCTGTTCCTATATACGAAGGGTTTGCTATGCCTCATAGTATAATGAGGGTGGATGTGGCAGGACGGGATGTAACGAGATATTTGAAACTTCTCCTCAGGAAGGAAGGGGCAAACTTCAGAACAACTGCTGAATTTGAGATCGTGCGACAGATAAAGGTAAAATCAGAATCATTAAACATTTTAAGATAAAAAATATTTATTTCGGTTAATTTTTATCCGACACTGACTAAACTTATAATTATTTGACAGTAAAACTGAAAAAAATTATTTAAATCTAACTATTAAAAAAATAATTTAAGTACAAACACTACTAGTATCAGGTTCCTAAAAATATTTTTTGTTATCATTTGTTTTCATGTTTTATTATCTTAAAAGCATATTATAAAATAGTAAATGGAAGATATAAGGGCTATATAAAAAATCTAAAAAATTATTTGAATCTAACTGTCGCAAAGTTTTGTTATCTATAAACACAAATATCAGGATTCCAAAAATATATTTTGTTTTTATTTGTCATGTCTTATTATTTCACATAGAGTCAGCCTAAAACTATATTTTAAAAGTATAATATGAAAGTTGAGAAATAATGTGTCAATCTGCCAAAGCCGAAATATGAACTTTTGAGAATAAATTTGAAAGTTTGGGATCGAAACCATATAAATTTTTTGTTAACAATTTAATTATTTTGGTATTTTCAAATGTAGTTAGATTATTTTCGTATCTTTGGATCGTGAGAGGGGGGTAAAAAGAAACCTCAATTTTAATAACTTTTACCCCTAATTGAAACAAATTCCCAATTGTATAGTAGTAAAATATATTTTGTAGGAATGATTTTTAAGGAAATATTTTGAATTTATCTTTACAAAATAAAATTTTACTATCCGAAACTGTTAACTGTTCAAATTTTATAATTTTTTTTCTGGTAAAGATTGATTGACTGATTTGTTCAGGAGCGAGCTTGTTATCTAGCAAGTAACCCTGCCAAGGAGGAAACCCTGGAGACGGAAAGGATTAGTTACACGCTTCCAGACGGCTCCAGTTTAGATATAGGCCCTGCTAGGTATTATAAAGATGATTTCAGAAGATATTTTGAGAGAAAATTAAAAATTCTACATCGGCCAGCTATTTTTTTATCCTAAAAAATCGTTTAAATTTCTGAATTCAATAATGAAATATTCTTTTTGCAAATTTAAACATTTCTGAACTACTGGGGAAAAAATGATTTAGGAAGTTCAAGGAGAAGATTTTACAACGAAAAATAAATCTTAAATGTAATAATCATGGAATATTACAACAATTGATTAATACTTAACCGGGTAGTTAAGGAAAGATAATAAGATTAAGGGGTAACCCACTCATTTTCTCTTGTAAGGGTTAGATCCACAAAAAGATTAAGGAGGCCCAGGGGTAAGCAGGTTTCCCCTCAAATTATTAATCCTCATGAGGATGAGGTCTCCCAAGTTAAGTAGTATTCTTATTCTATCGTTTAATCTCCTGTTAAACCAAATAACTAACCTCGGGGGATTAAAAAGTAAGTCTTAGATAACAGGGAATATAATTACTTATTCTCCCACTGAAATTCAAGTTGCTCAAAGAAAAGAGATTAAGGTTAGTTGTTTTGTTGAACAGGAGATTAAATTATGTCAAATAATGCTCCAAGTCCTAAATTGAACGCGAATATTTGATTTGATGTGACACCCGAAATTTTGATATTTTCAATTTTTTATAGTATCCGCAGGCGGTTGGTGAAGTTTTAATTTATGTCTACTTTTGCATGAAATTAATATTATAAAAAATCAGCTGGTTCTCCTGTTTCAGGTTTCGAGCTCCGGAGGTTTTGTTCCGACCTGATCTGATCGGAGAGGAATACGAGGGACTTCATGAGATTCTAGTTTTAGCAATCCAAAAGTCTGACATGGACTTAAGAAAAGTTCTATTTCAGAACATTGTTCTATCCGGAGGATCCACATTGTTCAAAGGGTTCGGGGATCGACTCCTCTCTGAGGTGAAAAAGCTGGCGCCCAAGGATATAAAGATAAGAATAAGTGCTCCGCAAGAACGTCTTTACTCGACCTGGATCGGAGGATCTATCCTGGCTTCCCTAGATACCTTCAAGAAAATGTGGGTTTCAAAGAAAGAGTATGAAGAGGAAGGCCTAAGAGCAATCCACCGGAAAACTTTCTAATCTTGATTCTCAAATTAAACCCAATCCTGCAATCCCCTTTTGATTCTGTGCATTTGATCGAAGTTATGTATTTGTAAAAAAAAAGTTCCACGGAATTTGAAATTATAAACTTCTTCAAATTAAAATTAATTTCCGATTTAGAAATTTGACAGTTTAGTCTTACAAAACTGCCGATGAAAGAACCCTGGATAAACTTGTGATAAAAACCAAAAATGGATTCTTTGTAGCTTCTCCGGGATGCATTCTTATTCTCACATATAAACATAACCCTGAGAGCTTATCCAAAATCAAGATATCCCTGCCCATGGACCAGAAAAATAGACGCCATTTCTTTTGATTACCACACGCAAACTCTTTATTTTTTTAAAAGATATTTTAAACCATTTTTTAACAAGAAATAATGATTATTAACTTAAACTGTTTTACCTATTTTTTTTAACTGAAAGCTTTGTGTTTATTTAAAAAATTAATCGATAGCGAATAAAATGTGGAACGCTATTTTTGCCGGTTTTGTAAATGGATCTTACTCTTCGTCCACTTCCGTTGAGTGGTCTATTCTCAGTGCTAGGTTTTATTTAGTATTTATTATGATTGGTCCAGGGTCCTTGTGTTGAAACGGATCCGGATTCGACTAGAAATTTTAAAATCTAAAATGTTTTCCTTTTTTAAAAACTTTTTTTTGGATTTTTCAGTTTTGTATTCCCTAAGTCTTGGAATAATCATGCTTAAAACTTGAAACAATTTTCCGTTAAACCCGGATCCGGGTGAATTGGAGGATTCGATCATTTAGGGATCACAGGCTCTGTTCAGTGTTAAATCCTTGAAATTATTTCATAGAATTCATACAATTCATACAATTCATTCATACACCAAATTTATTAATTATTTCACCTCTCCTTCTGCTTACTTTTTTTATTAACCCGCCTAACTTTTACTTTTTTACCAAGAAATTTTATATGAAATAATATTTTGTCCTGAACCAGTAAAATTGGAACATTAATCAATAAGCATTTAATAATTTAAATAAATGAAAATGTGATCAATATCTTAATTAACTAGCACTTAAACTCGAAATTGTATTTGTAATTAAAACACGAAATATACAAATAAATGTCAAGACTAAATCTGGTTTCAGATGGAAAACAAACGGCTGTGAGCTAAAAACTAAAAATGTCCAAGAACGAGATAAAATATCAATCTGTGAACGTGGACGGGACAAACATAAACTTCCCTTTCGAACCCTACGATCTACAGATTGAGTACATGAGAAAGGTTGCGCCTTATTCTAGTAAAATGTATTTGCATAACTTGTTAATATCTATTTTATTTTATATTCTCGTAAAACCAGGATGTATTAAATCTAAAATACTTCACGTTCTTTAAAGTAATTAACCCGAAATTTTTTTTTCCCACGGTCCGCATAGTCCGTAGACATTTACCATTCAGCTGAAATAAATAAAAACCCTGGCATTTCACTTTCATATACTAATAGGAAAGGTCCGTAGTCCGATTTTTGCGGTTTATATACATAAAATGACCGTCAAGATGTTGCGCTAAAACTCATAAATGTAGTTGGATAGAGTGTCCTACAAGAAGAACTTGGGTTGTATAATGTGCTAGAGAAAGAATTATTACGTAAGCAGGCATATTAGAGCCCAGGGCTTGAACAATGATTACCCCTGTACTAGAATGTGGGAATTAACAAAATCTAATTCCTTAGAAAATGTTTTAATTAGTAAGCTTGTTGTTTTGCTTGATTGAGTGTCTGCCGTAAATCCTGCAAGATATTCACAACACAGGCTTTTTCAGTTCTGTTTTGGCAGGAGGGGGTGGAAAACATGGTTGTACTGTAGGAGGGTGTGGAAAACATGGATGTACTGTAGGAGGGTGTGGAAAACATGGTTGTACTGTAGGAGGGTGTGGAAAACATGGTTGTACTGTAGGAGGGTGTGGAAAACATGGTTGTACTGTAGGAGGGAGTGGAAGACATGGTTGTACTGTAGGAGGGGGTGGAAAACATGGATGTACTGTAGGAGGGAGTGGAAGACATGGATGTACTGTAGGAGAGATTGGAAAACATGGTTGTACTGTAGGAGGGGGTGGAAAACATGGTTGTACTGTAGGAGGGGGTGGAAAACATGGTTGTACTGTAGGAGAGAGTGGAAAACATGGTTGTACTGTAGGAGGGTGTGGAAAACATGGTTGTACTGTAGGAGGGTGTGGAAAACGTGGATGTACTGTAGGAGGGAGTGGAAGACATGGTTGTACTGTAGGAGGGTTTGATGTGACACCCGNAGGAGGGTGTGGAAAACGTGGATGTACTGTAGGAGGGAGTGGAAGACATGGTTGTACTGTAGGAGGGGGTGGAAAACATGGATGTACTGTAGGAGGGAGTGGAAGACATGGTTGTATTGTAGGAGGGGGTGGAAAACATGGTTGTATTGTAGGAGGGAGTGGAAGACATGGTTGTATTGTAGGAGGAAGTGAAAAACATGAATGTACTGTAAGAGGGAGTGGGAAACATGGATGTACTGTAGGAGGGAGTGGAAAACAGGGATGAACTGTAGGAGGGAGTGGAAAACATGGATGTACTGTATACAGATGGGTTATCAAATCAAATCATATACAGATTTCTCTGCATTAATAATTTTAACAGATTTTAAACAAAACATGAGTAAAATAAATAAATAAATTTAAATTTAAATCTTTTTCAACAAAGCCCCCTGTAATTTTTACAACGTATATATTTTTTTAAGAAGGTTAGAGATGGTAGAGAAAGGTGGTCAACTGTTAATGATTATTGGAATTTATAAAGGTATTAGAATGTGTCCGGGAGAGTAAGAATGGTTTATTGGAGTCTCCAACAGGAACTGGTAAAACCTTATCTCTTCTCTGCTCCTCGCTGGCTTGGCTCGAGGAAACCAAGGCAATGGGTCAGCTTGCTAGGATGCAGGCTGCAGCTAACGCTGACCCTGCTGCAGGTGAAATTATTTAGAACAACAGATCCTTTTAAAATCATTATATGCCAAAATATTCAAAGTCCAATTTTCTTAAATGGGTTCTTCCTTATTATATATCGCACCATCCCACTCGTGTCTAACCAGGGCGAGATGGGTTCAGTTTATACAATTTGAATTCAACCGTGTTCTGGTCTATATTGCAACAATCTTTAAATTCACGCAGTGTCTTTTTATACTTTTTCGTTTAAAGTGCATCTGCCGATAAAAAAGTAAGAAGAATAAAAGCTAAGAGTGTGTCCACAAGGTCAAATTGTGATCGAAAGTCGCAGCTTTCTGCGAAAAGGACCGAACTTTTAAGTCTGTGTGAACTGAAAGCTTAACGCCAAAATATGTTTTAAACCTAAAGAACTCTGTTTTTGACGATTTTACGATTTCTTTAGCATTGCATTATTTATAGATTGGATCAGTATGGGAGGAGGACCCAGACATAAGATTATATATTCCAGTAGGACGCATTCTCAGCTCAGTCAAGCTATGGGAGAACTAGCAGGTGAGATAATATACTCCAGTAGGACATATTCTCAGCTCAGTCAAGCTATGGAAGTACTAGCAGGTAAGATAATATACTCCAGTCTAGCTATGGGAATAGTAGCAGGTAAGATAATATACTCCAGCTTAGGACACATTCTCAGCTCAGTCAAGCTATGGGAGAACTAGCAGGTAAGATAATATACTCCAGTATAGGACACATTCTCAGCTCAGTCAAGCTATGGGAGAACTAGCAGGTGAGATAATATACTCCAGTCTAGCTATGGGAGTAGTAGCAGGTAAGATAATATACTCCAGTCAAGCTATGGGAGTACTAGCAGGTGAGATAATATACTCCAGTAGGACGCATTCTCAGCTCAGTCAAGCTATGGGAGAACTAGCAGGTAAGATAATATACTCCAGTCTAGCTATGGGAGTAGTAGCAGGTAAGATAATATACTCCAGTCTAGCTATGGGAGTAGTACCAGGTAAGATAATATACTCCAGTCTAGCTATGGGAGTAGTAGCAGGTAAGATAATATACTCCAGTCTAGCTATGGGAGTAGTAGCAGGTAAGATAATATACTCCAGCTTAGGACACATTCTCAGCTCACTCTAGCTATGGGAGAACTAGCAGGTAAGATAATATACTCCAGTAATGTACTGTAAACGTCCCAGGAACCCCATACCGACACATGAGGTGTATACTGTATACTGCATACTGTAAACGTACCAGGAACCACATACCGTCACATGAAGGTGTATACTGTATACTGTACTTGTACTGTACTGTAAATTTCCTAGGAACCACATACCGACCTATGAAGGTGTATACTGTATACTGTATAGGTAATGTACTGTAAATGTCCTAAGGACCACCTACTGACTCATCAAGGTGTATACTTTAAATGTCCTAGGAACCACTAACCGACACATGAAGGTGTATACTTTAAACTATATATGTACTGTACTGTAAATGTCCTAGGAACCACCTACTGACATATGAAGGTGTATACTGTATACTATATACTGTAAATGTCCTAGGAACCACCTACCGACACATGAAGGTGTATGATGTTTACTGTATACTGTAAATGTCCTAGGAACTACCTACCGACACATGAAGGTGTATACTGTATACTGTATACTGTAAATGTCCTAGGAACTACCTACCGACACATGAAAGTATCTATCCTTGGTTCAAGGGATCAGCTGTGTGTTAACCCTGCTGTTATGGAGGCTGGATCTAGCAGGGAGAAATTAAATATGTGTCAGGTAAACTAGAATTATGAATATCCCATATTTTATTCAAACTTTTTTATTGCTTTATCTGCAGTATTTTATCTCCATACATTAATAAACAGAAATATAAAAAATTTAAAAATACTGACGACATTTAAAAATAATATTCTGACCTGCTACCCACCCACCCACACTGGATTCTGTTGTTAAATTTTTTATTGGAAACAAACTTAATGAAATATATTACAGGCTCGTGTTAAAGCCAAGACTTGTTCATACCATCAGAACGTAGAGAAACAAAAAGAAAGGTGAAAAATAAATAAGAAAGGTTATTTTATGGCATTGGTTCTAAATTATTTGATCTTGTTACAGGTTGTATAATTTCATCCTTCCCCCTCTCTTTGAAAAGCAGTCTTTCTCTGTTTGTAAAATATAATTAAACTTAAGGAAAATAAATGTTTTTTTAGGAGAAATTAAATGAATTTTTGGGTAAAAAGTATCGCAAAGGATAAAAAATGGCTGTTTGATCTCCAATTTTTCATTTTTCCCCAGAAAATTAAAAATTATCCCCCCCGGGGTGGGTGGGTAATTCTTGAAGATATATATATAATATACCCCTGTCTGTTTAGACCTGAGCTGCGGGATAATGTAATCATGGATATTGAGGAGCTTCACAAACTTGGGAAGAAACATAACTTCTGTCCCTTCTACATGTCACGTGAGCTCTACCAGTCAGCTGACGTCATATTCATGCCCTATAATTATCTACTAGGAATTGAACAAACCTTTTAAGTAATCATCTATTATTTCATTTAAAACGTGACATTTTTACTACTTTTTTTTATTTTTTTTGTTCTTTTCGTACACAAAGTTTATGGTACAGATATGGTACAAGTATAACCAAGTAAGAACCTAAAAAGTTTTGCAAATTGTTTAGCACAGTGGACTTTCAGAGGGTTTTCTCGTTTTTTAGGCTTGTATTTTAGTTCTGTCAATTTATATACCATGAACTTTATAAAGAAAGACAGAACTTCGAGATTTAGAAGATCTATTAAAATAGTCTTTTTATAAATCTATCAATTAATCAATTAATTAGATCGAGTTAAATATATGTCTTATAATCTTAATACTTTCAATCTAGGAGACATCAATGTTGGAGTTTATGTCTTTAAATAATAATAAAGATTTAATATTTTATTTTGATGATTCAAAAATCATCTGAAAGTATCGAATGGCAACGTTCTTGGTCTTCTTTTATCGAGTCCACGGTGCCTGATGTCAATAAATCTAAATATGCTTGAAATATGCAGTGTCAGATCAATAGATGCATTAATATTCATCATTCTTTTTGATGGAAGCCTTCCCTGACTTCCATTGAAATATGGTTGACTGGATATTATTATTATTTTCATTGTTATTATCTTTATTGTTGAATTTATCTAAAGGTTTTGTTGACTAGACCCTAAGACAAGAAAAACCCTTGACCTTGATTTGACCGGCGCAGTTATTATTTTCGACGAGGCGCACAACATTCAGAAACTATGTGAAGAATCTGCCTCTGTCTCTATAACACTGGCAGATATAGCTCAAGCTGTTCAGGATATTAGTTCTATCAGGTATCTAATAACTTATCCTACTTCTCTGATTAAGATATTAGTTCTATCAGGTATCTAATAACTTATCCTACTTGCTCATTTTAACAGCAAAATAGTTGCCTAAGATCCGGTCACAATTGTTTTAATTAAAATGTGAAAAAGAAATTAAATATTTTGTTTTATTAGTCTCGGGATTTCATGTTTTTTTTTCTCCAGATTTGTTACATAATAATATTAACAGTATATCATTTTTAATGTTTAAGTGAAGAGATGGCCGAACCTGCTGTGGGGTTCGATGTTAAAGGAGAACAAATTGGATCCAAGGATCTAAATGAATCTGAGATGCTCGCAATTAAAGGTCAGCTGTTTGGCAAACTGTGCTTTAATCGGAAAGGTTTTTTTTCGGACCAAAAGGTCAAAATTGGAACCAACATTTTGACGCATTTCTTTCACAAATTGAACCATAAGTTTTAAATTCACTCAGTCATAGTCATATCTGGATTAAAAATATTCAAAAAGTTTTGCTCACTGCTCAGGTTCCGAATTCATATTTGTTGGCTTCCTGGAACATAGTAGCAATAAAATCAAGCTTAAAAATTGGACATTAGTGGCCAAGCCCCTGTGCTTTCTAATAGGTCTTAACCATATATATATTTTTTTTCCATTTTTAACCGAAATTTTCTGATGTAAAGGGTTTCTTCTGGAGATTGAAACAGGATTGGGGAATATCATGAAGAATCAAAAAAGTTTAACAAAACCTGGATCATTTATCTCAGATGTTTTTGGAGCTTTCAAACTCGGCAATGTACAGCATACTTTAGGTAAATCTACTGCTCTCATGCAACTTGAATTACTTTCATTAATATTTGATTATTTCGAAAATATTATTTTTAAATTAAATTAAGCTATAAATTTTTAAACATAAACAATTTCTTTAATTATTTTTATTGTTTTTTATTAATTTAATTTGAACAGCTTTATTATTTTAACAACAACTTTATTTTTGTTTTGTTCTAGATCTGTTGGTTAACTACACTAATGGGCAGAATGAGGGTGGGATGTCTACCAAAGGTCGAGGATTATCAAAACTAGCGGATTTAATATCTATTGCATTCAACGAGAATGTGAGCCAGGAGAATCTAGAGACTTTATACAAGGTTTGAATTCAACTCTCAAACAGAAAATCGTCGATCAGTGAACAGATCACCGTTAGTTTGTTAAAAGATAACCGTTAATTTGTTAACAGATAACTGTTAATCTATTAACTGAAAACCGTTAATTTGTTAATGATAACCGTTAATGTGTCAATAGATAACCTCTAATTTGTCAACTGACAACCGTCAATTTCTTCAAATCTGAAAATATAGTTGATATTTATTACTCAGTTCAATAATGACTAAATAAAAAGTTCCCTGGTAGCCAAGTATGAAGGAAATCGAGAAAAAAGATGGTGCCATTACGCCCTCTTTTCATTATAAATTCATATTTTCAAAATTGTCAAATTAGGTGCGGACAAAATAAGAAAAATTGAAGAAATTCCACAAAAAAAGAAGTGTTTAAAAAATATTTCAAGCTTAAAAAAATTCCTTATTGTAGATAAAACATGATAAATATTTTCTCTGGTTCAGGTTCATATAAGTAAGGAGGAGAAGAGTGAAGGAGGACGAGGATTTCTTAAATCTCGAAGTGAAACTGTTACTTTGAACCTCTGGTGTTTCAGTCCTGGGTTCAGTATGCAGAGATTAGCAAAACTCGGAGCTAGGTAAACAGAGCTGAAAACTCTTGTTTTGGATATTGATTGCTAAATCTAGATATACACTGTGAACCACTTTTGATTTCTACTTAATCCTCTCGTTTGGAAATTCCTGCTGGGTTCAGACCAAAGAGATTTTTCTCAATGATTTGTTGCATTTTTGACACTTTCTTGAATATTAATTAAATTAATCTGCAGATTAAAAAAAGAGGAGATCAAACATTGATCTTGATATCTCGATATTCTAAAGTTTTCAACTTTGAATACGACAAATGAGATGTAAGCTTTTTATCGTTGGGATATCTCATAAACACCAAACTTTACCATATTGAAAATAAATTAATTCATTGAGTGATTGATTGATGTTTAATAGTTATTATTGATTGATTGTTAAATAGTTTCGATTGATTAATTTAGGTCTATAATCCTGACCAGTGGAACCTTGTCTCCGCTTCAAGCTTTCCAGGAAGAAATAGGAATACCGTTCCCAGTTCAGCTTGAGAACAAACACATCATCTCAGCTAGTCAGGTACAATGTACATTGATTTATTTATAATTATAGGCTTTTTAGGGCGCTTTGCACAAATCTTCTATTTCAATTGTGAACATTTTCTCTTTGTATACATTGTAAAATAAAAACAAACAAAAATTTCGCCGATTTTATCAAAAAAATTTGTGGATTCTCAAAATTTTCAAAAATCAAATTTTGTTAGAGGCAAATTTTTGAAAGTTTGATCATCTATAAACCTTCCCTGGTTCACGCGAGGTCTCACTAAAAATTTGGGCTCAATCGGTTCAGCCATTTTGATGTTTATTGGATATTACAAACAGACAGACAGACAGAATATATATATATATATTTTAAAGGGACTGTCGTATTTTTAGAGAACTCTCCATTTAAGGTATTCCAGATTCACAACGATATCCTTGAAACCTTATTTGATCAATAATATAGAAGAAATTTAATCAGGAAATATCCTTGAAACCTTATTTGATCAATAATATGGAAGAAATCTTATCTGTAAATATCCTTGAAATCTTATTTTATCAATAATATGGAAGAAATCTAATCTGGAAATATCCTTGAAATCTTATTTGATCAATAATATGGAAGAAATCTAATCAGGAAATATCCTTGAAACCTTATTGGATCAATAATATGGAAGAAATCTAATCTGGAAATATCCTTGAAATCTTATTTTATCAATAATATGGAAGAAATCTAATCTGGAAATATCCTTGAAATCTTATTTGATCAATAATATGGAAGTAATCTAATCAGGAAATATCCTTGAAATCTTATTTTATCAATAATATGGAAGAAATCTAATCTGGAAATATCCTTGACACCTTATTGGATCAATAATATGGAAGTAATCTAATCTGGAAATATCCTTGAAACCTTATTTTATCAATAATATGGAAGAAATCTAATCTGGAAATATCCTTGAAATCTTATTTTATCAATAATATGGAAGAAATCTAATCAGGAAATATCCTTGAAACCTTATTTGATCAAAAATATGGAAGAAATCTAATCTGGAAATATCCTTGAAATCTTATTTTATCAATAATATGGAAGAAATCTAATCAGGAAATATCCTTGAAACCTTATTTGATCAAAAATATGGAAGAAATCTAATCTGGAAATATCCTTGAAATCTTATTTTATCAATAATATGGAAGAAATCTAATCAGGAAATATCCTTGAAACCTTATTTGATCAAAAATATGGAAGAAATCTAATCTGGAAATATCCTTGAAATCTTATTTTATCAATAATATGGAAGAAATCTAATCAGGAAATATCCTTGAAACCTTATTTGATCAAAAATATGGAAGAAATCTAATCTGGAAATATCCTTGAAATCTTATTTTATCAATAATATGGAAGAAATCTAATCAGGAAATATCCTTGAAACCTTATTTGATCAAAAATATGGAAGAAATCTAATCTGGAAATATCCTTGAAATCTTATTTTATCAATAATATGGAAGTAATCTAATCAGGAAATATCCTTGAAATCTTATTTTATCAATAATATGGAAGAAATCTAATCTGGAAATATCCTTGACACCTTATTTGATTAATAATATGGAAGACTAAGCTGGAAATATCCTTGAAACCTCATTTGATCAATAATATGGAAGATTAAGCTGGATAAAGCTAATTCTGATAAATTCTCAATAATTTCTGAAGTAAGAAATTCTCAAGAAACCAAATAGATTACTTATTCATACTTGATGAGATTAAGGTTTAAAGGATACCGTTGTGAATCGGACATGCAACTCTCAGTGAAGACTCACTTGAAATAACGTCTACTGTTCCTTTAATCTAAAATTTTCTTCTTAACCCTTTCCCTCGGTGAAAGACCAATTTTCGAGAGTAAAAGAGTCTTTCCAGTCTGTTCAGCGACAGTACGAGTACCCCACCCCCTTCTCCAGCACACCTGAATGCCTAATCTTTAACTCTGAAGAGTGTAAAATCAGAAAAATTGAATTAGGTTTGGTGTGGAGTCCTATCTCATGGTCCAGATGGAACCCAGTTGAACTCCTCCTTCAGATGCAGATCTGATCCTAAATATCTAACATCTCTTGGACAAACTGTATTGAACATCATCAGATTAGTCCCTCATGGTGTTCTCATCTTCTTCCCATCCTACAGGTTCAGAAGTTTTTAACATGCCAGATTTTTGGAATGAACTTATTCCTTGAAATATTCGATTCTTTGGATCTTTTGCATATTTGAGCTGGGTCTTTAAATAACTATTATTTTTGTTTGCAATGCTTTAAAGTTTTTGGACAAAAGGTTTAAGTCTTTTTATATATCACGTCGTGTCAAATATTAGTGATAGGTAATTTAATGAAATGTTTGTGCACTTTTTTTATATATAATGATTTTTGAATGTTGAAAAGTTATATACTATATATTAAGTCCTTAAAAAATAGCAGTTGAACTTTTATTTCAGTTTGATGAACTCAACTCGGGATTTCTGGCAGAACTGTGGTATCTGGTCTAAACTGGAGATGGTAAAACCAATTTTCTTGGAACCTCAGAAGAAGGATGCACTCTCAGCAACTATGAAAGGTTTGATTTTTGTGAGCAAAAAATGGTTTTTCATTTTATGTAAGCGTTAAAAGTTCCAAACCATGGATATAAATATATGTAAATGAATTTAAACATCTTGGAAATCTATTTCAATCCGATAATTCTATGACCAGAGATTGTAATTTGAAACGTGCGAAGTTTATATCAATAATTCACTCTTTGAATCAAGAATTTCATTTTTCTGAACCTACAATGGTTGTTAAGCTTTATAACATATATGCATCTAGTCTATATGGTTCCATCTTATGGGATTTGTTTTGTGTTAACACTGTAAAATTGTATACTTCTTGGAATACTGCTATTCGTATTTTATTTGGTTTGCCACGACAAACTCATAGATATTTTATTGAACAAATTTCTGAGCAAATTCATTTAAAAACTATGTTGTGTAGCCGATTTGTATCATTTTGCGAATCTATGTGTAAAAGTCGCAAGCTCAGCATCCGACTATTGTTTGATTTATGCAAAAATGACCAAAGAACAAAATTATGTAAGAATTTATCTAATATTGCAAATGAAACCTATGTAGATAAACTGTCCTTGAACAAGTCTCTAGTAAAGTCAAACATGATTCACGCGAATCCGGCTGAAAATGCGTGGAGAATTCCACTGTTAAAAGATTTACTATTAATCCGGTCAAATCCAAATGTTTTAGAAGGATGATGAAATAGATGGAATTATTGATGATATATGTAAAAACTAACTAAGTTTTTATTTTTTTTTATTTTATTTTATTGTTTTAGACTATATATTAATTCTATATTTTATCTGTTATATATCTCATTTCTCGTTGATTTTAAATTGTACCATTATAATTGTGTACGAATAAATAGAATAGAATAGAATATATCTGTTATTCCAAAACTTCATAATATGATCTATGAATGTTTTCAAAACAAAATTTTTAAATGCGTAAAATTCAAAAAAAAATTAAATCCTGTAAACTACCTTGATTACCAAAATAGATAATAATTTCTGCATTTAGAATATTACACTGCGGCCAAGGATGTGAAAGGGGCTTGCTTCATGGCTGTTTGCCGAGGAAAGGTGGCCGAAGGTTTAGATTTCGCCGACGATAATGGAAGAGCAGTTCTTATCATGGGTCTACCCTATCCTCCTCTCAAGGATGCGAGGTGAAAACATTTTTTATCCTAAATTCAAAATGTTTTAGTATTCAAATATTTTATTATTTTACAAAGTCAATGAGGAAAAACTTACATATTTTAATTTATCATCTTCAAAATTATTTTCAGGGTTGAACTAAAACGACAGTTTCTCGATGATGAGTTAAAAAAGTCTGGTAAGACTGGGGGTCAAGGTATGACCGGCAGCAGATGGTATAGTCTAGAAGCATTCAGGGCAACCAACCAGGCTGTAGGAAGGGTCATCAGACACTCTAGGTAACTTCTTTGGTCAAATTAACTTCTTTGCATTATTTAATACTTAAATGTTTTAGGGACCACGGAGCTATAATATTCCTTGATAACCGGTTCTGTGACCAGATGGCCCGCCAGGCACTCTCACGCTGGCTTCAACCCTTCTTCCAGACTCACAACCAGGTTGGAACTGCAATCAAAGGTATCGCAAGCTTTTTCAAGACGGACAGTTTAATTGGAAAACTTCGCGGGGATTTTATAGCGGAGCAAACCGCCATGATCAACAAGAACAAGAGTTTAAAAAGACAAAGAGTAAATATAAGGATTGAGGATGATGAACCTGCGGCGGTTAACTGCAGTGCTGAGGAGTACAAGGGAGAATTGGAGAAACAATCTACTGCTGAATCAATTTATTCAACCTCGTCAGAGAGAATAAATTTCCATTCGCAAAATTCTAAACCTGACTCAGCTGTGTTCTTGAAACCTTTCCCTGTTCCTTTGAAATCTGTTCAACCTCGAAAAAAAGTTCGAATTGCAGTTCGAGGATTTCCCTCAGCCGATACCAGGGATGAAAACCAGGCCCAGAATCTCCAGAAACCTCCAAAAGCTGAGGCTCCTAAAACGTTTCAGGAGGATGCTCATGATAAAGCTAAGCACTATGTTACAATGCTGAAGAAAACTGTTACTAAGGACGAGTTTGCGTTATTTAAAGATGCGATTAAATCCTATAAAACTCGTGAAGATTTTACGGACGTCAAGGCTGCCTTGGAGACTATCATGGTAAAGTACGTGCTTGTGAAACCAGAGCTACTCAGCGGTTTCAAGGTGTTCATGAAAAAGCATCATGCGGAGGAGTTCGATAAATTCTGTTTGGAGAAAATATCCGAGGCTCAGGGTTCTTCTCCGCATGTAGAAACATCTTGAATCTCCAGGATTAGGGGAAGCTGAGAGCGTATATCATCCCTCATATTTAAGTCTGTATCAGTCCTTCATGGAATTCCTTCCTACTCTTCCATAAGAAGGCTATTTTGTATTTTTGTTGTACGCTTAATCCACCACTCTAACATCTGTGATATTTTGTTTTTAAATACATTTTTTAATCTATTGTTTTTTTATACGTTTTATACCTGCCATGACAAGCAGTAGCACTAGAAAAAATATCAGAACAAAAAATGAAAGCTTAACGGGACTGACGTTGTAATTTTATATGACCCTGTATTTGAAGAGGGGCGTGCTTGGTTCACAACGGTGCACTTAAAATGTTATTTTGAGTAATTATGTGGAAGAAGGCGTCGGTTGTTTAGTTTGACAATTGCTCAATTCTGATATTTTCTGCATTGTTTCTGAGGCAAGAAATGAGAAAGTTAGATAAATCACAAATGAAGATCAGTTTTCAAAAACTAATACAGGGATAATGATGTCAAATTCAAGCTTGATCAATGTTTAAAGAGGACTGTTGTGAATCGTTAATGACGTTAATTGGTGATCGGTCTAGAAGCAATTAAACTTAATACCACTGCAGTTTCTGTTTTGGAAATAGTGAAACGTATCGACTGCTGGCTGAATAAGCACTAGAAATTTAGTTTTAACAGCTATTTATAATTTTGCTATTCATTAATTCCGAATTTTTCTATACAGTCAACCTCGAATTTGTCCAGAATTCTCAGTGATAGGCGGAGTAATGCACGTAAAATATTTCATAAGGCTGGGCCGGGGGGTCTGTAAATTAAGTTCAGTTAAATGTAATCCAGCAGATCCAGAATAAGCTTATGGTCCTGAAGAAAAATGTTACATTGTCTGAGCTAAGAAGTACGCAATCCGCTATACTCCACTTCTGACCTACGCAAAATCCTATAATACTTCACATCCGATCTACTAGCACGTGGTTATAACAGCTTCTCTATGGCCCCCTAGCCTGTTCTAGCCGCGGCGCTCTCGGCCCCTTAGCCTGTCCTAGCCGCAGCGCTCGGCCCAGAAATTATCTTAATCTAACCTAACCCTAATCCGACCTACTAGCACGTGGTTATAGCAGCTTCTCTATGGCCCCCTAGCCTGTTCTAGCCGCGGCGCTCTCGGCCCCTTAGCCTGTCCTAGCCGCAGCGCTCGGCCCAGAAATTGTCTTAATCTAACCTAACCCTCAAATAATACAAAAATAAACAGCTGGCGTAGGTCCGATATTGCAGTAGGTCAGAAGTTCAGTAGGGGGGTTATTTCGTATAGACGATGTAACATTACCCATTTTTTAAGCCTACGATGACCGCACCCTTATTAATGAAAAATAATACCAACGTCTATAAATAATGTCGTCTTCTTTAGTTAAATGTCGTTTTCATTGCTAAAAATCTTACGGGGCCTTCCTCGCAGGATGCGCAGTCTCTTGTAAACTAAGAAACCGGAGACTTCATGGTGGGCGCTAAATGACGCTATTATTTACAGTGAAATATGTTTAGAAGTAACATATAAATCAGAGTTATATATGAGAATAGAGTAGATAGACGTCCAAACATATCAGTGATCATATTTGGTATAATCACAAAAGTTGATTTTTAAAGGTCGGATTGGATGAATCGCCGGTTTCGACGAAATATTAAGACGATAATAAACTTGTATTTATTTTCTGTTGGGGTCTCCCACAAGGACACACAATTATGTAGATTATCGTATTTTTAATGCTGAACTGTAATATTGTTCTCTGTTTTTAAATGGTCAAGGACCCCCTTAGAGGCTAAAACAAGGATTTTCGAAGGCGGGGGGGGGGATTTTAACATTTTGCTCCCGTAGCATTCATACAACCCCATTTATTATGTATTTCAAATTATGGTATTTAGCTGGGGTTCATTTCTTAATCCCAATCGTTTCTGGGATTAACAAACTCTGTCCAACAGAAGGCTCCCTTTACCACCTTTCAGCTTCCACCTGACTTAATTTATACCCTTAAGGTTGTCCATTATTAATTTAGACTTTTTAAATATCTTAATACCAAATTCGCCAGTATTTAAAATCCGCGATGATCAGCCACGCCACCTTTGCCCTGGGAACTTAGTCGCATTGTTTTGAAGAATATATAATTACCTGTTTCTTTTTTGGGCTAGCCATGGTCAGGGGTTGGTTGCTGTGGTTTATCGAATTCTGTTTGAATCCTACATTCTTGCCCACAAACTAATAATATTAACAATAAAATGAAATTTGAAAATATCTGAAGTAAGAAAATAATATGATCACAAAGGAAACTAAAATGTTGAAATCCTCTGCTTTGATTTCTGAATATTTCAGACTAGTTTCTGAACATGGGAGAAGATCGGAAGCATGAAGATAGATCCCGGGACAGGTCTCCTAGACGTAGATCTAAGTCTAAAGACCGAAGACGATCTCGGTCCAAGGACAGGAAAAAGACTAGCAAGAGGCGTAAGCCCTCTCTATACTGGGACGTACCTCCCCCAGGGTTTGAGCACATTACTCCGATCCAGTATAAGAGTATGCAGTCCGCTGGTCAGATTCCGGCAACACTCATGCCGGATACTCCTCAGGTTAGTCGTATCTCTTATTTCTTATCGTATGAAGATAATTTATTTTATATTCTTTCAATTTGAAATGTTAAGATTTTTTACAAGCAGTGGATTCCTTAAAGGTTTCTCAATATAATAATGAACAAATTATTAATATACAAATTTTTCATATTTAATCTTATAAGGGGAATATGCAACTTAAGATTAAAAATTGAATTACAAATTACAAACCGTATTCCTGGACTAATATCAATTGTTAACAAGTGAATATTTGTGCATTTGCACAATTATACTAAGTTTATTTTTTCGGAACAGAAGAATATATGTAATATGTATGACATTTTTTATAAAGGAATATAAATCAATACAAAAAATTTTTTCAGATTGAATACAACAAATCAAAAAACTTTAGTACATCAAAAATTAAATGCATTATAAGATTATTTCTCATGAAATACAGCTATGATTGTCTTAAATCTTACACTGTCACACGTTACGTTCTTTGTTACTTTGACTGTTCGTTTTTCAGGCTGCTGTAGCTGTAGTTGGAAGCTCTATAACTCGGCAAGCTAGAAGAATCTATGTCGGAAATCTACCGTTCGGGTTTACAGAAACAGAAATGATAGATTTCTTTAACCAGCAAATGCATCTGAACGGTTTAGCGCAGGCCGAAGGAAATCCAATGCTAGCCTGTCATATTAACAGAGATAAAAACTTTGCTTTCCTTGAGTGTCGATCCATCGACGAAACAACAACAGCAATGGCATTCGACGGTATCAATTTTAAAGGCCAGTCTCTGAAGTTACGTCGACCCCGTGACTACCAGCCACTCCCCAGCGGGAGTGGACTGGAGAATGTTGGAGGTGGTATGGGCGCAATGCCGGGTATCGTGAGCACTGTTGTTCCGGACTCAGCGGACAAGATCTTCGTCGGTGGTATTCCGAACTATTTGAACGAGGATCAGGTTCAGGAGCTCCTGGTATCCTTCGGGCAGTTGAAATCCTTCAACCTTGTCAAGGATATAGGAACAGGATTATCCAAGGGTTACGCGTTTGCAGAGTATCTCGACTCAAATATCACAGATCAGGTTAAAATTATTACCAAATATGAAAATTTGCAGTGCACTTAACTAAAAATAAGTCAAATATTTTTTACTCAATGATTTTTAAATCCTATTCTCTTCTTTTAAAAGTTGTTTGATCGCAAAGTTTTATATTTTGGGGTAAAGATTTGTTTGGGGGGTTGAAAATATTTAAAAGCTTTTAATATGAAATATGTGTATTTATATTCAAAATATCATTCTTGAACTTTATTCTAGGAAAACTATACCCCTTATTACATATTTCTTCAAAAAAGCATGTTTTATTTCCAGGCGATTGCTGGATTAAACGGTATGCAGCTTGGTGACAAAAAGATCATTGTCCAGCGAGCTAGTATCGGCTCCAAAACAATGGGAGCCGGTATGCCCGCCCAGCTCCAGGTTCCTGGTCTGGTGGGAGCAGGACCTGGAGCTCCTACAGAGGTTCTCTGTCTTCTCAACATGGTGGTTCCCGAAGAGCTGACAGATGAGGAGGAATACGAAGATATCTTGGAGGACATCAGAGAAGAATGCGGAAGATTCGGAGAAATTAGAAGCATTGAGATCCCTCGTCCCGTGCCTGGTATAGATGTTCCCGGCTGTGGGAAGGTCTTCATCGAGTTCGGTAGTAGCACTGAGTGCCAGAAGGCCCAACATGCGCTCACCGGAAGGAAATTCGCCAACCGTGTCGTTGTAACAAGTTATTTTGACCCTGACAAATATCATCGCCGAGAGTTTCAATAATTTTTCATTCAATGTTTAGAATTCTGATGAAAAATGATATTGTACTTTGTATTGAAAAGTAAGAATATAATTCTCCCTATGTCTGTATTTTTTTGTGTTCCAAGTATTAATAAAAGTTTCTCTTTTATAAATGCTATAAAATGCCCAATCAAGCATTCAAACTTTTTGCTTTTCAGAATTTGATAAAATGCAGAAGGTTTGATATATCTGGAGCAAAGATGGGTTCTACAGGACGTGCATCCTTGTTAGAAGTTGCTGAGAAAGAAGTTGATTTCACAGTTTTTTCTTTATCCTGGATTCCTTCGTCTGCTCGTTTAGTTGTGAGCGGAGCATCCAACGCAGGTCATTAAGACCCAAGTGTTTGAAGTGGATTGTTCAGATATTTGAGAATTGTGTGAGAAAATAATTATTGAACTAAAGATTTATTTATTTACCTGTCCTAGGTTTTATAGATACAATAGCAGAATTAATGACACTTAAAAATACTAGGCTTTTTAAGGGCGCTTCGCGCCCATCTTCTATTTCAATTGTGAACATTTTCTCGTTGGATACACTGTAAAACAAAAACAAACAAAATTTCGCGGACTTTAGAAAACAGACAGGTCATCAAACAGACAGACAGGTCAAACATATAGACAGACAGGTCAAACAGACAGACAGTCAGTTCAAACAGACAGACAGTCAGTTCAAACAGACAGACAGTCAGTTCAAACAGACAGACAGTCAGGTCAAACAGACAGACAGACAGACGAGACAGGTCAAACAGGCAGACAGACAGGTCAAATAGACAGACAGACAGGTCAAAAAAACAGAAAAACATGTCATACAGACAGACAGATAGATCAAAGAGACAGACAGACATGCCAAAGAGACAGACAGACATGTCACCAACATCTGATGAACCATTATCAGATTAGTTTGAAATAATCTCATTGTTAAACAGTTTTGGGGATCCAACGGGATCTAGATATTGCTGGGGATCCAGATATTGCTGGGGATCCAACGGGATCCTATGTACTAGGTTTTAGGACACATTGCAATGTGAGAGCTCTGACATTAGTTTTCTCGAAATAAAAATAAAGGTTGTGCAGATAGAAGGCCTGGGTTTATGCAATGATTCTATACTAATTATATAGTTTGTTTACAATAAACCCAGTGTCAAAGCTGTTAAAATGCGTCACAGTAAATTGTAAACAACCTCTTTCCCCCTCTCTTCAGTAAAACGTTCATTGAGCAGATCGGTGATTTTTGTCGATTTAGAAGTAAATGTAAAATCTGATAGAGGTAATCATAATTTATGAACTTGACCCTGATATCTGAACAAACCCTTTAACAAGCACAGTGATGTTGTTTTTCCGTATTTGAAGAATAGAAGCAATTAATTTGATAGCACAAACAATTACAATTACACCTATATGTAAGAATCAAAATAGCCTTGTGCAACAATTTAAGATAAAAGACAGGAAAAATTATCTTTGTTTTTAAATTTCTTTGATTTAAACAATAAAATCCTGATGTTGAAGAAAGGTCACTTGACAAGTTGACATATTTTATAAATTTAGTTTACCTTTTCATAATATTTGCAGGATTATTTTAAAGGTATTTGTAACAGCATTTACTTCGTAGTTATGTTAAAAAATATTTATTAGAAATGATCCATCGTAGTTGTTTTCAAACCCACTGAAATATGTTACCATGGGAGAGAGCTTTTTTAATGTTTTTATCAGCATCTCTGAAAAGAAATTAGCATTAATCGAAACCAAATTATATTCATTCTCGTTCATCCAAAAAAAAAATTAAAATTTCCTTCAAATAAGATTCTGATTTTTAAGTTTATATAATCCTAGGAGCTGGGTTGATCAAGGTCTTCAGCTTGGGTGGACGAGATCTCTCAGAGACAGGTTCAGCTAATCTTCCCAGAGCTATCAGGTGCGCATTCAATATTATATTTCACTCACTAGAATTGTTATTGTATTATGCATTCTGCTTGTGAAGAATAAATTAACTAAAGTGAATTTAAAATTATAAAAAAACATACCATTTATTTAATGTAGACGAATTAGTGTTAATTTTATTTTAAATGTGATTTTTGTTGTCAATTTCTAATCTGGTTGTGAATTGTGTGTTCCATTAGCACCTTAATGTTGAATCGCTAATTATACTTTTTTGTGTATTTAGATGTGGAACCTTTTATGTCTGTGATTTGACGGATAGGGTTTACTGTTGCGGAGATTTCTCCGGATCCTTAGTTTTCTGGGATATTGAAACCTTACTCCAGGTGGACACTGTCAAGGCACACTCCGATATAGTGAACACTATTGCTGGCGGTGGTATTGGGTCTTCAGAAGTAGTTACAGGTTCAATATTTCTTTATCTAATTGATGTTGCAACTATATCGCTACTTACATCATATTTAATCGTGCAAAGCTCTTCAAGAGGAATTTTTTGACATAACAGAAATTTTTTTCTAGATTGAATCATTACAAGAATTTTATAACAAAGAAATTTGCATTTTATGCGCGCATGTTGGTGTTCAAGCTTGGAGATAATCAATATAATCCGGTCCACTCTCACGTTATTTTTTACAAGAAACTTTTGAAAAGATATGACTTTTTTCTTAATTTTTAAGAATTTGCTTTCTTTGTTTATTATTTTGTTTTATTTCAGGTGGTCGGGATGGAGAAGTAAAGTTATGGGACCGGAGAACTCTAGAGAAACCTATTCTGCGTATGTCTCCTGGTGAAACAGAGACAAAGAGAGACTGTTGGTCCGTCTCTCACTCAGGTCCAGACTCTAAACTTGTCGCTGCAGGGTTCGATAACGGTGATATAAAAGTTTTCGATGTTAGAGCGACTAAACTACTGTGGGAAACCTCCTTATCTAGAGGTGTATCAAACCTGAACCTGGTTCAGGGTTCTACTCCTGGTTTAGTGGCAGGAACAGTTCAGGGCAAACTATTCAAATGGAAAATATCATCTGGAGATTCTACACAATCTACACAGTTGGATAAATCTACTGTTTGGTCTACGGAGATGATAAAAGATGGAACCCTGGTGAGCTGTATGGGCTCCGGAGCACTCTGTGTCACGGAGTATAATAAGGACGGATTGGAGTGTGTCAATACTCACCAAATATCTGAACCTCCTCTTACAGGTCTTGCCACCAGTTCAGACAAACCTGGTTTATTTGCTACATCTAGCTTTGATAAATCCATCAGAATATATTTTTATACCGGTGCAAAGTAGATTTTTTTACAGAAAAGAATGTCTTCGGACCGACGAACATCCGACGAGGATGAGAAAAATGACAAGTATCAAGATGAGAGTCGGAAACTGACCGTACTTGACCCTTTCCCAGTAGATGACACGCCCACTCCAACCAAAATTTTGAGACTTGCAAATGACTTGTTTCCGGATTTTCAGGATCCGAAAGAAAATCCGTTTGACGCACATTTCAGGAAAGCAGCAGAAGCTGTAAAATCAGGTTTGTTTACCTACTTTAAGTTGTCTCTAGTCTTTTTTATTAAGGATTTTGTAATTTGAAACTGTTATTAACTTTGAAAATGTACCGTTCAGAAGTATAAAATCTGTAGCGACATTTTTTTAAAGACTTTATTAAACAAAAACGAATTTTATTCCTCCTGAAAGTTGTTGGTGTCAACTGTCAATTTAGTGTCTGTTTTTTTTTTCATTCATGGTTTCCATTTTTTTCCGGCTTAATTTGGATCCGTAAAGGCCTTGCGGAACCTTTTCTGAAGCTGACAAGAACGATAAACCATTATCAAACTTCTGTAAACCTTCATTTACTTTTAATAAATCTACCCCCAGATGCTGTGACATGTTAAAAAAAAATGTACGAGATGATTCTTCCATATGGGATTGATCCGGAATTATCGTTCCTTAATCTCTTTTCAGTCACACCATGCTCTGTGAAGCATGTAAGGAGTAGATTTATTCTTAATTCGATTTTATAAGGTTCCCCTAAATTTTCAAAAGTTTACTGGGTTATTATCATGCATGACAGCTTCAGAAAAGGTTTTTGAAAGCCTCTACGGATTCAAGTTGATCCAAAAAAATAATTGGAAACTTAAGTTTCAATTTTGTTGAAGGTAGTATCAATTGTTATAAATATTGTTCTCATGTCAGTTTTAAACATTTTCATTTTTAGGTTCAGACAGGCTTTCTGCTTCAATATCAGCAAATGATATACCGAGTGATGATTCTTTAAACACTCCTAGTATATATCCTATATCTGCTCTGAACACACCTACTCCGTTTACTAAAAGGTATTTATTTATCTTTACTTGTCTATAGTTCAGTTTAAACAAGTTTATATTTAGAGCCCCGATATCTAAACAGATCTCTGGACGGAGTATATCTAGAAACCTGAAACCTCTTTTACCAAACGGACCCCTTCCTCTTTTTAAACCAAGTTAGTAGATTTAATAACGTCCATTAAAAAGGAACTGTCGACGTAATGTTAATGTACCCGGGTTCAGTGCCAAGGGGCACTTTTTTGTACTTTTATAAAAGGAAACAAAAATGCAATTTGTATAGGCAGATCTGATTCAACCAGTCATGATGTATTTTTTACCCATCTAAAAGCAATCGAGAATTTACTGAATATTGAGTTTCCAGGAGTTTCATGGCAAAGCACTGGCTCATAATAACTTAATTTTTACAAAATTGTTATGGTTATTATTTTTTTTTTAATATTTAATATTTTGTATTTGGGGTTTTCGCTGATTATATATTCCATATGAAGTACGAGAGACGTAAAACCTAGGATGATCATTTAAGGAAAGTAATGGAGTCTTTTTTGAGTGTACTGGGATAAAGGGGTTGATGAGCCAGTTGTGAGCCATGAAGAGCCAGGAGCTGCCGACCATAGTAGCGTTGAATGGGATGTATTGTTTGATCGGATCATGTCCGCTATTAGGACTTTGTCCTAGATTCTACGTACTTTTTAGTCATAATTTTTATTTAATTTCATGCCAGATTCCCTTTTATCTGATAAATGTTGAGGGATAGTGGTAAATATAATTCTGCTTTGTCTCTGCTATATAAATCCACCAGTTTGTTTGTATGCGTAAACAACATTTAGAAATTAGAAATTTTCTGATGGAAAAATAAGAATAATTTAATCACTTTGCTCAGAAAAAGGTTAAAAGGGTACCGTTGTAAATCGGGCATGCCATTTTTTTTTTATTGATATATTAAAACTATTATCTCCTATGCCTTGTATGTTTAGGTGTAGAACATGAACCTTCTGCGGATAAAGCTCAAGTTCTACTCAAGATGCCTTCAGGAGAAACCGTGAAGCTGTACAACGTTCCTTTAGGTACACATACCGATTTTTAAGACCAAAGCTAACACCAAAATGCTCTTGCCACCTCCACTCGCTCAAAACACTTTTCATTTTTTTTAGCCAAAGAGTTGTTTCTCCATGGAATGATTAACCCTGTGATATAAAAACTGCACCAACGTTAAATACTTTTAAATACAGATATGATAAATATGTAAAAAATTTCTAATCTAGTTTATTTTGTTGGGACAAAAAGAGCCAAAAAAAGATTACTTTAAAAGAAAACAGAAAGGCCAAATAAGAAAAAAAAATAATCTTAGAAAAAATTTTAAATAAACATGTCGAAAAATAAAAAAAAATAAAAAATGTCAAGGAAGAGAAAAAATAAAAACTCTACCAAAAAAAAAGAAATAAATGTCCCTTATTTTTAATCTTGATTCACTGGATATTCGTAATTATTGAATATAATATACTCTGTATATATTGATGTGAGATATGCAACCATATGAATATCATGACAACAATCGGAAATTTTCTTATATACTCCGCCAGGAGTCCTGAAAATAATCCAAACATAAACATAAACATTGCACATCATGCAAAGTCATTAATCCAGAACTTACTTGATAAGCATAAGATTGATTTATGGTAGGAGTGAAAACCTAGGAAACATTGTTAAGAGGCAGTCAAGATTAATATATAAATAGGTACTCCTATAGAGATTTGCAATAAAGACAAAATCAAACTTTAAATTGTCTTTAAGTTTTCTATTGCCAATTTTAACATTTATATAAGCGGGCGCTGAATTATTATATTTCAGTCAGAGATAATGATGTATTGAATGCAACACCGAAAGAAAGGATTCGATCTACTTTTAGTCGGGGGAGTAAAAACCATTCTTCTGAGCTTGAAGAACCGACTCCGAGGACGGATAGTTCGGAATCCAGCACCACTGAGGACTTAAAGAGAAGAGAAGCTCAGGAGAGAAACCGATATTCTGCTATGCGAAGCAGAATTCGAAAACGAGAAGTTTTTGATCAAATGAAGAAAGAAACTAAACATCTTTCAATGGAAAACAATATACTCAGGAAAGTTCATCAATATTTAATTGCAAAGATTATTTCAATATCATTTCATCACATGATCATATCCATTGAAATTTTTGTTAAATGATATTATATTGTATACAATATTGTATTGTTGAACTGTAGACAGGAGATTATAAAACTGAAAAAGGTTCTCCAAGAGCATATTCACTGTGATGTTACCATTAACACAAATCAACAAGAAACTGTCAGGTGATAATGAATTTGATTAAATCAATAAATTGAAAAAAATCCAGTTTTACCTAAATAAGCGTTCGGTGAAATTGGGTATAAATTCGTTAATGGGTTAAAATGCTCCAAGATTTGCAATTCCACATCAGTGCCGTAAAAATGATTTGTTTAAACTAAACAAAACAATTATCTTATTTCTAGAATGTTGATAGAACCTCAGTATCTGATCTCCTGCTCCCCTCAATCATCTAGAAATCTTGATATTCATTCCCCCCAACTTCTGGGACAATCTTCCGGTATGATTTTAATTAATTGTCAACAACAACAAAAATTAAGAAATTTATCAGTGAGTTTATATAAGTTCATGATGAAGCATTTTTGTTGAAGATGTTCCGGAACAAGTGAGGCATATGTGTTCTCAGACCAACCCTGAGATATATCCTAGATCGATAAATCCTGCAGCCCTCGGCATTACTAGCCTCGGAGTGAAGAAAACAGTTCAATCTAAAATCGACGAGGAGAATATAGATCTAAGCATGCAACTACTGCTCCAACAACCCCAACCCAGAGTTCCACTTGTTCACCAGGATTCAATCTCTAACCTGCTAAAGAACTCTGGTTCATTTCTGCTACGCAGGTCGGATTCCAACTCTGAGAGTATAGTAGTATTGGAGAGCTCAGATTTTGAAGTGAGTAGAGTAGACAGGTTGATGATGGATACAAGAGAAACCGAACCCTTTCAAAACTTTCTGAGAGAATCAGATAAGAAGGGTGAGCATGTAAGTGCTAAGCTTGAAGAGGAGTTAGACCTAGAGGAGATAAGATCCCCACCCCAGATATTCCCGGAGGATCTTAGAACAGCTAAACCTAAAGAGAATGAACCAAAAACAGAACCAAATCAAATTTCTCAACAAAAGCCCAGAAAAATTTCAACCATTCCTCGTAAAAGGTAGAACAGATTCTCTAAATCCTTTAATCTGAATTTTTAATCTTTCCCTAATTAACATTTCAATTAATGCACATTTTATTAATCCCCCCTCCTCAGTCTATGTTCTGTAGTTTACACGTTTTTTGTTGTATTAATTAGTGTCAGATTCCAGCTAAACTTAGAAGATAAGAAAACTGCAACAAGCTTGAGACATGTTCATTTTTCATACCCTAGATTTACCCTAGATAACAAACGTTTTTTATTCAAGATTGAATCGTCTTTTGCCACCATCGGAGAATGAGAAAGCTAGGAAACCTGTGGCTCGATCTTTAGGAGATAAACTGCTCGAACTCAAGAGAAAGATGGGAGAAGATCAGGCCACGGAGGAGTTTCTCAATAAATTTAGAAAAAAATAGTTCTCGAAAGATTGAAAAGGAAACTTTTTGTGTTTTTTTTCAAAATCACCAACAGCGTGGTTTCATTTGTTAAAATAAAAATGTAAATAGTAAATATTTAACTATTATGCAATCTGTGATATAATGAAAACCTGTTATTTTTCTATTATTGTTATGATCATCATTATACATGATTTGTCAAACTTAAATCCGTTTGAAACATGTCTCCTCTTCTATTATTCTGTTTTGTAGTATTGTTTCAACTCTCTTCTAGGATTCTTTCCTAATTTATAAAAGAACCCCATGCTCATATCTTACAAATTTGACCATTTTCTCTTTAAACATGATTAAATCATAAAAAAAAATATTTCAAAAATTAACTAAGCGTTTTTTTTTATCTTAACCGACAAACAGCTTCAATGCCATGTAGTACACTCATTCGGCTTAGCCGTTTCAACGATTGATGGAAACCAAGGAAACTGACGAATATAAGTTACTGAATAAATTTCAGGGAAAATGAGTTTAGAGTTCCGAAGCTTGCAGCCGACTGAGTATCTTCGGAAACATATATCTTCGGGATTCAGGGAAACGGAATTTAGCTATTTAGCTATTTTTTCAGTCTTATATATTTATTTGTCTATTTTCGTATAAAATGTAAAATTTTAAATATACTTTAAATTTCCGTTGATATTTAGGCCAGATGGTCGAAAACTTAACGAACGACGACCGATTTCAATATCATCTGGAAATATAAAATCTGCCGATGGATCGTCAATAGTCAGACAAGGGAATACAACAGTAGTTTGCGGTATCAAGTTGGAGTTGGCTAAACCTACTCCAGAGAACCCAAACCAAGGATTCATAGTTCCCAATGTTACGCTTCCTGCCATGTGTAATCCTAGTTTTAAATCCGGACCTCCCTCAGCTGAAGCACAGTCCCTGTCCGCCTTCGTAAAGGAAGTTATTGACTCCTCCAGCTGTATTGATCTAACTGAACTGTGTCCTGTAAACCATATGTTTGCCTGGGTTCTTTATATAGATATTATCTGTCTGGATCATGATGGGAATATCAGGGATGCAGCTGTGGCAGGTCTCATGGCGGCGCTTAGATCTCTTCAAATCCCTGAACTTGATTTTGATTCTGAGACAGAGAAAGTATCCGTCACATCAGGTTGGTTTTCTATCATGATTTAGAAAATCAAAATATATTGTTAGTGACCGTGTAATTGCACCTTTCTTTGATCAATAAGGTTTTTAATTGAGAGTAATCAATTTTTAAAAGGGGGAGGAACATGAATTCATTCTTTCTTGATTAGGCAAAGCTTTTAAGGAGGCCGTTCTTTGAAGGATATCCTTGAAGATATATCATTATATTTATATCTTCTGTTACCCAAGCCTAGTTTATGTTTAGTGCGGAATCCCCTGAAGTTGTGTAGGATGGCTGTCTCCTGTAGTTCCGGAATATATGATATGGATTCTCCTAAACTAATCTCAGATACAACCTGGGAGGAGGAGGAGAACTCAGATTCACAAATAACTTTGGTCACCTTGGACAGGTATAATTTTTTAAATCGTCAATTTAGGAAAGCTATTTGTTTTTACTTGTTTCATCTTAATTTTTTTTATAAACAATCTCATATTCATGCAAAAGGATCATTTAGGTCTGCCGTTAAATCTTAAATCTTCAAATAAACATACTCTACATCAATCCTGTTTCAGTGGTGAGATCTGTACTAGCCAGCAGACTGGAGGCTCTCCGCTATCCTCGGAGGCATTACAGGAGGCCATTTCCTTAGCTTCCACGCACAGTAAGGAGATACTCAATGCTCTAAAATCTCTAACGTAAAACCTTGAATTGTTTATATTTTCAGAATAAAATGGAGGAAACAATATATCTCCAGCAGGCTGTGACAATGTTACGGAATGAGAAGGATGAGGAGAGGGATAGATGGTTGGACTGGGTTCTCTCCTACATACTCAACCCTGACACTCAAATTGAGAAAATAAATATGAATTTACGGAAAGAAATATTCTCTATATTGTCTGCAGTTTTCCTACTTGAGATTCATCATGTTAGTGACACCCATCCTACTCCACAGTGCTCAGAGAACCTTCTCTCATATCTATTACAAGGTAATATATTCTCGTGTTTTATGAAATCTGTGTTTATTTTAAAAAAATGGTAATTATAACTATTAATTACTACTAAACCGGGAGGTTAAAGGAGGATTATCAAATTAAGGGAAAACTTTTAAGGCATTTAACGCCAAAAATTTGATTTGAAAGTTTTTTGATAAAAGAAACAAGATAATTAACTATCATGTGTATTTGTACTCTCTGCACTTAACCGTACAGTACATAATAATATGATAAAAGATCAATAGAATTCCCTCTGTTAGATTCTTGTAGCAAATATAGATATTTTTTAATAAGAATAAGAAATAAATAGGAGTTAAAGGGAGTGACCGGCTATGTAAGGTAGTTGAACTGAGTATTCAGTGTTGTGGAAAACTTCTTTCGGATTCATTTAAGACATATAAAACTTTTTAAAGATCTGTAAATCCTGAGTTTGGGCGCAAATTCGACATTCAAAACTCCTACTTTGGGGGTGGATACGTTTTCATAATTAGTTCATAATTAAAAAGAGTTTTATATGTCTCAAATGAATCCGAAAGAAGTTTTACACAATACTCAGTTCGATCCTTACGTTACGGTCACTTCCTTTAAAAGTTGGCATACAGGTGCGGCAAACCCTTAAATTTTAGTAATATATCAACTAATTAGTCACTAAGTCAAAATCATTGTTGTGCAATGTGCATGTATATTTTAGGCCGAGGTTATGCTCTGGTTCTAAGTATGGTTCGTATCCCAGAGAAAGGATCTTGTCCTCTTGAACTAACAATTCTTCTTCTCTTTCTTGCCTCCCGTCTCATGATAAAGATAAAACTGGAGAATATCCTCCCTAAACCAGAGGATGTACAACTCGAGGTTCCATTATTCTGCCAGGAATCTAGTGCTGGTAAAGTTAAGAAGAAAAAAGGTTCGAGGAAGCGAGGACGGAAACCAGTCTCTGGGTTCCCTGAAAAGCTGGATAGACAAGGAACCAGGGAGTTTGAAAATCTAGCGGAGTATGAAACCTCGAGTGAGACGGAATCTGAGGAGGATTATCTGAGAGGTGGAACTCTACGGACTAATCATATTAACTATTTAACATATTTTGACCATGGTAAGTTAATCTAAATTTCTTAATGTTTTTAATAAAGATAAATATTTATAATCTCTCATGAAACAACTAACTTTAGACGAATTAAAAAGCTTAAAAGATACATTACATGTAGAGCCGGATCGTGGATCCGTCCTGCTATAAAGAATCTTATTTCCCAATCCGGATACGGGTTAGACTATTATTCAGTGCATTTCCAACTGTTTTATCATTTTAGTCCCAAGAACTTGACAACGTTGACCCATGATTTAAGCATTTTCATTACCCTTATCTTGACAAAAGGAACGCATGTAACATGAACAATTAATTTGGTATGCATAATGTATCCCTAAAAATCCAAATTATTATTTTTCAATTAATTATTTAGTTTATGCTAAATGATAAAACGTGTTGATTGTTTTGAAGGTTAATACGTATATGACGGGTCATATAACACATAAAACACAGATTGATTGGTTTGATGGTTAATACTATGCGTAAATGACGGTCATATTAAATAATTATAAAGCTTATCAATTGTTTTGAAGGTTAATCCTATGCGTAAATGACGGTCATATTAAATAATTATAAAGCTTATCAATTGTTTTGAAGATTAAAAATATGCGTATATTACGGGTCATATCATACAGTTTTAAAGCGTGTTGATTGATTTATTTGTTAATAAGATAGATATATGATATTTCACATATCATACAGTTTTAACGAGTATTGATTGTATTAAAGGTTATTCATATGCGTATATAACAGGTGATATGGATAGTGACGCCGTTATTAGAAACTCAAGGGTAGCACCACCAGCATCTTTTTCTAGCATCAGGAACCAATAATAAATATTTTTTTATTATTATTATTATTTACATATAGATATTCCCAATACGCATACCGCAAAGTAATAAATTGGCGAATTTAAGAAATACAGTAAGTAGATCAATTAATGCCGTCATTTTATTTGAATTATAGAGACTCTTTTATATAGATTGTAACATATATTAATGAAAAATGTTACTTTTTTCATTTGTATTTTTTTATTGGTTCCGTTAACAGGAATGATACATTGAGAACATCTGGGAGAATATTCGAGGTCAAACACGCATCCTCGGCCGAGGCCGGGATGATAACACAGGTTCTCCAGTTAGCAGTTAAGGTTACAAGCGGAGTCTGGTCTCCGGTATCGGAGAAGGATAAAGAGCTCTCTCTGCAGATTATATCTATCTGTGAAGATCTTATCAAGGTGGGGACAGGACCCAATATAATCGTAACAAACATTTAAAGATATTCCTTTTGTAATGCAGATCTTTAAACCTAGCGCAGGGCATCTCAGATCAAATTTTAAAAAATCATTAAAAATAGGATTAGCTATAAAAACGTCGGCTTTAATTTATGTGGCAATCATTTGTTAATGAATTTATTCTTACTAAAGAATAAAAACCTTATCCAGGAATTTTACAAATCTTATGATTTTTATAGATAGTTGTTAACTGACGCTGTCTAACCGTCTTTAGCTTACTAAAACTGACTGGAACTGAATAAAATTGAGAATAACTGACAATAACCGTATGTATACAATTGTCAATGAGTAGCAATAATTGACTAAGACTGTATCCTGAATGTTTACAACTGTCTATAAGTTACTATAATTGACTAAGACTGTATCCTGAATGTTTACAACTGTCTATGAGTCTCTATAATTGGCTAAGACTGTATCCCGAATGTTTACAGCTTTCTATGAGTCTCTATAATTCACTAATTCTCTGTGACCTCGTAGCTCCTCTAGTTTGATTTTACTGGTATGACTTTGTGACCTCGTAGCTCCTCTACGTTTGATTTTATTGGTATGACTTTATGACCTCGTAGCTCCTCTAGTTTTGATTTTACTTGTATAACTTTGTGACCTCATAACTGTCTATGAGTCTCTATAATTCACTAAGACTGTATCCTGAATGTTCAGAATTGTCTATAAATAATTATAGTTGTCTAAAACTGAATCCTGAATGTTAACAACTGTCTATAAATGACAATAACTGACTATTACTGTATCCCGAATGTTTAGAAGTGTCTTAAAGTGACTTTGACGGATTAAAACTGTATCCTGTTTACAGCTGTCCATAAGTGACAATGGCTGACTAATACTGTATCCCAAATGTCCATAATGCGCAACTTGAACTAATTAAAACTCTATCCTATATTTCTAATACTGTCTGTAAGGTACTGTAAGTGTATCCTAAGTGACTAACTGTCAATAAATGACCTCAAATGACTAAAACGGCAACATTAATGTCTTAATAAAACTATCTTTAACTATTTTAAACTATTAAGATGGATATTCCTACGGAAGGAAGACTATGGACTCAACTTGAGGCTCGAGTTATTCTCAACTGTTTGTTCAACATTAAGTTTATTGCACATCCAGCTAAACTAACAAGTTCAAAAGGTTCGTCTTTTAAATTGTCTTTATTGGGAATTATTAACAAAACATTAAAGGGAATGTAGACTCATTATAGTCTTCCTGATTCTATCCTTCCCCATTCTATCCTTTCTTATTTTATTCTTCCTCATTCAATCCTTCCTGATTTTATCCTTCCTCATTCTATCCTTCCACATTCTATCTTTTCTCATTCTGTCCTTCCTCATTCTATCCTTCCTGATTCTATCTTTCCTCATTCTATCCTTCCTCATTCTGTCGTTCCTCATTCTAGCCTTCCTCATTCTATCCTTCCTCATTCTATCCTTCCTCATTCCATCCTTTCTGATTCTATCCTTCCTGATTCTATCCTTCCTGATTTTATCCTTCCTAATTCTATCCTTTCTGGTTTTATCCTTCCTCATTCTATCCTTCCTCATTCTATCCTTCCTCCTTCTATCCTTCCTCATTCTATCCTTTCTGATTCTATCCTTCCTGGTCTTATCCTTCCTCATTCTATCCTTCCTCATTCTATCCTTCCTCATTCTATCCTTTCTCATTCTATCCTTCCTGTTTCTATCCTTCGTGATTCTATTTTTCCTCATTCTATCCTTCCTCATTCTGTCGATCCTCATTCTATCCTTCCTCATTCTATCCTTCCTCATTCTATCCTTACTCATTCTTTCCTTCCTCATTCTATCCTTCCTCTTTCTATCCTTCTTCATTCTATCTTTCCTCTTTCTATCCTTCATTCTATCCTTCCTCATTCTAGCCTTTATTCTATCCTTCCGCTTTCCATTTTTCCTCATTCTATCCTTCTACATTCTACCTTTCCTCATTATATCCTTCCGCGTTCTATACTTCCTCATTCTATCCTTCCTCCATTCCTGATACTATCCTTCCTCCTTGCATCCTTCCTCCCTGTACTCTTCCTCATTTATCCTTTCTCCTTGCACCATTCCTCACACTATCCTTCATCCTTGCACCCTTCCTCATACTATCCTTTTTTATTCTTTCCTTCCTCCTTGGACCCTTCCTAATAATATCCTTTCTTCTTGCAACCCTTCTTAAATATCCTTCTATCTTTCAACCTCATGTTATACAATCATATTATAAAAACGTTTAGCGTGAATTGTGAAGAGCGGTAAAATACGTACCCATATATTTTTTGTGGTCAGTTTTGATATGGTTCGATACAATACTACGAACAATATGTGTGGACACGTTTATATATCTGTATATTTGAATGAGATCGATTCATTGAATATCAAAATTGAATGAAGATTTAACCTTATCTACAGAAAATAAATTTGGTTCACAAGGGATTTTGTAGTGAGGAGGTTAAAAGCTTGAATTCCCGGAACATTTTTTTGTGTTGAAGTAACCGAAAGATTAGAGACATTTGTCATTATAAATTAATTTCTTCTTGAAAATTTAAGAATTTAAATATTTTAGGGTTTCCTGAATCTGAATTAAACACTTTGGTAGAAGATAGAAAATGTTTATCCCTGCCTCAATGGCCGAGTATCTGTAGAGAGATTATAACAATATTTCTTCATATTGTTAATCTGCACCGTTCTCATCCAGAGTTCAGATCCAACCCTGAGCTCGCCTGTTCCAGATCCTTCTTAGTCCTGTGTCGGAGTATCGTAGACTCTATCTCGGAGAGAAGATCTGATTTGAGTTTTGAGGATGGTGAGATAGTAAAACTGTTGTGTAGTATCATTCAGTTAGTCTCCGCCTCTGAAGTAGATTCCAGGAGTTTGTGGTCAGACCTAGGTCTCAGTATACTCTCAATAGTAGGAGAGATAGAGTGTTCCCGGAGCAGGGTTTTGGTTCTAGATTCTCTAGCGGGGTTTTCAAACACAAGAAAGGTTTCTCCAGAAACATATTTTAACCTAGGAATCCGTTCATTTCCTTTAGAATTATTTTGTAAAGCATGTTGATGGTGTCGTTGCGAAATTTGATTAGATTTGTGATAAAATATATCTATTTTGCTCTTATCTCAGTTTTATTTTAGGCTTATAAATATTAAGATGGATTAGGGGATACGGATTTTTGCTTGGAATGGGGGGGAGGTCATTTTGATATGTGTCGGTTATTTTTATAGATACGAAATAGGAGAGGGTGGGTTCTAAATTAAATCTCAAATCAGTCAAATCTCAGTACATCTTATATTTATTGAATAAGAAACGGATTTAATAGTGCGGAAACTAAGACATTTCTCCGATAGTTCTAAAGAGGTATCTCAAGCTTATCTGAGTATGCTAGAGAGAACTGTAGACAATTTGACGGACTCCTGGGACGGAGACAAGGAGGAAGAGAAGGAGGAACTGAATATAGAACTTAAAGTTTCAAGTAATCTTAGTAAAGAAGAAAATTTAGAAGGTAAGCATCTTAATTTAGATTAACTTAAATATCCTTGTTATATCCGCTCTATCCTTTGTATCATAGTTCTATTCTCTGTATCCTTGTTGTTATTTTATTCCCTGTATCCGTGTTATTCCATCCTATGTATCCTTGTTATCCTCTCTTTTGTATCCTTGAAACTTTATTCTCTTAATCCTTCTTATTCCATCCTCTTTAACCTTGAAATGTTTTTTCTCTTAATCCTTTTATTCTATCCTCTGTATCCTTGTTCTATCCTCTGTATCCTTGTTAATATCCTCTGTATCCTTGTTATAATATCCTCTGTATCCTTGTTATAATATCCTCTGTATCCTTGTTATCCTCTTCTCTGGATCTAGAAAGTACAGACTGTAATTTCAAATCACATAAGCTCAAGTGAAATTTTCATAGTATTGTGGTTAAGCGTAAAACTTATTCCTTATCCATGTTGAAATGTTGAAATGTTGAAATGTTGAAATGTTGAAATGTTGAAAGGATGCTTTAAATTACACATCAATATTTACATAAATTATTAGGTTTACGACTAATAGAATAAAGCAAACGCAATACTTGAACATAATGTTCATTATTTGATAACTTTAACTTTTCCGTGACCTTATTATAAAGTTTACGCAATGTGGATGAGATTCTCATCAAATTAAAATGCATCTGTAGCATAAAGCTACTCTAGCCAGGCCGTTCATATCAAACAAGTTGGTTTGCCTCCAATATCCGGTAATATCTGTGTATACAGGACATGTAATACAAACTAGCAACTTGAACTGAAAGGCATTCTTTAAAGCAATTCATCCAATTTAAATGTATAATTTTCTAACCAAATTTCTAATTCCTATATCTTTGCAACTTGATGGTTTAGATTTTTGATATTTCAAACTCAGATTATTTGATCAAGCATAAGAAATATTTAATGTCTTTGTTTAATGTCCATGATATTAAGTTGAAAAGATATAGTGATTAAAAAATCGGAGTTTGTGTCAAAGACTCAACTCCTTTCCTCAAAGTAAAATTTTCAAGCACAGGGCACTAGCCGCAGCTTTTAACCACCAAAGTCAAAGCGCACGCCCCATAACTAAATTATACTACACCTAAATTTGGAAAAATACAATTTGGGGAGGAGACTGGGGTTACTGCTCTTGCGAAAGGTCTAGCACCGTACTTCACTGTTAATGTGGTATTTGCTAAATATAAGAATGCTCTAAATGTGACAGAAGTACTTCGTACTTTGTATGTATATACAGGGTTATCCACCAAGGATGAGACTTTAATAACAACCTAATACTCATTAACGATATTAGGGTTAAATTTTGTCTTCTTATCAAAAAAATACTTAATGATTTTTGAAAGAATGAAACAAGTTACAGTTGAGTTGAATGGAACTTAGAATGTAAGAACATACACTAATTAAATTCAGTACAGTCTTCCTTGAAGTCTCATCCTTTCTAGGTAACACTGTAACTGTGTTAACAATGCAACAATGCAGTACGCTAATTCATGAAACAAGTGAATGGTAGGATGGGTTAGAATTAGAACTTAGATTTAAGTTTAATTAACAGTTGTCTATTCATCAGAGACCCTGGGTCCTACTTTTTATGTACGGTTAATCTTTTTGATTATTTTGTATTTTAATATTTGGATATATCGGATAAATAAGCTAAGGAGAGTATTAAGGAGTATATCACGTCAACCCGGATATTGAAGTAATCCACTTTATACGCACTATGTACACTGTTCATTTGATCATGCACAATGTTAATTGTACATAAAGATCAACGTTGTAACGTAGAATTTTTTTTTATAATTTATTATCTATTTTGTTTATATCAATTCATCGTAATGGGAATATTATAACATTATATCAAAACTGATACGTATAGGACGCACAGCTGTCAATTTTAAGTTTTTAAGTAAATATTAATTTTTTTCCAGTTTCAAGACTTGATAGTGAATCTTTTCATTTTAGATGCTAAATATAGATCAGAAATGCAAAAAAGCATACTGCTGAGCAATAGCGACGACGCAAAAAAAATTGAATATTGCATTGGTGAAATTTCGGCTCAACCAATCAAATTACCAGAACAGAACGTTTTCCTATAAACATTTGCGTCATTTTATTTATAATTCTCTGATCAACATGAAATAATGAAGGATTTAATTGGTTTGGATACGCACACAAGAGGTATTTTCCCTATCAGGTTTAATGGGAGAGACCGGCTAGACATGATAGTTTAGCTGCAAGTGTGGTATTGTGGAGAAAAACTTATTCGTTAGTCCAATGAGACATTTTTATGGTGTACAATTTTTAAATAAGTGCGTAAAGTCGTGTGTAATATGTCACCAGTTGTTTCAGTCAGCAGAAGAAACACCGTAAAAATGTCTCATTGGTATTAAATGAATCCTGAAGGTTTTCTCTACAATACTGCACTTTCAGCTCAACTACCATGTCTAGCCGGTCTCTCCCTTTAAATTAGTTAAATATCTATCGAAGTTGGCACTTATTAAGCGCTCCATTGGTAAAAAGGAGTACATTCAGAACATTTCAAATTTTTGTGTTTGATATGTTTTGTTGTTGTTATGTTTTGTATTTTGATTTTTTTGTCGTTTGAGATGTTTTAATTTGATAGGTTTGATTTTTAAACTTTCAGCTCCCTGACCTTTTAAGAATATTTGTTTTTAAAAATGTGAATGATTCATTTTTCTAATTTTAGATAAACCTGCCGGGTTCGGAGCATACCTTGAGGTTCTGCTGTGCAATGAGACTAGTTGTAAGGAGCTGGTTATATCCCACATAGATGCTATCATCTGTACACTGAGATCAGAACTCAGGCTTCAACTTGCCTCTGAGGTGTCAACATTTATCTATTTCAAGAATTTTGATTGAAGACCTTGCTGCAATTGTCATACATTTCGGTTTTCTCTTCTTATAAACTTTATTGAGGTTAAAGAACGGATAAACAATATCTTGTCTTCAAAAACGAAATAAATGTATACAGAAAAAGAAATTGAAAATTACAATTTTTTTATATAAATTTCGGTATTAACCGTCTCAGAAAATTCCATACAAATGTTAACTTTCTATTTTATTAAGGTGATCCTGCCCTTCCTTGAAGCCAAGTTTGATTGTGAGTGTGAAGATAGGAATATGCTGGTTAGTGTTCTAGATATACTCTGTACTCTGGTTCAAGAACAACCAACCGCTATGGCGCTTATCAGGGAACAACGAGCCTGGACATCGGTTAAAAAGTTTGGATCTGCTGAAGGAGAACTCAGCAATGTTTGTCAACAAATTATAAAAACTTTAATCCTAAACTCTCATAAGTTTAAGAAGATACGCCTAAGTGAAGCGGAAGCTATGGCGCTGCAGGATGACGAGAATGATAGAATTAATTTTGACGAGAGGTAAACATAATTTCTCAATCTTAAACTTTAAGCAGTAAACCAACCAGACCCGTACACAGGTGGGGGGCTATGGGCTCAGCCCCCCCCCCCACCTTTTACCTGGATTAGTAAGGTTTATAGTTTCCAGGGGGTTTTCAGACCCCAACGTGTGCTGATCCCACTTTGAAAGAATAAAAATTAAGCCCTCCCTGGACAAATTCCTGTGTACGCCCCTGAAACAAATCATAGACTATTTTATTTAGTGTATTGTATTTCAGGGACCGGAATGCACAGTATTGGTTGTTTAAACAGCTGTATCATGTTCTGGTTCAATCCAGTAATATAGTTCTAACCTCAGGATGGCCAACCACTATAAACCATTTAACAACAGCCTGGCAGGTAACCCTGGAGTTGGTGCGCAGGGTTCCAGAGTTCTTTGTATTTGCAGTAGAGCGCGGCATTACAGATATTAATGTGCAGCTAACCGAGTGCTTGATATCGGAGAAGGAGGATGTACTGCTCAAGGATTTTGCCGATCTACTTGGTGCACTTCTTAACTTTCAAGTTTATGTTATAGTCAACTTTGATCTCATGAATGAAGAACTTCTCCATATTAATATAAATCAGACCAAAGACATGCTGATAGAAGTTCTATTCCCTAAGATTCAGTCTGTTCTCTTGAACCGGAAAAATATCTGGTTCTGTAAAGTTCTTCTCTCCTCTATCCTTGACTCCAGCTATATTACTGAGCTGGTTTCACGTCAAGGAGAGAACCAGCAGTCCCAGTTTCAAGAATGCTCCGAGAGTGGTTATGAAGCAGATGACAGTGAGAGTAATGACTTCTCCGCAGATGTTCTGGTTAGATCAGGTTCCTACAGAGTAACCTTCAAGCAAAGTTTTCATTTTTTCATCGACAGTTTTCTTCTGATCTTCGAGATGTACAAGACGGAACCAGAGTTTATCTACACTCTGGAATATCTTGTGTTTAAACTAGTAAATAATTGCGGACGAAACCATGAGAACGCAATATTATTTAATGAAGAGGATGCACTTACAAGAATATACTCTGCACTCATATCTCTTCTTGGTTCAGGTTTCAGGTAAATTATTTTTAAGTGATTTTATCTTGCAAATGGTTGCCATAAGTCTGTATTTAATTTGTCTTCTTTGAACCTTTGTTCAATTTAGTATGAAAATGTCGAATTAAGAATGATATTGCAGATTTAGTATTTCTCAAAAATGAAAACTTTGACTTATTAGGAAAAATCATATTTCGTTAAGGTTGGAGAATCTGTGTGATATGATCCTGGTTCTCACAGAGAATATTGCTAAAGTTCAACTTCTTCCCTCTACTGTCAAGTACATATTTGAGCTGGTGGGACGGGAGAACGAACTCCAGGAGAAAATGATTCTCTCCGTGAGTAAACTGATCAGGGAGTTAAGTCCTAGGAATGAGTTTGCTGGAATAGTAGCTGTTCCCCTGACAAGCAGGTTCAGGGCAGTTTCTGCCAGTAGCTCAGATTCAGGTTTAGGTAAGGGTCAAAATATTTTCTTTAAAATCTTTTAGCAAAGTTTGATAAAAGGGTTGGCTTTTAAATATTGGATGCGACAATAAAAATATAACAATGTACGATTTCTATTTAGATTCAACCAACTCCAGTGCCGCTATGTCTCCAGTTCCTTCTAATGATACTTTACAATCCCGGAGCTTATCCTTCCATGATGATCTAGGCCAGGACTACGCCGTGGTTCTCAGAGTAAAGCTAAACCCTGAAGTAAAGAGGGATTCCTGGTTAACTATTCTCTGTATAGAAAACCATACTGAAACCATAAGTCTTCATATCAACGTGCAGAAAGGGTTGAAACTTACTCTAGCCAACTCTCTTGAAACCATAGCAGCTGCTGAAACAACATTCAAATCAATGCTCTTCCCAAATCAGTGGATCCATCTCGCCTTCAATCTTGGAACTATATCGGAGGGTAAGCGAGAAACCAAAACTTTGACAGCATTTGTAAACTGTCAGAAGGTCTGGGGAGTTGGTTTGTGTGTTGACAAGGTTCAGAGTAAGGTTCGGAAAAAGGATATAACGGTTACAATAGGACCATCAGATCCTATACCAGACCTATTTCATTCAGCTTTAATATTCAGTGATGTTTATCTTCTCAAGAATTGTATTCTCTCCCCGGAGAATGTTCTATTAAACTATATTTGTGCTCCCAGAGATTTAAACGGTTCATATTCTCCAACGGATATCTGCTTCCGGCAGATAAACCAGGATTTCCAGGATTTTCTGAACACATGCTCCAGGATTATATCAGAGCCGAAAATACTGAAACAGCATCTTAGTTTAACCAAATGTGTTGTGGCGCACTTTAGTCCGTTTTCTCTGTGGAGAAAACAAGAAACTGGAATAAGTCCCAAGATAGAGGTTGAATGGACTCTCCTAGATGGTTTAATGAAGGCGGGGGGAGCAGAGTGTATTGCATTGATACCACTTGAGGCTGTGGAGAAGCGTTTATCAATCAGAACTATCTCTGAATCATTATCTAACTGTTTGGTTGGACTCACAGCCAATCAAACAATATTTGATGAGTTCAAAAGAATAGGAGGGTTTGGGCTGATCCGCTCCATTCTAACATCTAAAACGTTTACTCCTGATGCAACTATTCTGGAAGTCCTACTCAATGCTAGCTCTATATGTATGGGAGCAGACAAGGTTCTCCTGTTCCCTGAAATACTAATTGTGTGTTTACAGTATGTTGAGAGGTTCGAGAAAACGTCCATGCTAACAGTTATGGTCGACCTACTTAAGTTTTTCTCTGAGTTATTGAGCGAAACCAACCTTGCAGCTGAGCTTAACACTGAGATGATGAAATCTCACAAAGTTTTTGATTCTATTCTCATCTGCCTTCAAACCTTTGCCGAGTCATGTGAAGAATCTCTCCCTGTTGAGGATATATCTAATCTACTCTCTGCTCTTCCACCCACATCGGAGTTTTTAATAAAGAAGATGAATTTGGTTCTATCCACCCTGCCACCATATCTGCTCTACCTGCCGTATTTATCCCGGAGTTTGCTCCATGTAACTATGGTGAAGGAGAAGAAAAGTTCAGTTCTGATCAACAAGGTTCACACTAGTGACGTAGTTGATGCTTCTACAGCTATTATTAATCCACCTGATGCCGTTCTTAAACGTCTCTCCGAGGAGTCGACACTAATATCACAGAGCAGGAGAGAATCAAGGGAGGAGACCGAGCCATTCTCCGTAGATCTACCAGGTTCGGATACAGAAATATATGGGTGCGAAGAGGACAGGGTTTCTGAGTGGGAGGTGCTTACTAGAGAAAACTCTTCCTCTCGTCCTGCTACTCCGAGTGCATATGTTGATGTACAGAGACCAGGGAACCTTGCCGCTATTCTCCTTCATAATATCCTCTCCGGGTTCACGATTCTCTCAGACACAGAGAGTGCTTTGCTCACGGACCACGAGTTTAAGCCTGAGACCTTGCTACCCCTAGTTGGACATCTTAATACTGACGTTCATTCTCCTGCCCTTGATCTTATCGGGTTGATTCTTGAACGTTCTGATGATTCGGGAAGATCAGATTTTCTCGCTAAAGGTGGATACTATCAAGTTGCAGCTCTTATACAAGATTCAACTCCGTCCCACTCTCTAGTCAGCTCTATTCTCTCACTACTACACGGACATCCAATAGATGTTAATGTTCCCTTTGAGTTTTGTAAAGAAAGTCCGCCACAAATAAACCTCTCAACAGTTTGTCTCCTTCCGCCGCTGATAATCTCATCTTTATCCATCCTTTCTCTTGGGCATAATATACTATGTCACGTGCACGAACTGTTGGCGAACCTACCGGACTTTACCAGGTCCTTGATGTCAGAACATCTGCTGCAAACTCTAGTTGCAGGTCTGGTTAAGCTTGGTGATCTTCCTGAGGTTGAATCTGATATATTTGGTTGCAATCAGTCAGAACTTTTAACAGATGATATCAACAATATATTGAGGTAATATTGACGCACTTGCTACCCGAGCTTGATATAAAGTTTTTGTGGAAAACATAAACGAAAACAATTTTCGCTTTAAAAGTAAAAATTCCGTTTGTTTTATTTATTTATTGAATTTTTCTATCCCTTGACGTTGTTAAGTTTTTGGAAGTGGCAATATATGCTAATCAAATCAAATTCTAATCATCTATCAATATTATGCATAAATATTTTTATATTTTTGTTGTTCAGAATGTTGATTGTTTTCTTCGGGGATAAGCCTGGAGGAGAATATGAGGAACTTCTTGATGTTCTCTTCCTGGCCAGTGGACTACTCAGCCCTACAGGACACATCTCTGGGAAACCCAAGCTAGGGTCTCTCTCAGAATCCGCATCCAACAATCTCCGGGCTGGGATCTGTCTAATTCTGGAGGAGATGCTTCTGACCCTGGAGGCAGGATTAGCTCGGAGCGGAGACAGGTTTGAGGTTCCTAAATACTTCCAGAAGGAGGAGGCGGAGGAAGTGGATTCAGAACAACCCGGAGCTAAACCACTTAAAGGTCAATCATTTTTTTACTTATGGTTCAGAGCGCCATCTATAAATAAATTTAGCTTGTCTTGGTGTCTGTTTGTTTGTTTGTATCAAATAAACGTCAAAACGGCTGAACCGATCGGGCCCAAATTTTTTTTTGGGACATCACGTGACCACAGGGGAGGTTTATGAATGATAAAATTTTTTAAAAATTCTTGAAAATCCGCGAATTTTTTTTTAAAATCCGCAAAAAATTTTCTTCTTTGTTTTAAAATGTAAACAAAAAGAACATGTTCACAATTTAAATAGAAGATGGGTGCCTAGAAAGAAGGGCGCGAGCCCCTTGAATTTCTAGTCTCTGTATACTTGTCTGTTTATTTTTTTCCAATAAACGTCAAAACGGCTGAACCAATCGAGTCCAAATTGTTAAGGCAACTCAGGGAAAGTTTGTGAATGATTAGATTGCCTCTAAAAATTTCTATTTTTCAAAATCCACAAAAAAAAATCGATAAAAGAGCAAAAATTAAAAGTAACAATGCCCTTGAAGAGAATTGAAATAAAGAAAACTTATGCTTGTTAAAACAGATCTGAGAATCTGCCTTTATTAATTATTTTTGTTCTCATTGGTCTGGGGATCCACTACGGAGTCCTTTACAGATTACATGTCTTAACGGTTCTCAATTAGTTAATTTTTCCTTTTAAACTTTTATCTCCTTATACATCCAAACTGGTCTTTGATAATTCAGTTCCATAAAACTTAATATTAGACGCATTTTAGCAGATCTTTTGCAAATTCTTTTAATGTTTATTGTTATAGAAAAATGGTAATTATCTTAGGTCGACAAGCTGCCTGTTCTCTCCTTGTCTCCAGATTGAACCAGATATGTAAGTTCTCCGTGAATTATATCACGTCCAGGGACTGTCAACTCATCCCTGAAGAGGAATCTCTAGCCTTGTCAATCCTTGCTCTCTGCTTAGACGCTGCGTCATATAAAAACCCACATAATAATCTTCTTAAAGGTTAGTTTATAAAAAGTTAAATTACATTTTTATTAGTTCTAAATATTCAGATCCAAGGGAAAAGATATTGTCAAAAATATACGCAACGTTCTAGTTTTTTTACAATCGGAAAAATGCCGGAAATTTTTGCTAAGAAAACGAAATAGTAAAACTTATGAAAAGATTTACGAGCCGGCTCCAGAATTTAATGGTACTGTACTTTTATAAAGTTATGGACTATTTTACATAAATTTTATGATTTTAATAAAATTTAGGCTTGAATGATCCTAAATCGCTGGGTGGAGTTCTCGTTCTACATATTCTAAGGTTTGCCACGGAGAAGAAAAAAATCCATCTGATCAAACTTCTTGATGCTAGAGAGAATATCATCATCCTCGCTCAAGGTTTTTAAAAATATTTGAATAATCTTAAAATTATTTGAGATTTCCCCCCCCCCTCAATTCAAACTTGTTTTGTTTTAGAAATGTTTCCCGACTCAAACCTTCGAGAGCATTTCCGGTTTTGTGTTTTGAATGTGATGAAATCTTCTAATATATTTGGATCTGGAGACAGTTCTAAGCTAGTTGCACTCTTCTACGGACGGATATTAACCCGGCAACTGTATCCAGGTGGTCCTGACAGTAGTTTTCAGCCTAGTTTCCCCGTATATCACACGAGCTTTGGGCCTTGGAAAGCTGAATGCTTCAGATGTGTATCCCTCTTCTTATCACAGGTTTTTATTTATCTTAAGATACTTTTTCTTGTTTACAAAAACTCGCATTATTACGAAAATTTTTTGCTTTAGATAAATCAAGATTCTAAGATAAAAGCTAGCATAGCAACAAAGTTCACAGAGAAGGTTGTAGAACGACATGATCTGTGTCGAAAGTACTACCTGGAGCAGGGTAGGGAAAGAGTAAGCTCGAGGCAAAAATCTCTGAGAGATTGGAGAAGGATTATTGAAAACCAGACCCACCCCCTGGCACTTTGGCATGATCCAGCATTCGAACCTCATTCTATGGTGAGATTTTTCTTTTTATCGTGAACTGTGCTCAATAGAAAAGTCTTCAATATTAAAGTTTAACTTTTTTTTAATCAAGACCTATTTGAAAGCCTAGGGCATAGGCCACTAATGTCAAATTTTTAAATTGGATCTTATGTAGTTAGAATATTTGAAAATTCATATTACAACAAAATGTTTGTAGATTTATATTTCGAAAGACTTTTGATATATTTTAAATAATATCTTTTTGAACTTTATAGATAGAAAATCGTATTTGTAAGTTGAACATTATTTTTTTCCTTCAGGTTCTCGAGAATATTACTGGGCTCTCGGGGACCTACATCAGGTTCAAAAGATCGCACTCTGGAATCCTTAAAGAGAAGTTTTACAAGGAGGGATTTAAAATCAAATCTGAACCTGAGAAGAGGCGATTCTCCGTCCTACTCGGAGACAAAGGTACAGAGGAGAACTTAAACAGTAAGTTAGATTACCCTGAGCAAATTCAGATGGTTGAGTCGGTGAAGGAAGTTACTCCAACGGATGTTCTTGACTGTGATCTAGTAGTTACTGAGGATACACTTCATATCTTCAGTTCCTCCTCCTGGACCTCAGCTATATCACAGATAGAGTCTATTTCAAACCGTAGATATCAGTTGAAAAACGTAGCACTTGAATTCTTTCTCAGCTGCGGAGAAACTCATCTGGTAGTTTTCAAGAACCAGGAGTACAGAGAGTTCTTTGTCAAGTTTATGGTTGAAGCTGGGGTTAGTTTAAATCCGAAAAGTGACAATCTGCAGGGAATTCTCAAGAAATGGAGGCAGGGCGGGATTAGTAATTTTCAGTATTTATCTGAGTTAAATAGTCTTGCCGGACGGACTCCAAATGATTTAATGCAATATCCAGTCTTTCCTTGGATATTAGCGGACTATAATTCTTCTCATCTAAATCTTCACGATCCATCAGCTTTTAGAAATCTTAGATTACCCATAGCAATTCAGAACAAGGAGAATGTGAGTAGGTATGAGACAACCTATCAGCTTCTAAATCAGAGTGAAACCGGATTACCCGGGCACATGGGACCTTATCATTATGCTTCCCACTACAGTAATACAGGGATAGTTTTACATCTATTGGTTCGTCTTCCACCCTTCACTACAGAGTTTATTAAATTCCAGGACGGAAACTTTGATTTAGCTGACAGATCATTCCATAGTCTTGCAACATCATGGCAGATGGTTAGCCATGTATCTACCAGTGATGTTAAAGAACTGATACCACAGCTCTTCTATTTACCAGAGCTCTTTGAAAACAACGAAGGATTTGCTCTTGGTAAACGACAAAATGGCAAAGACGTAGATTCAGTTGTTCTTCCTCCATGGGCGCCTGATGCACGAATATTTGTAAAAATACATCGCCAGGCGCTCGAATCATCCTACGTGAAACAAGAACTTTCTCATTGGATCGATCTTGTGTTTGGCTACAAGCAGCGAGGTTCAGCTGCTGTTGAAGCTGTCAACGTTTTCCATCCTGCGACCTATGCACATAACCTAGACCTATCTGAAGATGAGCTTGAGCGAAGAGCTCAGCAGACGATGATCGCAACCTACGGTCAGACTCCATTGCAGCTGTTTGTAACTCCTCATCCCCTGGCGGTTATAGATTTAAACGCAGAGAAATCTAGTTCTACTCCTGTATACAGAACAGTTACAGGACTAGTCTGGGGTAACTATGTAGGTTCTCCAGCCTATCCTCCTCCATACGTTGTGTGGCAGCAGGCTCAACCCTTCCAGGTCAAAACCTTGGTTCGTCTCGACTCCAACCAGGTCGTTGGACTCAGTTCCACGTCAATCCTTGTAGGAAAATATATTCTTGAGGTTGGATCAACTCAGTTTTCAGCAACTTCTCAAACCTCTTCAGCTAATGTGATAAGCTGGGGACATGGAGATAGTTCACTCTACTGCAGAAGAGGTAAGCTAGGAGAGGAGTATCAGGTTGCACTTCTTCCTGCCAAGGATCCTGTTGTTCTTGGAGCCTCGAACTCTAAGGTTTCAACCCTGTGGTTTGGACACAGATCAGGACGAATATCTGTGTTTAAGGATATGAGAATGTCTAAAACTGAGCTGACTCATGTTACTACTCTGCACGGTCATATGTCGGATATTACGGGAATAGTTTTATCCCCTGAGTATAGTCTAGCTGTATCCTGTAGTAGAGAAGGTTCTATAATGACCTGGGATCTTCACTCTCAATCCTGTTTACATCAAACCACAGTGGATGGTGTAGGAGCGGAAACTTCTCCTGTAACTAGTGTTCTCTGTGCGATATCTGAATCCTGTGGGGATATTGCTACCGCAGCCAACTCAACACTAACCCTGTACACAGTAAATCTAACCAAGGTTTGCCAGACTACAATACGTGGAAGCATCACTGCACTAACCTTCTCCCATCTGGAGGAAGGAAAGTCTGTAAATTCTATCCTCATTGGAACCCAGTCAGGGGGAGTCAAGTTTTTCTCGTCCTGGGATTTAACCCATATCAGGGACGTATCAGGTTGTCCACCTAGTCCTGTAACAGCTCTAGCATTTAGTCTGGACTGCCTTAGTCTAGTTGTATCAACACAAAACCATTTCGTCACAATATTAGAAAAATCCGGCAGTCATGGACTAAATAAAACACATAAATATTTATCAATACAATGAAACCTAGTGTCATACTTAATACCCGCCATATTATACAACACATATATATTAATTTGTTATGCATTTAAAAAATGTAGTTTACCTGACATAATTCAGTCATATTATAATTTATTGCTTTATTAGAAATTTTGACAAATAATAAAAATTTAGTTTTTTTGTTATTAGCAATAATAATTTTTGCATCTCATATATAGATTGTAAAATGTGGAACTAAGAATATAGAATAAATATCAACCTATGAATCTTAAGATTTTAGAAAAATGTACCGAAGAAACAGTTGAGGCTTAAGTGGGTAAGGGGACATGAAACCCCTTGGAAATATTAGGGGCGCAGGTAGGGAGAGCAGGCACCTTCCAGCCCTTTAATTTTCATTTCCAAGAATAGATAAAAAATTCCTTGGTTGACAGTTTTGATGAGCATTTAATTGTATAAATCTAGCTTAATCCTTAATTTGAAATGTATTACAAATACAATATTTTTTTTACGACTTTCGCAACTTGACGGAAGGAGGGAAGGCAACCTCCCCCGCACAGCTTCCGAATCTCATTTTACCTATTTTTGGCAGTGATTGTAAAAAAATATGCAATATTAAGGATACTATAGATTGACTAGCTTGTTTAAATTATCGAATTACTGTTATGTTTATAAATTGACATGATAAATGGAAGATCATTACCTGAGCACCGTTTGGGGGAGGTTCGGAAGCTGTGCGGGGGAGGCTGCCTTCCCTCCCTCCTTGACGCAGGGTGCCCGAGTAAACATAGGAATTAAAAATCGTCTTTTCTTTTGATTATTCATAAATAGCAAATAAGTGTGTGAAAATAATTATCTTGGGTCGTTCCTTTCATAAACTACATTGGCCGACAACTTAAGACGTCTCCATATTGGTCGTACGGTGAGTACGGTAAAATGATTATCAGGCAAGAATTTAGCGTGAGACATCTGGCGGCCAAGATATCGTCCCCTTAAAGTACGTGTCGAACTACACGACTAAGCTATCTACATTCTAATCTACAGTCCAGAGCCCGTTCTGTCCATAATAATGTTTAAACAGTGGCCGTGTTGTTCAAGTACTTTGGGGGACGATAGTTTGGCCGCTAGGTGTCTCACGCAAAATTCTTATCTGATAGATAGATAGTTCTTACGAGAGACATCTAGCGGCCAAACTATCGTCCCCCAAAGTACGTGAACAACACGACCATTGTTAAAACATTATTATGGAGAGAACGGGCTGTTTTATATTCGAAATAATGGCATGTTACATCGTCTTTACGTAACATCCCCCCTACTGAACTTCCGACCTACAATATCTGACCTACGCCAGCTATTTATTTTTGTATTATTTAAGGTTTAGGCTAGGTTAAGACAATTTCTGGGTTGAGCGCTGTTGTTATAGACTGGCTTAGGGGTCGAGCGCCGCGGCTAGGACAGGTTAGAGACCCCGGCCACAAGTCCATATAGCAGATGTAAAACCACGTGCAAGTAGGTCGATCTGATGTGTAGTATAGCGGATTTGGCGAAGGTCAGAAGTGGAGTAAAGCGGATTTCCGTAGGTCGAAAAATACACCACCCCATTTTTTAGGAACGGAAAATGTTGTAAAGCAAACGCGGCAAAGATTTCATACTTAAATTGCCCGCCGAATCTTGTCTTACGCAATATTTTACTGACATAGTGTTTTAATAACAATAAGAAAATGAGATTAATTTTTTGCGTTGACTTTCTTTTGCTTGTCAATTTAATATTTACTATATAATATTACATCTACACAAATGAGGGGGCGGAGGATGGTACGGTCTAGGGTTGATATGAATTCATACATAAAGATTGCCTTAGTAGAATTATGCTCCATATTTATGTTCTAACGTTCAGGTTCCTGTTAATATTCCTCGAACCAATGTTCTTATTTCTTTCTGCGCACATTTTCTATACCAAGACTTATGAATATAAACCATGCCTGTCTAGAACGACCGAGACAATACATTCTAGAATTTAAGGTCAAAAGGTTAATACTTCAGTAATTTTTTTCAGATAAACTAGATCAATATGCCACCAAAGAAGCGTAAGGCAGAATCCGAGGATGATGCCCCCACCAGCTCTAAGAAGGGGAAGCGGATTGGAACCAAGGTTAAAGGGAAAGGTGCTAGTTCTAAAGTTAATGAAGGAGTTGGTAGCTCTGAGGAGAGAGGAGGGAAGGTTGAGAGTATTAGTATTGAGCACTGTACCTCTTGACAAGTGTATAAGAAGAAAGCTAACGAATATGTTAGTTTTCTTCTTGAAGAGTTCCCTGGAGCTAGTGTTGAACTCAACCAGGAGAAACCCAGGAGACAGGCGTTCAACATCTCAGTCAAGGTATTGGAGAATATTGAATTTGAATTGAATTTATTAGTTTGGTTTAAAGACAACTATAATACAGAAACTCCTCTAAGAGGATGCTAGCTGCGACTTTCTTTCTATAAAGTGGATTTTCTTTTTTAGATTGATTAATATCAATTTTGGAATTACTCTGAATGTAATTTGAACATTTTTGTTGCGGATACAATGTAGGAAATTGGTACGGGTTGATCTATTTAAACTAAGCTATATTCCACATTATTGATCAGATAAAGGTTTAAAGAGTACCTGAATCTGACGTGCCCCCCTTTATATATTGTATCCCTGAAACTCATGATTTTACTGTATATATATTTAGATTGGGAACAACGTTCATCTTGTGTGGAATGGGAAGGAGAAGGGACCACCCAGGTGAGAGACATACATTATACATGACTTATATACGTACATTATGTACATACCGTCCTGTACTATGTACATAATGTCCTGTATAATGCACATATAGGGGGGGGGGGGGGGTGTATGCGATAGAGGTAAAAATATTTCTTCTTCATACTTGGATGGCCTTGATATAAACTTTTGGTCGGAATTTCTCTCGTTCCGTCCAAGTAATTACCCTAGAGGGTTTCATCAATTTCCTTGTTTATTCTATCATATAATAAAGCTCTTCTCTCATATATCTATATATACAATGTTAGCTATAGCCAAACGGCTGAACGATATTGCCTGACATTTTCTGAGGGAACCCAAGACAAAAATTAAATTTTATTTTTAATATACGAAATCTTTTTTCCAAAGAGTCTTCAAAATTTAACGAGAAACGCTAGTTAATAATATTATAATTAGGAAGGAGAAATGGCCTGAGAAGACTGTTCTGATGAAGAACATCCAAGAGCTCCTCTAAACTAATGTAAATAATTTTTCTTTTTATTATTAAATATCCATTAGGGCTAGTCTAATTGTTTACAGTTGTGAGGTGTAACAAAGTACGGTTAATCATCTGTTTCTCTAGACACGGTAAACTATCCTAAATTGTAAATCTTTTAATTTGTGCTCAAACCTGGCGCTCAGTGCCCACTGTCCATTCTTCTCATGTCTGGTTGTAACTGAGTTCCCTGTAAAAAGCGTCTTTGAATAAAACATAATAATAAATGAAAACAAACTAAACAAAATAAACAAAATCAAGCCTTTTAATTGTTAATGAATTCGGCCTTTTTGGTTTTCAAAAAAAAGAAAACTTTGAAAAATGGTTTAGGTGGAGGGGATTGTCAATAATTACGTAAAAATAACTTCCCCCTCATGGTTGTTTGTTCAGGTTTAATGTGTCGGATGAATCCTGGATTGGTAGGAGAAGACAATGACGGATATCAGGGGAAACCTAGAACTCTTTTATCCTGATAAAAATTCTTCGTTCTACTAACACCAAACTTCATCACAGATCCATTCAACTATCCAACCTCGCATTTGGGACTGAACTCAATACCTTCATTTAAAACATTTAACAAAACTTCTCATTTTAAACCACTTTTTTTAAATAAAACCTCTCGGCTGTGAAATTTATATTTTCAGAATCCAAAAAATAAAGATGGGACTAACTCAGAATGACGAAGATGAGTTGACCTTGTGTGGTACTTTTAAAACGTAAGTAAGTTTTCTAAGTTTAATATAATTGATTGTAAGATAGGATTAACCTGAACTGAGTCTAAAACTAAAGAACAAAAAGTTTTGACTTAAATGTTAAGTTCATGGTTAAATGCCACTTCTGACTTAATTTAAACCTGAACTTAAATATTTAACCCTGTGGTTAAATATTTAAATCGCCGAAATCGACGCGTTAAATTTTAAACACAGTTAAAATCTTGAAATCCCTTTTTGTCTATCATCATTCAGCGGTAAGCGGCATTCAACTAATTACGATATATTTACCAGTAAAAACCTTGATTTAATAAATTTCACGTTTTAGATAAATTAATGTTTGCACGTAAACCCAAAATACGGTTGTAACTGGAAATATGTTTTGCTTTCCGTCACGTAAATAATTTTAAATTTAAAAAACTGCTGATTACCGATAGTTACGTAATAATTCTCCGTAACTCCTTTTCTCTGATTTGTTTAGATTTTTCCCGGGAAATTCAAATTCAAAATTGAGAAAGTTAATAATATTTAAGTGGCTACTCATTATTTTACAGATCTTTTAACATCGAACTTCAAATTTGCGCATTCTTTAGTTTTAGACTCTGGAAACTTATGAATTGACAGAATAAGTTAAATTGATTATCTTCTCTTGGGCAGATTGGGCGATTTCTTATAGTTATATTAATCATCTTGGACCAATTATAGATCTAATTTATTCCTTTATAGCGAGCTTTCATTGATACAAATGTATTAATTTAATTTAATTTAATTCACAATTGGACATCAACATATTAATAACGCTTCTTAGTGAGAATTCTTTTCATAGTTCCATTTTTTTGGGGGGTGGGGGGGTTCTTTGACTACACAAAAATTGTTATTTCCATTGGCCTCTCTTTTTTCTATAAAAGATCGAACTGTCTGTTCAAATTTAAAAACTCAAATCTTTTAGCACTTTTCAGTTTGATAAAATTTAAACTACGATATTTTCCTCATTTAGGGAGAAATATTGTTCTTCAGAAAGAAATTAAAAAATGCACCTCTCTAGTCTCTAGGCGTTGAATAACAACTGGATTTAAATTTTCTGAGGGTGTTCCAATAAACATGGTCTAAGGAGATTTTTCTGAACTTCTAAAATAAAACCGAGAATACCTTATTGTTATCTCTGTTATGTTGTAAATATTCTTGTTAAAATATGCATATTTTTGATTTTATATTCTTTTAAATAGTAAAGTGTTTTATGCCCTTAAAAAACTTATTATAATTTAGGATCCGTTCCAAAGGGCCGGGGAGATGAAATGGGTTGAAAACGTGGAAATGGAATGAAAGCCTACCTAAATCTGGAATAAAGAAACGACAATCTGGAAGCGCTATGCTGCACCTTGATTTAGAGATCTATTAACGTGCTATAGTTTATGTCCTTGAAAGAAAAATTGACAGGTATTTTATCAATTAAAAGCTAAAATTACAATTTACTCATTACTTATGTTCATTTGTAATATTTGTTTAATTTAGACCGAGAGCCATGTGTGATGAAGATGTTCATAATCCCAGGTTGCTGCTGGTTGGAGTGTGACTAACCAGTAACCGTGGCCTGCTTCTTAAGTCTGCAACTGCGAGGAGGACTGAACCAGCATACGAACACACAAGTATTTTATAACTGACTTAACCCTACACTCAGAGATGAACCTCAGGATGCAGCTTGTCCCGATTATCAAAGAAACTATTCAATGACGAAAAGATCTGTTGCCTAGTTCACACTATTCAGAGATACATGATGTGTCGAAGCAATTTCAAAGATTCGTGGAAAACGGGGAGAAACTATGGATTTCATCCGGATACAAACTTGTGTGCTTATGATGTGGATACACGGGAACCGCAACCTTTTAGCTTAATGAATCGGGTTCCTCAAAAACATGTGGATACACGGTTCCTATGCACTGGAGAATGCTATGGATAGAATAATAACAAAGATAGTAAAGATGAAGCTAATTAATACTAAGAAAACCCTTGTTTAACTTTTAACACTGAATGCTAACACTTTGGATTGTTATTGACTCAGATATCCATTTAAACTAATTAAAATATATTTGGTCAACGACAATGTTTTAAATAAAATTATTTTATTTATAATTGTTAGGAATAAATGATAGATATTCTATACATACAAGGTTACCTATATTGATTGGGACTTGAATGTACCAACTATATCTGAAGTTTAATTACGGTTTCTTTAGTTTACACCAAGTCTGTAGTATTCTATTGTTACATTTGTTAATCTTTTTTTAAAGAAACTGTTAAATCTGTATGGAAGCACGGTTTAAAACCAGATCTTAACTTTCGTCTCACAAATTCTAGCTTCTCTTTTGAGTTTCTTTGCTATATTTGAACAAAATACATCACGGTGTGAATCTCATATGAGGAGCTTTTGCAATTAATGCCTGATGATTAAGAACCAGACCAATAACAACCTTTTTGTATGAGGTGGGGCAGATGTGAAATAAAATGATTAAAGCCATTTTACATTATAAAAAACGTTCGAATTTCGTCAATTTTGTTTTATTTGTTACAAAATTAAAATCTGAATACCTTGTCATTTCTAATATTCGATATTTTAACAGTTCGGAGTCCGCGCGTAGTAGAGAGGATGTGCGTAGGTCAGGAGATATATCACTAAATGATGTGCACACATCGTCTTCTCAAACCATATAAAAATTGCACTCGGCATTTCCCACAGATTTGTTTTTCCTTTCATTGAATAATAGACCAAGGTGTAGGAATAAGCGTAATGTTAGGAAGCGAACAATATTGGAAACATTTTCTCCTGAACTGTGTAATAATGGGAATTCTTACACAATAGGTTTACCACTATGGAACCGATCAGATATGATATAATAAACAATATGAATTTTCTCCTTCATAAATTAGTAAGTATCAATAATAGGTGAAGAAAACGTGAAAGAATCAAATATTTGCCACAGAATACATTGTTTGACTAGATATATTTAATTTTGAGACCAATTCTAGACCTCTGATACTTGAAACTTGTTAAAATTCAATATAAATCATATCATAGTGACATTTTTACATATTTAATCAAAGAAATCAAAGTTAATAATGTTGGTGATTGTCTTTTCTTTTTTGAGCGGTTACTAATAATTAAATAAATCTTTATATTACGTCTTAAATGAATTTTTACAGTGATAACCAGAAAACTAAAATTGGTAAATGACGTTTAAACCCAAGTTAGGACTTAAAAACTAGTTCAATTAACATCAAACCTAGCAATTTCATTTCACTTGCTAAGTTACTAGCAAAAATATTTGCCTTGTAATAAAAAAGCTTGAGTATTGCTATAATGTCGTCTTTCTATTCCATTGTTTTCTGGTTTCCCCTGTATGCAATATTTAACGATTCTCCTTCTTTTTCCGAGCACAATAATAACAATTGAATCAGACTCTTAATTATTTTTTTATTTTAAAAAACAATTTCTTAAACAATAAAAGAGGTGTTTCTGGTTTTAAAATGATAAGAAAGAAAAATAAGTATAAAAGAATAAATAAGGCCCCACTTGTGATCCGTCCATGCATGACTGTATTTTGTAAATAATTTAAATGGAGAAAAAATGTTTGGACTATATATACAAAAATGGCCAGGTTTAGGCTAGAAGCTGTTTGTACTTAGCGATGGGCAATAGCTAGATTCGTTATACAGAAACTTTTTAAAAAATATATTTTTAGACTTTAGGTTTTACGACAATCTGAGAGGGTTCCTACGTTTTAAAATTTATGCTGGAGAAGTTTGCTTTTATCAAACATGCAAACAAGTCTCGACTTTTTTATTAAACCTTTTTTAGGGTCCTTCCTAGTATACGATTTTTACTTCCCCGGCACCCATGGGTTCCCTCAAAAATTCAAAATTGAGCTCATTCGGTTAAGTTATTTGGCCAGCTATAGCTAACATATAAATATATTTACATACAAAAGCGAAGTAAATTATTATATAGATGTTCTGATACCCTTACTGCTTATAGATTCCTCATATCAACGATCAAGCGATAAAGCGAAAACTTGCTAATAAGTACAATGCTTTTTAGACGTAAAATGGCTCCTAAGGCTACTCCCAGTAAACCACCGTCAACCCCTGACCGGGTAAAAACTAAAGGAGTTGTGAAAAAGAAGAGGAAGGGTAGGTTGAGTAATCAAGCCTTGAGAAGAATATCAGATTCCTCTTTCAATGTAGCTCAGCTCTCCGGCTCTAGGATTTCAACGCCGCGGGATCGGAACAAGAAACGTTTGAGATCAAACCTTCTTACTGGTGCTAATAATCCTGGATCTAGCCGGTATTTGATGATTATTCTTATGGGGGGGGGGGTACCATACATAGTAAGACAATATTTTGAGTAAAGGCGATTTCTTGGCTGAGTGCTGCTGTCGTGGTCACCTACTATCTTAATAATAGTTTATTTCTTGTTATTTAACGTTGTTAAACATGATCAAGGAAAATATGTTTGTCAATTCAGATTGAAATGATATTGTCAAGTACTGAGTCATTTCTCGTTTTTTTCTCGTCGTATTTTTAAACTAGGCTTTCAGGCCGTTTCGCGCAAATCTTTTATTTCAATTAAATTGTAATCATTTTCTCTTTTAATTCATTGTAGAACAAAAATAAACAAAAAAAATTGCGAATTTTAAAAAAATTGAATTTTGTTAGAGGCAAATTTTTATAAATTCGAACATCTATAAACCTTTCTTGGGGTCACGTGAGGTCCCACAAGAAATTTGGGCCTGATAGGTTCAGTCTTGTCGTTTATTGGATACACACAAACAGACAGACAGCCATGCAAAGTTATATATAGATAACATCAGTATATAAATTTTACTTTTGCTTTTGTCACGTTTCGCTTTTACTGATTTTAATCAATGACATGTCTTCGAGTATTGAATTTTTATGGTGAAAAGTAAAAAGAAATAATATGATGATAATTTCTGTTCAGTGTTCATATCAAATCTTTATATGCATTTTCGTATTTCAATATCAAAATTATATTGTTCTTGTAGTTAAATTTTATCATTAAAGTTCCTACAATTTAGTTATAGTGTTTAACCGTTACCGACGTTCTAAAGGATATTTTGATGCTTTTCAGCCTCAATAAAATTGATTTCGCACAGATTGTGTTTTTCGTCGATGATTTAGTAGTTTTTACGTTTCTAATATTTAATGTAATATTTTAGGAAAAGAAAGCTTTCTGTGAAGAACTCCCCATTGATGAACAGAAAAGCTAAACGATTAGCTTTAGACTCCAATACACCTTTCTCTCCAGCCATCCAGAGTCCTCTCAAACCTTCATCATCCACTAATCAGAATCCTGAACCTAACGGAGAACCCAATTCTAACATTACACTCAGTGTGAAGCCAATAAATTCTCTTAAGTCTCCGAAGAGACCGAAGCCGAGGCTGCCGATTGATCAAGTGCCGAAATCTGCGAACGACCTGAAGGCTCTTTTCAGGAATAACCATATAGGATCCAGTTCAAAGTTTTATGATCTCGACGTTCCAAGCACAGGTAGGGTTGTTTGATGTAAACCTTAATACACCCCGCCCCCTCCTACTCTCATCAAATGGTGATTAAAAGTACACACAAAATAAGATTAAAATTATAATTTTTATTGATTCAAATGTTTTCTTATACAACAGTCAGTGGTACAATAGGCTAAGTCATTCGTAACCTCCATTTACGCAAAAAACTAATCATTGTACACTGTACAGTGTCAATACGAATTCATACTAAATGAATGAATTTATGAATACACCCTATATCCAGGACCTGCTGATAATCTGGGGAAAGAGATGGACTCTGTAATTTTAATAGAGGATGATGAAACAACTATAAAAGATTCGGAGAAGACTGAAGTTGAATCTGTCGGAGATGAACTTATGAATCTGGTCCAAGGTAAATTTTTAGCACGTAATCCATAAGAAAAATATCCGACCTTTCACTAGTTTATTTAAATAACATTAGCTTTCGTACATACTGATTTAGTAATACTTAATAGAGGGAGTAAAGTACCATCAGCCACCGGGATGTAACACTAATGTACTGGTGGGCGTAAAAAATTAACTGATGAATCGCCTCAAACTCTATCTTTGCAACCTTAAATGTAGACTTTTAATATTTCTACTACGAATTCTGTTAGATTAGTTGCTGTAATCCAATTTGAAAATATTAAAGCTATGTATTTATTTAAAATTTTTGACTACCCCATATCAGTGAATAAACACTTAAAAAAGAATCGCACCAATATCTGGGGAAACGATTTTTTTTCAATAGAATATATTACCTGGTTATACTACCAGGATGCAAATATAAAGGAGTTGAAAAACTGCAAGTAACATACTAACCAATTGCTTTGCTCTTCATGGTTTGGATGGACTTCAGGCTGCAGCTTGCACAGTTTTTTTCCCTCTTCATTTTTTAAACCTAGTTGTTAATGTTTCAATTAAAGGTCTCGACTCTCCAGTACATGTAATGCATTGCGCTCTGAAGGCAGTCCCGGCGGTGGTTCCATTTTGGGTTTCTGTTCATATTTACAGTTCATGTTATTTGAAAGCTCTGATATTTCAGTAATTCTCTTGATTTAAGTAATCTTTGTATTTTTTAATATTTTTGAAATAATCAGATTTTATTTATTGATCATCTTATTTAGGTTCCAATGTACCTGAAACTCCTCGGACAATTATACAGAAGATGATTTTAAATCAGGTATTTGCAGGAAATGATATGAAATATAAAAAAATCTACATTGCATTCCCCCCCCCAAAAAAAATTTTTTTTTCGAAGTTTGTAAATACTTCTCTTATTTTTTTTTTGGGGGGGGGCATCATATTGACGAATAGCTTTTAAGGGAAATTCACTTTTTTATTTTTTAAAAGGCTCTAAATTATTTGTAATGCTTAGAAGATTCTATGTCAATATTTTTCTTAATTTGTAGTTCTTAAAAAGTAATGTTCTAATTTTAAAGAAGAAAAATCATGAGACGATAACTCTGGATGATACTGAGGATACAGAGGATAAAGAGGATAAAGAGGATGGAACTAACTCTCCGGATTCTATAATCCTGTTAGAACCGGATACAGAGGAGAACCAATCCGTCCAGGGAATACAGTTTCCCATGCTTATCTTACATCTAATTGTGCATTCACTAGGGGGGGAAGGGGATCCAGTTTCTTTTCTATACTTTGTCAGGGTTCCTCCCACAATAAATTTGGAGCAGGGCTACCTGATATGAAAATATCCAATTTGGGAAAAAACTGTCATTTTAAGGAAAATTTTTGTTTTAAGCGAAAATATATAAATTTTTTTAGAAGAGAATTTACATGAACAAATCTGTCAATTTGTATCTATTTAAAGTTGAAATGAACCCTGACGTAATGTTAGTACGATATTTATCTTATTATTTATCTTATTACAAATATTGAATCTTGCAAAACTGTAAATTAATCAGGAGATAGCAGCAAAATACTTTACAACTCCAACCACTCTAGATTTCATACCTTTGCCCACAGGCACTGAAAATACTAGATTTCAGAAGCAAAGGCCGAGAAACCATAAACAGAAATCCAATACGAGACAAAGAGATCTTAATCCTAATTCAAACCGGGGCAGACCATTTCCTCGCTCCCAACATCCATCTTTCAACCCCAACCTTCCACCAAACATGGCTTTCGGTTCGGAACCAGTTCCTTCCGAGATTTATAATTTTACCGGAGGAAGATGTCGTGAGAATGTTGCTCCTATTCTAGGACCCACTATGTACTCCAACGATACACAAGTTAAAAGTGGTCTCCGACCGATAGTGATTGACGGGTCTAATGTTGCATTTGCTCACGGACGGGGATCTCAGTTTTCAGGTTTATCATTTTTTTCAAGTTCTTTTTGAACTGAATGCCATTTGAGAATCAAACAACAACAAAAAAACTCTTATCAAGATTTAGACACATAAAAGTCCGCCACATGTAGTATCTCCATAAAATCTACCGAAAATAGTATCTTAGTCCATAAAATCTGCACCAAATAGTATCTTAGTTCACAAAATCTACCGAAAATAGTATCTTAGTCCATAAAATCTGCACCAAATAGCATCTTAGTTCACAAAATCTTTTGGTAAACCTGTCATGAGCCCAGGCCCCGCCCAGGGAGAGTTTAAGGCCAGTCAAAATTTTATAATATTTGGAAATCCACCAAAAATTTCTCAGTTAGGTGATGTACAAAAAAAAATTGATAGCGAAACCAAAATTTAAAAACTAAAATTGTTATTAAAACACCAATATTAATTATATTGGGTAAAGGGGGCGTGTTTAACTTTTTAAGCACTTCTAAAATCATTTTCAAATACTAATATCACAATTTAGACACATTTCCTAATATCTATAAAACATTTCAGTTAAGGGTATAGAGATGGTGGTCAACTATTTCAAAGATCGGAAACACGATCATGTTGTCGCATTTCTACCCCAGGTATCCATTACAATATTTGAGGGCCAATTATTCAATGTATTGGTGGTTTAATTTTAAGTCGTCGGACTCAGTCACTCATTTTTCATCTTTTTTATCTCTTGGTGGACTTCTATAGCCCAGGAGTAAAAATACACAAATTTAAAATTTAAATTTTGAATCTGGAGTTTAGTCGAGGTGGCTAAGTCTCTGTTATCTTTAGTTCCGGGTTGGGACGAACTTTAAACTTCTCTCCAAGATGGAGACGGAGGGAACAGTTATATTTACTCCGAGCAGAACTGTTGATGGTCAGAGAATTAATAGTTACGATGACAGGTTAGGAAACTTTTATCCTAAAAGTAAATTATGAAATCAAAAGTTTTCGGGTTCGGAGATTACAAAAATGTTTTATTTTTATTGTTTAAAATCTTTAATTAAAAATCTCGAAAAGTTTACCCCCATTAATCTTACCAACAAAGGCTTCTGTTGTTTATATTGTCTACAATTAAACGGCTTTTTTATCCATTTATACTCGTAATTATATGCACTCAGCAAATATTTGATCTTTTGATTATTGAAAATGAAGACTTAATAATATCTAAATCAAAAATGTCTTGATAGGTTTAAAACATAAACAATAAACATGTGACGTTCAGTACATTTAGATGGTTCTAAAGATGTGGTGCAACTTACTAATACTGTGCTAAGAATGTACACTACACCAGGAACCAACATTTTTTAATCACTAAAAAGTTACTCCATTCAGAAACAAAAGTTCACTTATTGAGAACAGAAAGATGGCTAAATATTTCTCTAAATGTGTTCTGAGTTTATGGATACTTAAAAAACTAAAATGATTTCAGCTTTAATTAATAATTTAGGATGATATTAGATTACGCAGTAGAAAAGGGAGCTATTGTAATATCTAAAGATAACTACAGAGATATGTTCCAGGTTGGATATAGTACACATTTCAATGGTTGGTTGGTTGGTTGGTTGATGAAATGATGAATCAATGAATGATAGATCCATGAATAAAATATTTTACCGAAATGTTTATTGATTTGAGTTGCCTATGTCTTGTTAATTCATTGATTGTTAAGGAGAACCCAAAGTACCATGAGACGATAAAGATGAGATTGCTGATGCCGACCTTTGTCGGTGATACCTTGATGTTTCCTCAGGATCCCTTGGGCAGGAACGGACCAATGTAAGTTTATTTCCAACTAGCACAAGTACTCAGTATTGCCCGTGCCCGTCGAATATTAGTTTGTGTGGTTGCCCATGCCCATCAGTCTGATATCTGTGCCCTTCAATCTTTTTTCCACTCTGCAGAAAAAAATGGTTGATTTGAGACGGATAAGCCATCTTACAATTATGTTACCCAACAGTACGATATTTNAGAAGAAAAGGAAAACATTATCTTTAGAGTGGTCTCTAAATGTTACTAAACTTAATATCTTATTAGGTTGGACGAGTTCCTCAGATTCTGAGCTTTAGAAACTAGTCTCTGGAAAATTTTAAATGTGATATATTAAAATATATATATATACTATTGTGTGTACTGTGTATTTGTATTTTTTCAACCTAAATGACTTTAAGATTTTGTCAGATAGAATGGAAGGATGGAAAGCAGATTAGATCAGGTTTATAGATCAGTTCTTCTAACTAAATTTTTTACTAAAGGATGGGGAACCCCGTCCACCCTAGAGAAAATTATCAGGTATGTTTAGTAACAGTAATTAAAAATATAAACATATTCTGTAAAACAAGATAAACAAGGTTCACGGTATTGCATTATTCAGATAAAAACAATGGTCTGGCATAACTTCTTTACAATTTGTTTCAGTTTTGATACTTTAGAACAAAAAAGGCAATTTTCTTCGTTTTTGTGTTTTCGTCACTTTTAAAAGCATGGTGTTTTTACTGTTGAATTTTAAAAATCGTTATAACTTTAAACGCCATAATGCACACACACTTGTTATTAATTCTTCTTCTTCCACTGGTAAAATTAATTTTGAATTTTTGAGTTCAAAATTTTTTATAAGGAGTTTTACTTCATATCCATTGTTTGGAAAAAAACAGATGTCCGCAAACTTTCCTCTGTTTAAATATTTTAAATATCTCTTCAAATATCATTAATTTTGGTTTTTATCGTTATCTGTTTTTAAAGATTAAGAAAAGAACTTGGAAACCGGGAGAAGGCTCAGAGATATGGAATCCCAGAAACTAAAATTATATTAACTAAAGAGGAGAAACAAGATAACTGCACTCTTATTAACGGTAAGGATATAAATACATAAATAAATACTATAGATACTATAGTTCTTTAATGGTTCAAGAAAACACATTCTTATGCTTTAAATTTATAAAGTTACTTTTATTTTCTTTATTACAGGTGAATTTAAATCTCCGCTGGCTGAACTTGTACCTGGAGTCCTTCCTCCCGAGAGTGTAACCGCCCACTTTCAAGCAGTTCTTCCTCATACATGGAGCGGGAGATGGAAACCTTTAGTTGTACATTTTGCTGGAACTGGAGATCATTTTTTCTGGCGAAGACGAACACTGATGGCTAAACCTATGATTAAAGAGCGCAATATTGGCTCAATTATTTTAGGTGATAAATATTTTATGCTTATTATTAATTAATATTCTTGATCATTCAGAAGAAGTTGAACGTTATTGTGCTAGCTACTAAACCAGAGGCCGAATTTAAACCGTGTCGCTGAACCGCCAATTCTGCGCCGGCTTAAATTTCGAAACACTAAATAAAATTTCAAAAAGAACCAGACATGTTTGAGCCGCCTAAGAATGAATAAATCCTGGATTTTAAACCTGGATGAACTGACCCTGGGTGGTTATTAAACCTTGATGAACTAAAGCTAGTTTTCTCAACGGAATTTTTTATGTTAGCAACCCACTTAACATTTGGGACCCATGAATGAGCAGCAGGTCTACTTCACCTGCGTGCTGACCTGGGATCTTACTCAACATGAAGTGTGTGGTTTAAACAGTCCCCGCCTTTTAATATGTAACGGGGTATGCTTTTGGGTTGAGTGAAATATTAACGTAAGACCGATACGGATTTTACACAATCTTAATAGAGAGATTCTCTGTAGAGAGTGAATATTCTTTCATAACCATCTTATTATCATATTATATTTAGAATTTGATTAATATCTGCCATTTTATCTCGATACATTATTGCAGAACGAGAGGAACAAAGAGCAATGGTACCGTTATGAATAATCAATGGTATTATTATAAAGGTTTTTGTATCCAATAATTGGTATTTAGAAAATCCTTACTATGGTCTCCGTAAGCCAGCAACACAGTTTCGTTCTTCTCTTCATTATGTCTCAGATCTGTTTGTGATGGGAGCTGCCCTAATACTAGAAGCTCAGGTAAACATGATAGGAGCTGCCCTAATACTAGAAACTCAGGTAAACATGATGGGAGCTGCACTAATACTAGAAGCTCAGGTAAACATGATGGGAGCTGCCCTAATACTAGAAGCTCAGGTAAACATGATGGGAGTTAATGAAAAACTGTTAAATGCTTGAAGCATTTGATCAATCCATTTCTTGGAATACCATTTAACTCATCAACTCAAGTCTAGAGTAAACATTTATTATTCCGGACTTACTCAACAATTAAAATATTTTCTGTTGGTGGTCTGGGTCGCCCAATGAGGGCTTCTGTACAGCTTTTATCTTGTAATCTCGTAAATATTTTAGTTGTTGATGAACTGGGCGACTAGACAAGGGTTTGGACCCTTGATCTCGCATGGTATCTCTATGGGTGGGCATATGGCAGCTCTAGCAGCAACCTCCTGGACCAAACCTATATGTTTAGTGCCTTGTCTTGCTAGCACCTCAGCTAGTGTTACATTCTGCCAGGTACATTCCTGGAGTACAGGAGGATAGGGTCTGAGTTCAATTTGGATAGAATTGGAGCATAGTTAGGATAGAGTAGAAGCACAGTTAGGATAGAGTAGAAGCACAGTTAGGATAGAGTTAGAATACAAGAATAGAGTTAGAATACAGTTAGAATACAGTTAGAATAGAGTTCGAGCACATTTAGGATAGAGTTCGAGCACAGTTAGGATAGAGTTGAAGCACAGTTAGGATAGAGTTGGAGCACAGTTATGATAGAGTTGGAGCGCAGTTAGGAGTAGAAAATTTATTGATTATATTAAACAATTAGGGAGTTATGACCCGTGCTATTAACTGGAAACAGCTTCATGAACAGTATGAAAATAATCCTGATTATAAGAACAAGGTAAACTGCTCTTAAACTGGTACTACCTATAACATGAACATGAACACCTGGAACTTGAACTGATTATTCCTAGATTTGGGAGCTCTTGAACAGTCCTGAGTTCAGTAAAGAAACTGGAGCATCAGATCAGTTTATCAAAGATAGTTTCCTCTCACCTCAGAGTAATATTTCACTGAAATATTTTAGAAAACTCAGTACAGAGAACAGAACTAGCATTGAAGCTTTCATGTTTATGAGAGGTTGGTTTAGTTGTTTTTTAATTATCTTATTTTTCTGTGTTAAATCTTCAATCTTTTTGTTGAACTTGATAACAATCTCTTTATCACAAATGTTTGATCTAAATATAAATAAAATAATAATCTTAAACTGAAAAAAGTAACAGGGAAAATTCTATTAAAAATAACGAAGGGCGCATTTTACATAAATATTTTTGAAATTACAAGGATTAATGGATAAATATACTTGAAATTACAAGAATCAATGGATAAATATACTTGAAATTACTATAATTAATGGTTAAATATNCATTTTACATAAATATTTTTGAAATTACAAGGATTAATGGATAAATATACTTGAAATTACAAGAATCAATGGATAAATATACTTGAAATTACTATAATTAATGGTTAAATATACCTGAAATTACAAGGATTTATGGATAAAAATACCTGAAATTACTATGATTAATGGATAAATATACCTGAAATTACTATGACTAATGGATAAATATACCTGAAATTACAAGGATTAATGGATAAATATACTTGAAATTACAAGGATTAATGGATAAATATACTTGAAAGTACAAGATTAATGGATAGATATACTTGAAATTACTAGGATAAATGAATAATTACTTGAAATTACAAGGATTAATGGATAGATATACTTGAAATTACTAGGATTAATGGATAGATATACTTGAAATTACTAGGATAAATGAAATAATGTACTTGAAATTACAAGGATTAATGGATAGATACACTTGAAATTACAAGGATTAATGGATAGATATACTTGAAATTACAAGGATTAATGGATAGATACACTTGAAATTACTAGGATAAATGAAATAATGTACTTGAAATTACAAGGGTTAATGGATGAATGTACCCACCTGGAGAACTTTAGTTCACCTCTAGACCCGGAGCTGATAGAGATCGTTGCTGCAAAATATGACGCTTATCAACCCCAGGGTAGAGTTAAACCTTTAGAAGATCTCTGGCGTGGATCAAATATAAGGTACATCTCCATTCTCCACACTAAAGGATATTGATTAGAATTGTTTAAAATGTGTTTTAAACCTGACCAGGGCAACGAAACTTACCTATCAACTTGTAATGGGTAAGATGGTATTTTCCTTGTATTTGCATGGTGTAAACCTCCATAATAATCCAATAAGTTAAGTCCTGATGCACGATCATATTTTTTATATCTTTGATTGGTTGATTAATTTATTGGTTTTTTGGTTGGTTGGATAGTTGATTGATTAATTGATTGATGTCTAGATTTGTTGAGGAGGGTCACGTGAGCAGCTACTTGTTCCATCAGAATGTTTTCCGTGAAGCAATCTACGATTCTTTTAATAAATATTCACTCAAATATAATTAACCTTAATTTTCAGTATATCAAGTGTTATTTTGTAAAAATTACAACTAGTCGACTATACGAGTACTCAGTTTAAATAGCTGTCATACAGCAATTAAATTGTAGTAATCAGTCTGTTTTAAAAAAAGTAACTACTTTTTATATATTTAGTGTATGAAATAATTATCCCGTGTTTTACCATGAATTTATTAATTTCAAATATTAAAAAAATTTGTAATTTTTTTTTATGGTTTCCTTGTCATTTTTCTTTAGATTTAGTTAATGATATTGTGTTAGTTGTAGGAGTGTCAGACAAACAGTCAAAATCCTGAAACTATTTCAGATTCTGGATAAAGCCAGATATTTGTTTAAATCCTCTGGATTGGGTTGGAGAAGGTTTCAAGGATTTATTATTCCTCCTGGAGCTGTATTCCGGTATCCAACCCTGATAAGTACTCGGCTGAAGATGAGTAGCTCCGACGAGGGACCGAATATAGATGCTGCTACTGCTCAGAAACTTGTAAAAGAGTTTGAAGGAATATCGAACACAGACGAAATATTTGCTCAATTTATGCTTCAGGTAGATTTGTCAAAATATTACCCTGAGCTGAAAACTTTTGACTTGGATACCTTTAATCCCAATCGCTTAATCTGAATATCTAATATGGACACTTTTAATTCCTTCTTAATCCGCTCTTTCTTTTTCTCTCCCTGCTAGTTTCCGTCCAATGAGAGTTTACAAATTAAATGGCGCGCCAAATTTCAAATTTTCCGGCTTCTCAGATCAGCTAAACTGAGGCCAAATTTTAAAAATATGGTTGGTTCCACTTAAAATTGTTTTCAATTTTTCAAGATTTAGGTCGGCGCTCAGATGAAACCGATTTTTGGCGGATATGAGATGAGGCTCAAATTCTTTAAATTCGTACTCTGGTTTCACAAAACCGCCCTCGATTGGTTGAGTTATAAAATTTTGTTGATACAAACTTAAGATTAAATTAAACTAGAAATTAACAAAAAGAGGAGATCAAGCATTGATCTCGATATTCACAAGTCTAAAGTTTTCAGCTCTGGCATCATTTTATTTTACGATTTTTATTATTTTCCACTAGACGAGCGGGGGAGGGGAGGTAGCTATAAGCCACAACATTTTTCCATTCCATGCCACATAATAGCTTTTTGTCTTCCCGCAGCCATGAGCCACCACCGTACGGTCCATAGGCCACAGCATTGAAGTATTCCGGTGAACTATTACGTTTTCAAATGGTAAATTTAGTGCATTGAAATTGTGATTTTCAAAATCCAGCGACGTCCATGCAAAATATATATAGAAAGAACTTTATATTTAAGTTTTAGATTGAAATAATAACGATTCCTTTCGATGTAAACTGAAACTTTTTTTCCTCAAAAATAAATTCAATCTGTCTTCTCAAATGGCGTATTTTTTTAAACATTATGAACAACAAAAATGATGCACCATAACATTCTCTTAAACACTAATTAATGAGAAAATTGCAAAATGAAATTTTTTTGAGACTACCCCCAAACAATTTGTCTCGGTGCCAACAATGCGTAAAATAATGTAAATTTATCTTTGTATAATGTAAAGCTGTTTATAAACTGAACACACAATTCATTGATATTTAATAAACTTCTTATTTTATCATTTAAAAACGTAATAACTGCCGGAAAACTGAAATGCTGTGGCATGGAAGACCGTACGGTTGAGGCTCATGGCTGCCGGAAGACATAAAAGCTAATATGTTGGGAAATATGTTGTAGGGAAAAATGTTGTGGCTTATGGCCGCCTGCCTTCCCCCGCTTGCTAGACTGTATTTCAATTTCTGATAATTACAACCCTTTAAGGGATTTTCGTCGAGACTTCAAGCGACGTTACGTTTAAAGCTGTATGGCCGATTCACAATGATACCCTATAAACCTTTGCCTGATATAATCGCCGGGATATCTCTGTTTTTCTATCTGTAAATTGCTATTATCTCAAGTGCGGTTGTCTAAAAATGTGACTTGCAGATATTAAAGAATTTACAAGGACGATTTATTTCCTCATTACGTCAACAGTCCCTTTAAAAAGTTTTATTGGTTTAGGAGAACGACTGGGATCTAAGCAAAGCTCTGAATGCGTTCTTCGCGGACAAGGTGGAGAAGAAACGGAAATTGGAAGAGGAGCTCAGGGAGTTACCGGATGTTGATGTTCCAGGTTCGAATATTTCATTTTATTGTTCTTTTAATTAGAATTATGAATTCAAAATTTTTTCATTCTTAAATTAAAGCATTGGAGAAATTATATTTGCAGGTCCTAGTATAGAATCTGCTTTGAAGGAGGGTTTACTGACTACTCGAGCTCCGGAAACCCTAAATGTTGTATCCTGGAATATTGATGGGTTGGATCAGAAGAATCTACAGAAGAGAACTGAAGCTGTTTGCAAGTAATTATTGAATGCATTAAAGGGACTGTAAGCGTAATTTCAAGTGACCATCCAAGCAAAGATGACAATGCCCGATTTACGTCTGTACCCTTGACATTTATGCCTGATCAAATATGAAGTAAATATAAATGTTTTTGTTTCTTTAAACTGTTTATTTTCATTTGCGGTTTCTTTGCGAAAGTGACTTGCGCATTTCTTGTTTTTAAGAAGCAACAGAGAAATGTACACTTTTCGAGACAGGAAAATACTGTATCTTCCACATTTTTGCATGGAGGATCACTTGAAATTACGCTTACAGTCCCTTTAAGCTAGACAATAAGAGTCTTCATAAACATTTGATTTGATTTGATTTGATTTGATTTAATGTGGAGTGGAGCCTAAAGCTTTCCCTAACACTCATGATTTGATTTGATTTGAGTTGAGTCGAGTCGAGCCGATTTTTATATTTTAATAATTTCTATAATCTTGTTTGGTCTCTAAAATGAAATTGAAGTTTCATTACTGCTGGTGGCAATTATTGATTTATTTGTTGATTGCTGGATGAACCTTTCAATTAATTGTTTAATTGCTTTAGGATTCTGGAACTGGAAAATGCTGATATTGTATTCTTACAGGAGGTTATACCAGAGACTTTCTCTTATATTGAGTCCAAACTAAGGTAAGATTATCAGCATAAATACAAAATTAGGAATCTAATAAATTAATTATTTAATATAATTTATCTATTCCAGTATTGGTTACGAATGTATCCCTGGGAACCCTGGGGATTACTTTGTTGCGACCCTGTTAAGACGAGGACGGATATATAAAGATGAATCTAGGATCATTCCATTCCCTGGCAGTGTGATGGGTCGACATTTACTCTCTGTCTCAGCACACTTTGGACAGGTAAATATCTAGAAAGGGACTGGACACGTGATTTCAATTCATTTACGATTACCAACGGTACCCTTTAAAGTGTTGACTGATTATAATTACATGAGATATCTATCATTTTCTCTTTGAAAATTGATTGTTATAGTTTGGTTTCTTTATAAAGGGACTTGCGGATTTCTGTTAAAAAAACAATGGAGGAAATTATGCGAAGTAAACACTTAAAGCTAGAAAAACTAAATTTTTTCCACATAATTGGTCAGATAAAGATTTAAAAATTTCCGTTGTGAATCGGACCATACCCCTCATTGAAAGCACGACGGACAGTCCAGTTCAGGGAGCAGTATACACCGAAAGCTTAGTTGAGGGGGATGAATATTGAATGATATATCACTATTTTTCTCTCTGGACATTGCTTAATCCCAATTGTGGTTTCTGTGAAAAATTGACTTGCGGATTTATGCTGCAGAGAAAACATATTTAAAAATAGAAATACGTTAACTATTAAAATATTTCCAGGTTAAACTTGATTTACTCAACACACACCTCGAGTCAACCAAAGACCATGCCGAGGAGAGGAAGATTCAGCTCAAGAAGTCCTTGGAGATAATGAAAAGGTTTTACACTTTTTAAAGAGACTGTAAGCGTAATTTCAAATGACCCTCAAACCGGTTCCCTTAAAAACTTTTACTGATCAATTATGAATTAGATATCAACGATTATAATTAGGATTACTGATTTTTTTTATTTGTGGGTTGTTTTTACTTGTCATTAGATACACCAGATCATGGTTTCTGAGGTACTCTTGTGAATCGGGCATTGTTATCTGTGCATGGAGGGTCACTCTAAATTACGCTTCTGAGGAAAAATAAGAAAATACATCTCTTAAATTGCATAAAAGAAAACACGTTTAATACTTCCATGGAATCTTATTAACTGGTAAAATTGCCATCTTATCCGCTTCCGACTGACAAATAGTTCATCTTTGTGACGTCATTATGATCTTACTCTATTTACTTACAGTAAGTTTTACAAAACATGAAAGTTGAGGGATGATTTGAAGGTCGTCTTTAAACTTTGAAGTAATAATTACAAAATACGCCAGTGGCATTTCCGAGAAGTGTTCATCCTTTTTGTGCTTTTAAAATTACCGGAGTTGCTAAAAATTTCGCTAAAATTTCAATTTATTTAAGAAAACTGAAACTGTGTAATTATGAACAATATTGTTTCTTTAAAAAAAATTTTTTGTCTACAGGACATGATCCGGTTTTTACGATCAGATTTCGGAATTTTTCTATTGCGAAAGTTTGGTGTTTCTTGATTTATATTGATCTACCACCAGTCTGGACACCAATCCAGTTACTAACTGTGGACAAGTGTGCTTTACTTCAGTGATCTTACGAGAACACCCCACAATATTAAAAGCACAAAAATGCCAGGAATAGAGGAATTTATAATTTTAATATTATGGTTCTAAGAGCCATAAATGTAAAATTATAGGTACATGAATTAATGTCGGAACATATTTTGAAAAATAATGACGATCTATGTAGGTCAGCCAGTATATCAATATATTGTAGTGTTGGTGAAGAACGAAATGTTATGTTTGGTGGAGATCTAAACATGAGAGACAAGGAGCTCCAGGAGGTTGGAGGACTACCTCCTGGAGCTAGGGACTGCTGGGAAGCTTGTGGGAGGAGAAAAGAAGCTGAGTTTACCTGGGATATTTCAAGGTTGGGAATCAGGCTGATCAAACGGTTTTATAATTTATTGTTTTATTATCATAACTCTAATACAGGGGTCCATATAATTCCATCCAATACGATCCCAAATGTTAATTGATTGATATTAGGGGCAGAATTAAACCATGTTGTTGTTGTAAACAGTTAAAAGTATGATATCAAGTTGTAGAAAATAATCCATACCTTAGAATGTTTACTGCAAGGGAGTGTTTATTTTCCTGTGTAACATATTTTATCTCTTATATTTATTACTGATATTTAAAACTTTTAATACACCAAATGCAGTACACATTTCTGAAGTGTAGTACACGTACACAATAAAAACCTACCAACGTTCACAATGACACAGAAAGTGTATTTTATGCCCCTAAATTTACTTTCAAACCCGATCTCATTTGGGATCAGAAATGGAATTATATGAACCCCTGCTTAAATATGATAAGATGACGGTACATGATAACTTTGAGCATGTAAATATATAGTATACAGTGTACCGTGTGTGTTGCACAGAATACACTGTAGTGTACAGTGTACACTGTAGTGTACAGTATGTAGTTCACACTCACAGTGCGTGGTGTCTGAAAGAACTTAAAAATTCATGAAACCTTTCTTGTACAAATAGCGTTAGAAAATGATCTTTCAGATTTACTAGAAAAATCCGATTTCAACATGTTCAGTTATTTCAGATTTTCACTCGGCAGATATGTTTGAGAAAAAAATGTCTTGAATGTTTTGAATCAATTAAAGTTTGTATGAGATAGAAAATTATTATATTGAAAAAGCTCAAATTTTCCGGGATGAATAGGAAAATGGACCCATTCAAAATTCCATTGTTCTCAATTTAGATTGGTTAAGTTGATCTGTAAGACATAACAACAATTTTTTTACAAAACAAAATGTTTAATTATTAAAAACTTGCAACTACTTCTATTTATACAATATTTTAGAAATACAAATCTTGAGTGGCCTGGTAAGTTTAAACCTCGATGTAGGTTTGACCGGATATATCTGAAACCTTGCTCTGGGTTCTCCGCTGCACCTAAACATTTCGGGCTCATCGGACTTCAGAAGGTATCTGGAACCCAATCTTACCCGTCGGATCACTGGGGGCTCCTGCTCAAGCTCTCACTGAACCAGGACGGGAATAAGCCGGAGGAGGAGAGAGATAATAATGTGTCTTAACTCAACCTATTGTGATTTTTCTTTAAAAGTGGTAAACTAACCACATGTGATTTTAATTTTGTGCCACATTTCTGATTATTGAACCCTGATAATCGATTTCTGTGATATTATTTAGATGTAACTAAGAATGAGAGATGGCTCTAGCTCTACCCGGAGTAGGAGTGTTTGGAACCTGCCCTGCAGTGTATACTCTAGTACCCGTTCTTAGAGATAAGGTAGGAGTTCTTATAAAGTAGGCGTAAGTAAAGGGACCCCGTTTAAAAATAGTGAACCCTTCAAAATCAGCAAAATATAACACCCCCCCCCCCCCCCCTCCCCAATTAATATCAGTCCTCTCTTTATTCATCTGTGTTTATACTTTTTTTAGTTGACTTCTAGTTAATCTTAAGTCATTCATCCTTAGAAATTTTATTCATCCTAAACTACTTTTTTCCTTAAATATTTTCTACTTTTAAAGGGCTTCCTGGTTCAAGCAATTTGGAGCGGAAGAAAGCAGGATGCTGAGGCAGCTGCTTCTAAGCTTTGTATTCCCTTCTTCACAACGCAGGTTTGAACACTTCCGACTTATAAAGGAACTATAGACGTAATTTCAAGCGATCATTCATTTAAAGAGTTGGTACCTGATTTACAATGTACAACAAACATTTAAAACTTGTATTTTAGTAAAAATGGAGTTATTCTTGTTTTTCCTTTTGAATATTGATAATTTTCAATTGTGGTTTCACTGTTTTTTTTTTTAATTAACTGTTGAAAAATGTTTATTTGTTGAGTTTTAGATCGATGACGTAGTTCTGAGGAAAGATGTCGATCTCATAATTATATTCACTCCGCCCAGTCTTCATTCTCAGGTAGGATGTTCCATAGATCTTTCGTTTAGTTTTGTTTTGTTTCGTTTCATTGAACGTAGTGTTTTCCTTTAAAAATAGTAATATATCCGATTAAACAATTTCCTAGGTATGATATAAGGCGGAACCCCTATCCCCTCCTCTTACGTTTTCTATATAAGACAATTAAAAAATAATATGCAAGAAAATAAAGAATTTGAGTACTTTTGGCATTGTTTAAGCCTTTAAAGGTTGGGGGGTCTGAATCTATGTATAGCCTGGACGTCCCACGCCCCCCCCCCTTAGAGAATAGGTATAGTGTTGAAAAGCATGTTCATAGTCCAATTTTTCAAGGCCAGCTCATAGAAAAAAAAAATAGACCGATAGCTTTAATAGTTTGGGTGCTAGGGAGGGTTGAAAAAAATTCTAAAAATGGGCCAGAAAAATAAAAAAAAATAAAAATAATTTTGTTTTAAACATCAAAGTGTGACGCATGTTTCTACATCTATTTTTCAAGGGCTTTTCAAAAATATAGTTTTTATCTGTAGCTTTAGTCACAAAAAAAAGTTATGGGCTATTTTTTATTTTTTTATTTGAAAGAACGAACTTTTTTCCACCCTGTACCCAATCCTATGCATTAAAAAAAAAAAACCTTAAAATTTATATTCATTAAAAGTCACAAAATTTCACTATGATATTGTCAAAAATGAGAGTGCTAGGACAAAAATAAAGGGGGGGGGGGGCGCCAAACGCCCCCCCAGCCTGTTTAGGGTTAAGATCATGAGGAAAACTTGATATACCTGGCTAGCGAGAAAAAAATAGATTTAAAGAAAAAAAGTAACTTTAAAACCTGAAGATAGAACTCTTGTGTTGTAAATCTAGAAATCAAGCTTTATTCTCCATCTTATGCACAATTATTATTTTAATGCCTCTTTCATATCCGTTGTAGTCATACTCTGCGGGAATACTTGGAAGTGCCCACACGGAATATCGAGATGAAGCGTTCAAGATTGATGATAGTCCACAGAAAAGTTTTGGATTCTGAAAAAATAACAATTTTTAACATTTACATAGATTATTTTGTGTATAATCCTACTCTGGTGTCTAGATTAGCGTGAAAGCACTGCGGATTGGTAAACATGTTGTCTGTGATAGACCTGGTGGATTAAATCAAACAGAATCATTAAGAATGGTTCGCGCTGCAGCTTATTATCCAACATTGCTGGCCATGATGGCTTTTAGTCTCAGGTAACAATTAGAATCAATTACAATTTAGGACATAAAGCTGTAGAATAGGAATAACATTAAATTGTTTTAGGAAAACATCAAATACCATTAATATTGCTTATTTTTTATTATCCGAGAGTTACTTTTGAAAATATTTATTCCTGTTTCGAGGATTTTGATAATGAAGACGACATTTTCATATTTTCGTAAATCCAGCGCCAGCCGTGAAAACACGTTGTTTTTTGGAATATTGTGAAATATTAACTATATACGGAATGCGTCGAAAAATTATCGATGATTATAGGTTGTAATATCTGAATGATTGGTTTAGAATGAGTCGTTTTTAACAAATTTCTTATTATAGACGCTACAGATAGTTCAAGTAAGATTAGTAGCGATCACCATCGATGATTTTTCGCCGTAAGCCTATACCCCCTTTCATTTTTCGCGAACACTCCCTTTATATGTCACCTTCCTAATCCACAATTTTATGGGTCGCACTGTATAGTTCTAAGTTTTCAATAATTTTAAGAAGTAAAACTTTAATTTTGTAATTTTTCAGTCAGTTTAACTTCAAATCTTTATCTTTTTTTGATTTGATTTGATGGGGAAGCAACTCTTCTTCATCTTTTAAATATGTTGAACAATCTGCAACGAATAATAAGGCAACGTGGCTCGGATTTGGTTGTGTGCTGGAACCTACTAAAACTCTCCTGTCACAAAAGTTCCGACTGAAAACCCAATTTTCCGAGAGAACATGAACCGAACTCTAAATTTTGGTAGCTCATAGCAAATCCACAAAAAAATATTATTTAATTTAAAATTAAAATTGTTAAAAATTTTGAAACAAACAGTGTTAGTTTGTTGACGCTGGTTTTTAGTGATTTACTCCTGATCGATCTCCTACAGACGTCCCCTCATCATTACTTAGCTGTCACATTTAAATATTAGTATTAGTCCTGTCTAGGCCTGGATTTTATTGTAATATTTTTAGATTTCTTCCCAACATGAGTTTAATGAAGAAATTGATAAAAGAAAACTATGTGGGACAAATAACACTCTGCGATATCAGGTATGTTGTAATTTTGCAACAACAAAAAAATTGGAAGAAAGTAGTTTCTAGGAAAGCATGTATAAATGAAAGTGTATTCTATGATAGTTTGTGAAAGTATATTCTAGGATAGTTTGTGAAAATATGCTGAAAAGAAAGTGCATTCTAGGACAGTTTGTAAAAGTATGTTGGAAAGAAAGTATATTCTAGGATTGTTTGTGAAATTATATTCTAGGATAGTTTGTGAAAGTATGCTGGAAAGAAAGTATTTTCCAGCCTAGAGTTTTCAAGGGATCGGGCTGAAACTTTTAGGGTACCCTCTCCAGGCCCATGGCTAGCTTGTATTAAATTAGAATAGTTTGTGAAAGTATGCTTGAAGGAAAGTATATTTTAGGATAAGTTTTGAAAGTAGCTTGAAAGAAATACTTTCTAGGATAGTTAGTAAAAGTAGTTTGAAAGAAAGTATATTCTAGGATAGTTAGTAAAAGTAGTTTGAAAGAAAGTATATTCTAGGATAGTTTGTGAAAGTATGTTGTAAAGAAAGTATATTCTAGGATAGTTTGTGAAAGTATGCTGGAAAGAAAGTTATATTTTAGGATAGTTTGTGAAAGTATGTTGGAAAGAAAGTATATTCTAGGATAGTTTGTGATAGTATGTTGGAAAGAAAGTATATTCTAGGATTGTTTGTGAAAGTATGCTTGATAGAAAGTATATTCTAGGATAGTTTGTGAAAGTATGCTTGAAAGAAATTATATTCTAGATAGGGCTTTAATAGCTAAAAGAGTATGGGAGACACGCGCAATACCATCAATATTGTACTTTGTGGAAGCGTTAACTATAAAAAAAGAGTACAGTAATGGAGCTGGAACGTATACAAAATATGATTGGGAGGTTTATACTATAGGTTCCAGCTTCAACGTCACGAGCACTAGCTTGGATAGATGCTGGATTAATGCCTATGGAATATAGGATTCATAACAAACAAGCTCAGTTTATTTATAATATTTTAAAAACAAAACGGAATCCAACCCTTTTAAAAATTTTAAGACAGTCATTAGAGTACCCGGAGGATCCTTACACTAAATCATGGATGAAAATCCAATCACAAATAGGGTTAATTGTTAATTTTAAAAAGAAATCACATCTGCAAGCTGCTTTAACAAACAAAGCAGTGGCATTTGTATTGAGTGTTGAAAGGCAACATTCTACTTTAAATACAGCCCCCTAACCTTGGAACTGGTTTAAAATGCAGGACCACATTAATGATTCAAAAGCAAGTAAGGTTTTATGCCAAGTCAGGGGAGGTAATGCACAATTAGGCAACCGTTACAAAAACCGATATGGATTCAAATATGAGTTTTGCCCACACTGCGAAATTTTTGGACTTCATATTAAACTAACAGAATCACATGTAGTATTTGAATGCCCTGCTGTAGCCACGGTAAGACGTGAGCTTAAAATATCAAACTATTTGGCTACTCAAAAGGCCAAAGGGACAATAGCAAATGCACGAATTGTACGGAATTAACTTGGCCAAGATGGTTCAAAGGGCAAATCCCTACTAGAGAGAGGTAAAAAGCTGGGGAAGATAATTAATAGAAAAATGGCTAACAGCAACTCATGAACCATCGTGATAAATGCAGCATTCAGAATGGGCAGAATTAAGTTTTTTTTACCATTTAAATAAATAAAATTTGCTACTGACCCATGATATATTATCCAGCTAAACCTGATTTACTCAGTTGCTCAATGATGGGTGTACTGATCAGGGGGGTACGAGGGCTTTTGTTTAGGGGGGGCACAATTTTTTTGGTCCCCCCCTTGGCAACATTGGTCCCCCCCCTTAAAAACCCCTTTTTTGAAAAAATAGTAATACCTTTTTAAAATTTTTTTTGCCCCCCCTCTCCCACCTGGACTTATTTTGTTCACCATAAAAATATACCAAAAAGACTACTTTTTTGGGTGTTACTAACCTTAGAGTCTAAAAATTATTCCTTTGCTTAAAAAAATTAACTTTTTGACTTTATAAATTTATCACTTAACTCCATCACAGCTAACTAAATCAATAATCACAGCATCATTAAAAATTATATTTTTACGAATAAACGAAATTTCTTCTGAAATTTTTAGATAGAATTTACTCAATCTACATTTTAACCAAATCTTTTAAGCTACAATTTTCTGGGATTTGCTTGCACAAACATTTCAATGATTTTTTTCAGTAGAGAGCTCAGACAGCCTTATAGGGTGTAAAGCTATAAGTGCAAGATCGTTAAGTCTGCTCTCCGTCATAGTACATCTTGTGTAAAGAAGTATTCTCTTTAGAAGGCTAAAACTTTTCTCTCCTTGTATTAACAGTGAATTTAGACAAATCCTTAGTCTTTGTCATTGTCAGGTATTACTTTCTAAACGTAGTTTCCTTTTAATTTTGTATATTTGGAACTCCCAGGGGGGGCAAGAGAACTACTGACCCCCTTGGTACACCACTGTGCCTGACCTGAGGAAGGGAAATGCAAGCAGATGTAATATTAAAAGAGCCTCCCCCATGGATGCCCCCCCTCAGCCTCTCAGGGGGGGCACGCGTAGAGGGGGGCGGGGGGGGGCGGCCCCCCCTCGTACGCCCCTGGTACTGATATAAAATAGACTCGAGAATAAATCAGGAACAGTGGTGCGCCTACACATAGTGTTCTCCTAGTAAGATCGCAGACCCCAAAGGTAAACCAAATATGGATTATTTATTTAAAGAGGATGCCTAAAAAAATTTTGTAAGTGACATTCCATTAGGGTTGCCCCTCAGTTAGACCCAGATTTGTTAAAACCATTTTATAAATTTTAAACAGACGTGTGTACTGTTCAGGAATGCTATTTAAAGCATTTTTAGGCCTCCTTACATATCGGGCATACACACTGGATCCTAAGGGATTCAAACCTGATGTGATCCATTATAACCCAGGCAGACAAGGGGAAGTGGCTGGAGCTCGACCCATAGTATAGTTTGTGAAAGTATGCTTGAAAGAAAGTATATTCTAGGATAGTTTGTGAAAGTATGCTTGAAAGAAAGTACTCCTGGCTGTGTGACTCCGCCATGGGCGGAGGAGCGCTGTCTCTGCTAGGATCCAACGTGATAGATCTGCTTCATTACCTCGGGTTCGGAAAAGCTGTCAGAGTTCATGCAAATTTGAGAACTCTCATTCCAACCACGGACAATATAGGTTAGAACAAAATCTACAGTTTGAACGATTTTTGTTTCTGATGGATTTGTTTAAGAGATCGATTAAGCTCTTCATAGAGAGAAATTAACTATGGCTTATTAAAATAGATTTAAATTAGTCCCTTCCATACACTTAGTTAATAGTTCTCAGCTCTGACGAATACTCTTATTCAATCTGATCAAATAACCACACGAACATCATTTTACATTTCTTCATATCACAAATCTAAAATATTAACGGTTCTAATGTTTGCTTCTCAAATATAAATTTTGCAAAGTCTGAAAATGAGAACGGACTATTTGAGAAGGTTACAAATGAAAATCATTTTTATATTTATTTCATTATTTAAGAATTTTTTTTCCAGGTGGAATAAGACAGGTTAGTTCTGATGACCTCGCAGTTCTCCAGCTCCAGCTGGCTGGAGGAACACTAGTAACAGTTTTCATTAACTCCGACATGGCAGGGTTCAGCCAGGATATTGTTGTGTGCGGGACGGATGGATATCTAGTTGCTCAGGGTGGAGATCTCAAGGGTAGGAAGACCAGGGAGCTAAGAGATGAGGTCTTGTACCTGGATGTAGAGGATTTTAATTCTTCAGAGAGTTTTTCATCCGCCCTTCCTAGGTACATTTTCTAAACAGAAGGGGGTGGGGAGGGGGAAGGGAAAATATTTCATGAAATATTTTTTTTTTTACTTTTTAGGATACATATGAAAGGACTGATGAGAATGGTTAGTTTCCTCAGGGATAGATTCAGTGGAGTTGAACCTCAGACTGATTCTATATACGAACCTGCTCTATTCGACCAGGAAACATTGAGCATCAAGTTTTTTTAATCCAACCCTTTTTCTCATTTAACCCGAGATGTTATTTATATTTATTTTTTACTCCATTTTTTGTTTTATTTACAGGGTTACCCACAGAGGATGAGACTATTTTATTCATACCTTATTTTCATGACTCCCGGCAACTTTAAACTTAAATCTCTCTTTGCTAAATCATCAAAGCAGAATACTGAATCTTTGGATCCCATTTCATTACAGTTCTACCCAACCCATCCTTCTTAGTAAAGTTTAATGTTGCATACTGTAGGGATTGTATATTCAGTCTGTGATAGAAGCGATGAGAAAATCAAGTGAAACCAGACAGTGGGTTAAGGTCAGACAATTTGGTTACTTTAAGGGAGAGACCGGCTAGACATGGTAGTTGAGCTGAAAGTGCAGTATTGTAGAGATCAACTTTAGGATTTCAATTTTAAAATTGCACACTGTAAAAACTTCTCAATGGTATCAAATGAATCCTGAAGTTAATCTTCACAATATTGCACTTTTAACTCAACTACTATGTGTAGCAAGTCTTTCCCTTTAATGATTCATTTTAAAGTGAATATTTATCTTGAAGTTTTTAACACTCTAGGTTGTAACAAGCCAGGAGGAAGGTTCTGATTCAGGAGAGACATCTTGGTCCTCCTACGCATAAGGAACAAGTGGTCTACTTTGTACCTGGAGGCAAATGGGAGATGAAACCTTGTATATTTTCCATTTTTAGTTCTAAAGCATTTATGTATTTTTATGTACTTATTCTATTTTAACGTTAAAATTGTGTTCCTAGATATTTTTATGTTTTTCTACTGCCTTGTACTATTTTTGCAACTAACTCTCAACTTCCGTCAAACCCGCGCAATGCAATTTATTTTGCAATAAAAGTTTACAACACGTCAATAGTTTATTGATGTACTTTTGTTTTTTTACTGGTTTACTGATTTAGTATTAGTCACTTCAGTTTTCGACACGGTTGGTAGGATATCCCTGAAATTCTTATTTAATTTGATTACCAGTATAACCAGTATATACTGGATACTGACAGTATAAAATTGTTACCATTGTAATTATTTTATAGCTGTACAAACAAATTTCTAGAACATCTTTGGTAAGCGTCAAGCGATTATAACCCTTACAAAACTTATGATAATAAAACGGGTAAAATTCATGGTGAAAGTCGGGTTTTGTTATGGTTTGTGCAGGATTAAATTTTTAAAAGTTTGTCGTGCTGGTTTAGACCGGATTGTTTTGGTTTGAATGAATGATTATTTATCGGTTTTCTTCTGATAATACCGGATTTTATTGGGTTGTGCTGGTATAAAATCTGATATTTTTTGGAGTTTATTTGGAAAAATAGACATTTTGAAAAAATGTGTGCAGTGCTTTTTTAAACTTTTCCAGTTGGAACGTGTTTGGTAAATCTTGTTTCTAATTCAAAATATTCCCTTAGGCCTACAGTTTATACAATACACAGTAGATACCTTATTGTACTTCTTGTATTTAGTAAATATTTTGAAAAAGACTGTTTTAAATGAAAAATATATTTATGAATCCTAATTTGTCTGAATAAATTTTTTTTGTTTAATTCTGTGATAGTGATGGACCAAACCTCTGTAGAGTAAAAAAGTAGATGTTAGTTCAACATTTATTGAAAATATATTTCGGTCTGAGTTGACCCTCGTCAGTTCTAAGTTCTAACGATATAATAACCATCAAAATCTATAAAAAATGTTTGTTAAAAATCACAAGAAAATAAAGAAACAAAAAAGATTATTCAAAATAAAAATTTGGGCTGTCAAATGGACATAAGGGAAACGAACTCAGATTATCAGATGGAAAAAAGATAATTTGCAATTACTCATTTTTTTAAAAATGTTTTAGGACAATTATTATTCCTTGAGATTGTTTCTGTCACAAAGGTTAAAAACAAACTGTTTAGATGCATAAGTGTATAAAGTGATGGTGAGGTGGGGGTCGAACTATTAAGTGATGGTGAGGTGGGGGTCGAACTATTAAGTGATGGTGAGGTGGGGGTCGAACTATTAAGTGATGGTGAGGTGGGGGTCGAACTATTTGATTTGTTAGAGAAAAATTGACCGAGTTCTGGATTTATATTTTGGATTTCTGGAGTTCAGAAGGCTCTTCACAAATCATATTGTAGATTTATTTTATTACACCACAATGCAAAAGTTTTACTCTGACATGTGATACAGAGGATTTCGAAAAACATGGGAATTGAGTGACGACTTCGAGATGGTCTTCTTACTTGATTTGTTATTTCTACCGATATAGCTGTAATCCGTCAAATTTTGTTGGAGGCAAATTTTTAAAAATTTTGATCATTCATAAATCTTCCCTAGGGTCACGTGATGTCCTACACAAAATTTGGTCGGTACAGCCGTTTTGACGTTTATCCGATACAAACAGACATACATGCAAAGTATATATATGGATATATTAGGACATAAGGAATAAATATGACTGATGCATGAAATATACATGGATATAAATGCACAGGGAATACATATGGATATCAGGATACATGAAATATATGGATACATAAAGTATATATGGATATTTTGATCTACAAATATATTTAGATGTCAGGACATGGGGAATATATATGGATATTAGGATACATGAAATATATATGGATATCATGATACATGAAATATATATATGAATATCCGGATACGCGAAATATATATGGATACAAGGAAGATATATGGTTATCAGGATACAGGGAATATATTCAGAGCTGAAAACTTTAGAATGGGATATCCTTAATCCTGATCGGATAATTAATCTGGAGATTAAAAATGAGTGGAGAACAAGCAATATTTAATCTGGAGATTAAGAAAAAGAGTGGATTAAGCCTTAATCTCGGTATCCACCATTCTAAAGTTTTCAGCTCTGAACACATGGAATATACATGGATATCTGGAATAATTCTGGATACATGGAATATATAAGGATATCAGAACATAAGGAATATATTTGGATATTTGGATACATGAAATATATATATGGATATCTTGAAACATTAGGGGGGATGATAGTTCTCTACCTGTGTTCTCAGTTAGCTGTACACTTACAACTGTTCACTAATACTGATATACTATAGGTTAGGCCGGAATCTCCTTATAATAAACAAATATGCAGTACGCTCTCGGTATAGTTTATGGAAAATATCGCATATTTTAGCTGATAATCTGTAACTCGCTTATCTTTGTTCATGGCGTTCATGGCCTATACGTTTAGTAAAGGATTAGCGTATACACTTTAACCTCGATGGGATACATGAAATATATATTGATATCTGGATTCATAGAATATATATGGATATCAGAACATGGGTAATATATGGATATCCGGATTGATGGAATATATATGGATATCAGAACATGGGTAATATATGGATATCAGGATACATGAAATATATATGGATATCTGGATTCATGGAATATATATGGATATCAGAACATGGGGAATATATGGATATCCGGATTCATGGAATATATATGGATATCAGAACATGGGGAATATATGGATATCAGGAAACATGAAATAATCATGGATATATAATGATCCCAAGTTCACGAAAGTGCCTGAGGAATGTATATACTGGTATCCTGTTGGTTTCTTGCATTTTAATTCTTCCTTACTCTCAAATTTTATGATAACTGTATAGTGTAAAGTACAGAGTGTCCCACGAAACATGACAGTAGCAAGACGACTTAAAGGTCGGCTTTGATCTTTAAAATAAGTTGCTGCATTTATTCGTAAACCTAATTTTAGAAGTAAAATTCTAGAGTTTAAAATCACATTATATCCATAATCTTGGCATTTCCAAATTGTGGTCTGCCTTTTTTGTTGGTCGGTTGCTCAGTGTGTCCCACTAAACATAAAGATTTCATAAGTATTCTTGAGATTAGATTTACATTGTTACCAACTGGTTCGAGTTTCATTCACGTTAAATATTTAGTTATGCTAAAGCCTATCGCCAATCCGTTACAATAATTTAACTAATAAATTACAGTATATTCCAATTCCAAGATATTTGTTGGATGTTTATTTTGTTACAACTGAAGTATTAACCAAGTACAGAAAACTGGAATATTATATGTGTAATAGTAAAAAATCGTAAAAATTTATTTAAAGAATAAATTTTAAATTAAAAGGAGCAATTAATCAATTATTCTCGGTTGGCTAATTTTACTGATGTATTGCGGTAATGCTTTACGTAGAAAAGACCATCTGAGCCTGGTGAGCCGTTAAAACCGCCCGGGTAGTTTGCTGCCTTTTTAATAATTTTCACACTTTGCATATTTAAAAATCATTCGTAAATCGTAATGAATCTAATTAAATATTTTGAAATTTGATGTCAAGACCGAAATCTAGTAGATCGTAAATTTTTATCATGCCCGGACACTTTTAATGTGACAATTTTTATATGAAATTTGGTCCTGTTTATGTCAAAACCATGACTAGGGGGGGGGGGGGTTGAAGGGGGATAGTGTGTTACTATGATATTTGGACTTCTATGAAAAAAAAATATTTATTTCAGTGATTAAGGTACGCCCGCATGCAAAAATTTTGAATTTATTCTAAAAAATCAAAATGAAATGACTAGAAGGTGCCTGCTCTCCCCCCACCCATCCTCAAGCCACTACTTCTTATATTACTAATTAAGGAGCGTGGACCTCGCGAACCTCGCAAAACACGTTTTCTCTTAGGAAAAATACTGCAAAGTTTAATTAAAGCAGACTTTTCAGAATACAGTTTTGAAATGTTGGAAGTTTTATTAAAGTTTTTAAAAAGCGATTAACAGTCCTGTCCCTTTATCCAAGGGCGAACGATGGGGGGCCGGGGTGCACGCGCCCCCCTACGCATGCCCCCCCCAGGGAGGGGCACGCATGGGGTGGGGCTCATTTAATATCACATCTGCTTGCATTTCCCTTCCTCAGGCAATCTACATTCTGCATTGCATTGCATTGCATTGCATTGTACTCACCCAAACTAAAAGATTAAGGAAAGAAATCTATATAATAAAACAAAACATTCATATATATGTTGCGTATAGCCGGCCAAACGGCTGAACCGATGGGCTGAAATTTTTTGTGGAAACTCGGGCTAAAAAAAAATTATTTTCTTTTCAACATTTTTTTAAAAAAGCTTTTATCAATACTGTCTTCTGTGTAAATATATATTTGGTATTATTATTTATAATACAATATGTATCAGTCCTATGAAAATATAGATATTTTTAAGAAACGTTTCCATCTCTATTTTTCAGGCGTTGGGACATTTTATAGATAACAAAATCAAAGGACATTTCATAGACAGAGGAGATTTTTTTTGACAAATTATATTTTTTTCTTTTTTATTTACAAATGATATTTATATCTAAATTTTTTTATTTTATTTTTTTTCTTCAAAGGCCATTTTTTTGAAAAAAGGGGGTTTTGACTGAAGGGGGGGGAAAGGGGCTAACTCGCCCTCCTCCTGGTAAAGGGATAAAGAGAATACAGTGTGTCAGGAATCTGAAGGCTGCAAGCTATCATTCTAAAATCCGTTAGAATTTTGCCAAAAACTTTTTAAAAACAAAAGCTAAACATAAGTTATTTATAGTTTTAAAAAGAACATGTCCAGGGCTACAAAAAGGACAAGCAATAGTGAGGTAAAATCAAAGGTTTCAAGGCGTTGCGATACTTAAAGCCGACCCAGTGTTGAAAATTTATGTATATTTCATATGAGTCTAAAGATCTTGGTGAGAATAGGAAACAGTTTACATTAAGGAGGAATAAAAACTGATTAAAATGTAAGGTGTGAATGTTTTTTTAAGATAATTCAGGAAACCGGAAACCAGAGTTCTTAGAGTATCATGCAGCATGAAACTAAAAACCTCTCATTGTTTGAAACATTGAAATATTTTTTCAAAGGGGGGGGGGATACTTGAAAAATACGCGTATAAACACGGTGAGAGGGTGTCCATTCTCCGGGCCTGCAGTCCCCACCCTCTACCAGGATACCAGTCCCCACTCTCTACCAGAATACCAGTCCTCACCCTCTACCAGGACACCAGTCCCCACCCTCTACCGGGATACCAGTCCTCACCCTCTACCAGAATAGTAGTCCCCAACCTCTACCAGGATACCAGTACCCACCCTCTACCAGGATACCAGTCCTCACCCTCTACCAGGATACCAGTCCTCACCCTCTACCAGAATAGTAGTCCCCAACCTCTACCAGGATACCAGTCCCCAACCTCTACCAGGATACCAGTCCTCACCCTCTACCAGGATACCAGTCCTCACCCTCTACCAGAATAGTAGTCCCCAACCTCTACCAGGATACTAGTCCCCAACCTCTACCATGATACCAGTCCCCACCTTCTACCAGGATACCAGTCCCCACCCTCTACCAGGATACTAGTCCCCACACTCTACCACGGATTCATGGAA